TCGAATCTACTATTCCTTCCTATTCTCCCTCACTCTCCTACTAGTATAACCTTAAAGACTTAAGCCCGTACTCATACCTCTTTTTTAACGTTAAAGACGTCTTTAGAGACGTCTATTAGTGATTAAAAGACAGCAGATAGCAGTCGATAAAAGACGTCTTTAACGCTAAAAGAGAGGTATGAGTGCGGGCCTAAGTTTTTAAAATGCCTTTTGGAGAAAGAAAAGTTTAAAGTGGTAGCGCATGTAACATACCACACGTATTTTATATTGCAGTGATATATGTAATATATCTTTAATGGTACTGTTCTTATAAATCATTCGCGGGCTGTATGTGTATGTCTGTATGTATGATTGCACTTTGTATACTATGTACTTTGTATATCTGTATGTATGCCTGTACTTTGTATACTGTATCATTATTGCATTTGTCGAATAAATTATCTTGTAACACTTATACACTTTTTGAATCTCCTATTCCTTCCTATATCTCCTCCCAGTATATCCTTAAAAACTAAGTTTTTAAAATGTCTTTTGGAAAAAGAAAAGTTTAGAGTGGTAGCGCATGTAACATACCACACGTATTTTATATTGCAGTGATATATGTAATATATCTTTAATGGTACTGTTCTTATAAATCATTCGCGGGCTGTATGTGTATGTCTGTATGTATGATTGCACTTTGTATACTATGTACTTTGTATATCTGTATGTATGCCTGTACTTTGTATACTGTATCATTATTGCATTTGTCGAATAAATTATCTTGTAACACTTATACACTTTTTGAATCTCCTATTCCTTCCTATATCTCCTCCCAGTATATCCTTAAAAACTAAGTTTTTAAAATGTCTTTTGGAAAAAGAAAAGTTTAGAGTGGTAGCGCATGTAACATACCACACGTATTTTATATTGCAGTGATATATGTAATATATCTTTAATGGTACTGTTCTTATAAATCATTCGCGGGCTGTATGTGTATGTCTGTATGTATGATTGCACTTTGTATACTATGTACTTTGTATATCTGTATGTATGCCTGTACTTTGTATACTGTATCATTATTGCATTTGTCGAATAAATTATCTTGTAACACTTATACACTTTTTGAATCTCCTATTCCTTCCTATATCTCCTCCCAGTATATCCTTAAAAACTAAGTTTTTAAAATGTCTTTTGGAAAAAGAAAAGTTTAGAGTGGTAGCGCATGTAACATACCACACGTATATTATATTGTAGTGATATATTTTAATATATTTCTAATGGCATTGATATTACTAATCATTCGCGGGCTATACATATATGTACACCTGTACTTCGTATACTGTATCATTATTGCATTTATTGAATAAATTATCTTGTAACACTTATACACGTTGATATTCTTTTGCCCTTTGCGAATATCCCAGAGTATGAGTGAGTTCTGTCTCACTCTTACTCTCCTCCGTCCTAACTGCATCCTTCACCTACTCCTAATATAGTTTGAAATTCAATTCTCAAAATTGCACTTCTGGGAGGCTGTATCTCGAAAACGGCTGGGTTTAGGGCTTCTTCCTTGAAATTTTGAAAGATCTCTTAATTCAGAAAGTCAAAATGGTCCATAGAAGAGGCTGGTACAGGTTAGATTGCGATAGGGCCACTTTCAAAAAATTCCCTTACATTTTGGTACTCGCACACTTTTTTTTTAATTTTAAAATTATCAAGCATTCATTGTAAAGAATTTCCATTAGTTCAAATTTTCCCCGATAAGGGGGCAGCACCTCCTGGGCATGATATGTGGCGCCATCTCTGAGAGAACGAGTGAACTTTCTCGATAAAATAATTCCGAATGCAATTTGAAAATGACATGGACGAATTTTCAATTGGTAAATTCTTATTAAAGAATTCGCATTAGTTCGAATTTTCGCCGATAAGAGGGCAGCACCTCCTGGGCATGATACGTGGCGCCATCTCTGAGAGAACGAGCAAACTTTCTCCGATAAAATAATTCCGAAAGTAATTCGAAAATCAGCTATATCAGGCTGGTACAGACCCCTTAGGGTCTAAAGCAAAATTTTTTCACATAAAACTGTGAAAGGACACTTTCAAAAAATCCCTTTACTTTTTGCATCTTGCAGATGGAATGAAAGTAATGGCAGAGAAAATGCAGCATAGCCGAAAAGGGGTGTAGAAGCATAAGGCACGAGGAGGAGGAAAAGGATGTTGTTATGATGGAGGAGAGTAAGACAGAGACAGAACTCATTCGTACTCTGGGATATTCGCGGAAGGCAAAAGAATATCAACGTGTATATGTGTTTAAAGATAATTTATTTGATAAACGCAATAATGATACAGTATACGAAGTACAGATATACATACATATATGGTTTACAAAAGATTAGCAATAACAATACCGTTAGAGATATATTACATATATCAATGCAATATAATATACGTGTGGTATTTTACATGCGCTACCACTTTAAACTTTTCTTTTTCCTAAAAACATTTTAAAAACTTAGTTTTTAAGATTATACTAGTAGGAGAGTGAGGGAGAATAGGAAGGAATAGTAGATTCGAAAATTGAGGAGAAACATTTGGTGGCAGCAGACAGGGAAGATATTGTCGAAGGGAAAGAGAGGAAGATTGTTAGAAAGAATGAGTGAAGAAGACTGATGGTGACGATTAAAGGAACGAGGGGAGAAAAAGGTGCGTAAAACGTATGCACGAGGACCAGATTATTCGGGAGTGGCGACAAAGAAGAAGACTCGAATATGTAGGAAAAGTAGGAAGTATAAGGGAGCGAAATGGGCCCCACCCCGCCCATTTCCGTGAGGTCCTGCCTCTCCTGAAGGGAGCTACGACCCCTCCGAGGCCCCATAGGGGACCGTGTTTTGTTTTTTATTGAGGAAAACCCCCTGGTCCTGCGGCTTTCGCGCACAGGACTAGGGGGGAAAAACCTCAGGAAGGAAAGGAAGTCGGGTCGAGGGACAAGAAAAACGCACAAGGGGGTAAGGTGAAGTTAAACGCGAAAAAGCTAAGATAAGTTAAACGCAAAAGGGACAAGTTAAACGCGAAAGGTCTGCCCCTAGTCAAGATTCACCGCAACGAAAGACCGCGGGCGTAGCACCCAGCGATACCCTTGCGGGCACGCCGGGACATCCCGAAGGACGATATTTAACGCTACAACCTCCGTCCCTTCCCACGGGCAAAAGCCCAGTGGGTTAGACGTAAGGAACCACGCCCGCCGCCGGCGGCGGGCCCCGTTAGCCATCGATCCACGCGCAAAATGTCTCTGACAGAGGGTGACTTTATACTAGCGGGTGCTCAATAGCACCCGCACCTACCCCAAGTGAAGTGACCCCCAAGCACAAGCACAAATAGGACTTTACCCAAAGTCAACGGACTACCCCTCCGACCTCCCCACCGACAAATAGGATCGTCTCTACCCACACAAGTGCCCAAGGGTCAACGACATGTTGGAGCGTTTTTAGCAAAGCGAACAAATGATACTAAATACGCGAGAGCTAGACACCTGGCTAGATTCACTATACGAAAGACCATGGCCGTAGATACCCTAAGGGGGCTCAAGGCCCCCGTCGGGAGACCCATAAGGTCCTGTTGCGGCCACAACTTGGGCCACCAACCACTGAGCAAGCTCAGCGGAAGAGGCGGAAGGGCAACCCCCGACACCATGGTCTTAAGTCTAGCTGCACTAACAGGGTGACTACCCTTATATGACTACTTGAATAAACTTTTCTTTTTCCTAAAAACATTTTAAAAACTTAGTTTTTAAGATTATACTAGTAGGAGAGTGAGGGAGAATAGGAAGGAATAGTAGATTCGAAAATTGAGGAGAAACATTTGGTGGCAGCAGACAGGGAAGATATTGTCGAAGGGAAAGAGAGGAAGATTGTTAGAAAGAATGAGTGAAGAAGACTGATGGTGACGATTAAAGGAACGAGGGGAGAAAAAGGTGCGTAAAACGTATGCACGAGGACCAGATTATTCGGGAGTGGCGACAAAGAAGAAGACTCGAATATGTAGGAAAAGTAGGAAGTATAAGGGAGCGAAATGGGCCCCTAGAAATAGAAGAAAGTTGGAAATTGATAAGAGAGGTAATCCCAAGATACCAGTATAGGAGACCGGCTCGAGGAAGAATGAACGCTGCGCTCCGAGTCCGGGTACTGACTTGAGCGCTCCCCCCACCATCCGCCTGTTCCCACTCTCGGAGTCCTCCGCGACGAATTTGCGCGCTCACAATTTTGGGCAACTTCCAGTATTTCTAAATATGCTTGGCCAGAATTTCCGATTTCTAAGTGTTAATATTTTACTTGACTGAGTTAATTAATTATTTTAATGTTCAAAATACCTAATTTATTAATATTTCAATTTGATTGTAATTTATTTTCGATATTCCACAATTTCAATTCAATTTTTATCTACTCCGTATATTCTGCGAGATTTTAATTTAGCCTCAATTTTATATTTTGAATAAATTTTGAAAGTAAATCAAGATCCAATATGATTTAGTAAAAATTGAAGTGCTACACGGGTGCCAAGTTGGCACTGCACTTTCTTAAAAATATCTTAAAAATGTTTCAACAATAGGTTTTGTCAATAGTTCTTGAGAAGTTCTATATTTCCCGGTCTCGTTATAAGGGTTGCTTTGGGAACCAGCGGTGAGTAGCGAAGAACCTCTACCTACCAAGCTACACGTCCGTGTTCACGTTTACCTCGGCTACGACGGGATTCCCATTGTCGACGGAGGCGATGCTCATAAAATCCTACGACCGGACTGGCCGCTACGATTTAGCGCCATGATTTGGGTATCGCCTAAAACCGTAGCGTTGAGCATCTCCACATTCATCTCTGTATGGTATGAAAGAGCCTGAGTAGTTTGAGCAATCGTCTTGACAAATTGTATATTTGTGTCTAATTTGAAAGGCGATATTCTTTACTTGGCGATATTCTTTACGATGGATATTGGTGAATTACTATCGTACAAGGTAAATTAATTGCAGTGTCTTAATAAGAACTGTCATGGGGAAATATAGAGGGGAATGATATAATAAAAGTATACATTAAAAGTATAAAGTTGTGTAAACAAATTGCAGCCACTTGCTTATTCTAACCTTTCACATTATATTTTTGTTTGATGTGTTCAAGTATTTGCTTATCCTCATTTTTCACGTACCGTTCTCGTTACTACCAGCCGCCAAATACTCCAAAACGTCCTGTACCAGGAGAAGAGGATGATGAAGATGAATGGGAGAATACAAAGAAGTCCAAAAAGGTGATCAAAACTCCATATCATCCACGACAGAGGCAGCCCCGAGAAGTTGAACTGACTCCTGTGAGAAGCAACGAGCCTCCTACACCAGTTCGTGCTGCATTGCCTGTACCAGCGAATGATATCGTGGAGCCACAACTGACTGAAAAAGAAAAACAAGATATTTTAAAATATGTAGAGACAGAGGCACCTGAAGTAGAGGCTCTGGATGAAGCTACGCTAAAGAGAATGGTGCTACTGTTTGAGAAGAGAGCCCTTAGAAATCAGGAAATGAGAGTTAAATTTCCTGATCAACCAGAAAAGTACGGATTTATATAGAAAACTGTGCATCTGTATGGCAAGTATTATATTCTTTTTTTTTATCAAACAGGTTTATGGAATCTGAAGTAGAATTACATGAAACTCTACAAGAACTTCACGTAGTTGCCACCAATCCAGATCTTTATCCTCTAATGGTAGAATTAGGAGCTGTACCGTCGCTCTTAGAATTACTGTCACATGAGAATACGGATGTGGCTGTGGGGGTAGTTGATCTTCTACAAGAACTCACTGACGTAGACATTCTCCATGAGAGCCAAGAAGGTGCAGACTCACTGATAGATGCATTGCTAGAGCAGCAAGTGTGTGCCTTGCTTGTACAAAATTTAGAAAGACTGGATGAGACTGTCAAAGAAGAAAGTGACGGTGTCTTTAATACCCTAGGTATAAAATCTTTATACCGTAACTTTAAAAATATTTCTTCCAAGCTGCCTTGGCAAACTATCAAATTCAATGTTTTACATTTTTAGCTATTTTCGAAAATCTTTTGGAATTCAGACCAGAACTGTGTAGTGACGCAGGTAAACAGGGTCTCATGCAATGGCTACTTAGAAGAATAAAAGCCAAGATGCCTTTCGACGCCAATAAATTATACGCCAGCGAGTTACTCTCAATACTTTTACAAGAAACGCCAGAAAACCATTTATTAATGGGCGACCTGGATGGTATCGACGTGTTACTCCAACAGTTAGCAGTATGTATAATCTTATAAAGTATATGCTTATGAATATTCCACGATCTTATTAAAAATTGTATTCCTTTCAGTATTACAAAAGACATGACCCACAAACGGCAGAAGAACAAGAGATGATGGAGAACCTATTCAACGTCCTATGCTCAAGTTTAATGGCTACTGTAAACAGAGAACGTTTTCTACGCGGAGAAGGACTTCAATTAATGAATTTGATGTTACGCGAAAAGAAAATGTCACGAAACGGATCCCTCAAAGTATATATACTCCTTATTTCTGATAATCCATAAAATTATTAAAATCTTATAAGTTTCCTTATCATAATACATCCACAGGTCTTGGACCACGCTATGAACGGTCCCGACGGCAGAGACAACTGCAGCAAGTTTGTAGACATCTTAGGACTCCGTACAATCTTCCCACTGTTCATGAAGACCCCAACGAAGAATAGAAAGCGGATGCTCACTGCTGAACAACACGAGGAACACGTAGTGTCCATCATCGCCAGTATGCTAAGAAATTGCAAGGGTCAGCAGCGACAGAGGCTGCTGAGTAAGTTCACGGAAAACGACTACGAGAAGGTCGATCGTCTCATGGAACTACACTTTAAGTACCTGGAAAAGGTTGAGGAAGTGGAGAAGAACGCTAAAGACGAAGAGGACGAGGAGGAGTCTTACCTAAGAAGATTAGATGGCGGATTGTTCACGTTACAGCTCGTAGATTATGTGCTCCTGGAGGCGTGCACTGGGTGTCCACCTGCGGTTAAGCAAAGAGTCACTAGGATTTTAGCACAGAGAAGAGCATCTTTAAAGACCATAAGGCATATAATGAGAGGTGAGTTTAAATGGTTAAAAATTGATTATTACATATATTGGGTTTATGTAATATATTACATATTTGGGATTATTATATAATTGATACTTCACCCTACAGAATATGCAGGAAATCTTGGCGATGCTGGCGACACTGAATGGAGGGAGGCAGAACAGCAACACATACTTCAGTTGATAGATAAATTTTGATAGTATCAATTATCCTTATCGTTATCAGACAAGCACAACAACGACCTTTCTATTTGGTACACTAAACTGATACCGCAATTAGCAATTTGATATCAAAAATTAATTGGATACAAGAATAGATCCATGATACATTCTCAAGCCCCATAATCTTCCTTAATCTCGAAAATATAGTGACGTCATTTCCTGTAATATTTACCATCCTTACACATACTATAAAATGATCAAACAAATATTTATAAATAAATATGCAGTACTTTTAAAAATGATTTCAGGCTTTACGAGTTTCAATCGCCCAATCCCGTTTGTCTTTTATTTTGTAAACTCAGTTACACATATCAGTCAGTCGCGACTCGCGTGAATAATCGAATTTCGAATAAATCAATCACTAACCAAAAAAGCTGTCAAGTCATCGTGACGTATAGATATACACTCGTTTACGAAACTATAATCAAACCAAATCACGTTATGCGTTTACAATTCTCACATCAGTTAAAACCCTAGTGATCCATCTAAATAAGCAAATGCAATGGACAGAGCAGAGTTAGAAAAACATCATCTACGCGAAGAGGAATGTCAATCCTGAGCAAACTCATTAAGATTCTACGAGACACAATAAGGCCATTTGAATCTGAAGATATAATATACGAAATTCAAAAAATTATAGATGACCTACGACCCATAGGATATCACGTGACCTATGCTCATTACGGTAAACCTAATAAAGGTCTCTATGAAAAATTCACCATAAGTAACAATGACATGAAGTACGTGGAAGAGCTCTACGAAAGTAGCAACAAGATTTATTATCAAAAGTGTCTAACAAATTTGGAACTGACAGTATACCAGGCAAGTAAAATAACCATCAAATTTTAAGTACCAAAAATCAACTAAGTGCTTCGGTCTTAGACGGCCTAAAAGGAGAAAGCTCTTTAACGTGAACATAAAAACTTTATTATCAATTAAATTAAATCAATCAGTTCACGAGTTTCTCTCTACCTGAAAGCTTGAAAGAAAAAGAGAAAAAAGACTCAGTTGTCGCAAAACTACTAATTAGTACAAAGTAATGTATATACCATCTATATATAACATCAGCCCACGATTACTCTCATCGCTAAATAGTAAAGTACTAGTCCAGAGTACCTGTATACATAATAAAAGCTCAGCTGAACCTATATACCGCAGAAGTTCCCACGTCGCCATGACTACGCAGCGTAACCGCGCATGTCCGTCTACCAATCAGACACAGCCCGTTCTAGGTGGAACGACGATATCAGTACGTAGGTTCCCTCGAAGGGAAGAATTACTACCAGGAAGACGTTACAGTGTCTACCCATACTAGGTGAACGCGAGGCTTTACGGTATCCAGGCTAGTAAAAGAGTGAACGATTAAGAAAGCTGATCCGCGAGAGTCCGTGTAAATAATATACAATAAGATTACGTTTCGTACGGGTCAACGTACTTATTGCTACGAAATCGATCCGGTATCGGCGTCCCGCGAAATTCCGGAGGAATTGATGGGTCTTGCGATAACCAGGAGGTGGCGCCTGTAACGGAGCAACCCGTCGTACACGTAGCGACTGGGAGAGCATAGTGAAAGTGCCAGTTAGCCGTTAAGCTGTGCCAATAGGAAAGCTTTCACGTAGCTTGTCTCATTGGCGTGAACACCAGGAGGCGATCAGTTGGTTGCAAGCTCCCAGGAGACGAGGTCTTCGTGCCTTCTGGTTTACTGCGGTTCTGTCACTTTGAGGCTTACTCCTTTTGGTGCGGTTTTGACGTATCCTCGACAAGGTTATCCTGCGAGCTTTCACTCGAACAGTATCGTCTTGCTCTCGTAGATGCTTTGGGCTTAATAAAATCGATATTCCCGCGCTGCCTTGCCTTTATAAGCACCGTAACGCGGCGCATCCTTTCTCTGGGGTTTGTGTACTCGCCGTCCAGGTGCTTCGCATGGGGATGACGGAGAGCTTGCGATTTTTGAAGTGCAAGCACAGGTGCAGCTAGCGTCGGGTAAGTTATCTAAGTGTGACAACAGGATGATTGTGATTATTCGATGATTATCAGAGGAGAATTTTGGATTGTACGGATAAAGGATTCCGGTCCGAGCTTCCTTTTCTAATTGCGAGAATGCTAAATCTTCACGTGCTTTTTACTACTGCTCTTGTACTGTCTCTTTGTTCTATTAGCGCTTGTCTCACCTGGATTAAACTGGGCCACGAGCTGGGGCATACGTATGTTTTGTACACGGCCTTTGGCAGAGACACGTGTTCATTTTCCTTCTTTTTTCTTGAGAGATTCCATTTCTACGCCTATTTTGAAATCATCTAAGAAATTCTTTAGTACCAATTTAATTTTGTAATTTCATTATTCTGCTTTGAGTGTCATGATCCACGTGACTTCGATTATGCTATCAATGATAGTCTGCAGGCGTGTTTCTATTTGGCGTATGGTGCTAGGATATACCAGTGATCTACGAGCCTGGATCACATTTTGAGCGTCGTCAGCATCAGAATCTCCATTCCAAATGAATGAGCGCCAAGTCGCTCGTAAAAAGTAAAGCTAATAGAAACAACTGGAAGTCACAAAGCATAGAGATTCTACGTTCCTGAAAGGTTAACGGGTGTGTGTATTTTATATAGGTATTAACAATGATTAACAAAATATTAGGACCACGTGTCAATATAAATATCAATCTCACCATTAACTTCATCTGAAATTCCTCCTCTTTGTACAATTCCTTCAAAATTACTTAGTAGAGCTGGTTATTCAAATCCACCCCAAGAATATAAAATCCTGGTACATCCATCCTTGAAAAATTTGAATTTTATCATGTAAATTATTTTGTCTATTTCCTGTAATTTTAGCAATAACAAAGATCTTCTTGTTTAAATAGAAACTGTTACAGTACAGTACCAGAGTGTTACACGTTATACTAGAATCTGTAGTTCTGCATAGTATGTACCAATGTACTATATTCTTATACATTATAGATCAGATCCAAGTACTATAGTATATGCTTACTAGTATCAACGATGCACCGCTGTGCCAGTGTATATAGTGTCCATGTCTGAAATACGCTTCCACGCACGCACTCTGTCAGGTTGCCAACTTCCAGTCGACGAATCCCTGAAGTCAGAACCGTAGGGCAGAGGTCAGTATACTGCGGTAGCCATTGCCGATCCACTAGGCTAAATTTGCTCGGTATTCCTTCTGCGAAGTAACGTCGGAATGACGTTACTATGCTAGTGCTTTACCCAGACATTTCCAGGAGATGACGTAGGAATGTTCCTCTCACCCTATTTTCACGGCTTCGCACATTCAACAGAGCCGTACATTCATGTTGATCAATTATTCAGTTATTCATGTTGATCAATTTCCAGCAGGAATTGTCAATGGATATTCTTCCTCTGGCTTGGTATTTCCTGGTGACATTCTTCCAGGAAAAGGTTGCTCTAATGTCAACCTCATTCCTTCCAGCTAGACCTGGCGAACAGAGTTTGAGAAACATGCTGATTATAGGTACTAGGTTATATATATGTAATACAGAAATATGCGAACCATTATCGATCAAACTGTCCTACATTTTCCATTTCCAGACAGTTTCTTCCCCCCTCTCTCTCTCTTTCTCTCTCGTGTAACTATAAATTGTCTTGGTAGATATTGTTTATAGACTAATAGCGCTCTCTGGCGGCTATCGATTGAACCATAACAGCTATCAGTACAGTTATAAGTACTATACCTAATTGTTGATCTGCATTAATTGTTTTCCATCTAATAATTTTTTTTTTCCTTAAGAGATTTCGTGTCCAGAGCTCTGCGTGTCGTATCAGGGTAACATGGACAAATCTATTGGATAGTTTCCAACTCCTCGTCAATCTGAAAATCCCATCCAGCACTCTGAACTGTACTCGAGGCTCGAGTGGCGGCAAAACGCTGACAGTACTACTCCAGAGAAAGGTGTAGACCCAGAAGTAGTGAGCGCCAGGCAGTAAGCTAGGTTAGCAAGGGCTGGAGCTGTCTTTCTGGTATAAATAAGTTTTTTATGACAGACGAAGCTTTCCAGTTTTTTAGGTCGCGCCCTCTATTTTCAGAATCTCTATAAAGCGACTGAAGATCTGGAGAGCATTATTGATTCTTTTGAAAATTCCCATGGACGATAAAACCATCGATTAAATCAGATAAGAGATCTTCATCTGGTAGAATTTTGTCTGAAAAATAAATTTTGATAAATTTTTTATCCGCTGATTCAATGCGACACGCGTCACGGCAAAATTGTTCTTACGACTGAGTAAATTTCCCTTAGGCACAACGGTAGACGTTATGATCCTTGGGAAGGAGAGTGTTTTGGTGGCGGCGGCCGGCGTCGCGACGTCCGCATCGATCCGTTCACTCTCACTGGTGCTCATGGCCCAGACCTCCCTCTTTCAACCTTAACACATTAAACCTTCATACAACTCTCTTTTTGGCTGATTTCTGAAATCCACTAAAAAAAATCTTTCTTCAGCGTACCTCTGACCTTTCTGCACTGTTCAATTTTTCCACAAGAATCATTTCTCTTAGTTGGCAGTACTTGGTTTTAATCGACTATATACAAGACCAACTCAGGTATACCGTTTGGTTGAGGTAGTAGTACCACGCCTGAAAAAAAAAACATGGGTACCACTTACGATTAGTAACCCCTCACAGAAGTTAGTTAAATTGAAAGGAAAAAAAAAAACGTTATAACAGCTCAAGCAGAAAAAAGAGGTTAAAATAATGACCCACCTTTTTATTATTTTCTTGACCTTGATCGAAGTAGTCACATAAAAGAGAAGCATTAAGGCTATTGAAATTCCGAATTTCATGCACCCCATTGCTATCAATAACTCTCGGGTATATCTAGTGCTAGATGATCAGCACTTAAGCCACACCTCACCTCAGCGACCTGACCCAGAATCGAATCATGGGTGTGCCCATCTTCAGTCAAGTATCCGCAGTAGTATTTAACGTCTATTAATTAACGAAAGCATTGATGACTATGGTTATCGAAAGGCATTAAAGAATCCAATAAAGTTAGATATACGAAACCGGTACGATAACCCAAATAGAAAAAAAAATTAAATTCCACATATTCCCAGTACAACGTTACTCTCATGACATTCACTAAAAATATCTTTGACTCTGGCGAATTATCAAGAAAAACTTGTCTCTAGTTTACTAGTCTTCTCTTTCAGTTTCAAAAAGATTCACGTGTACAGTAATTCCTAGTCACGTGTCTCATCAGGTACTAACCTAAGGCTATTACTACAGTAGCAAATTACTGGATGGTCAGACAGGAATATCTATTACTACGTAAACGGGATTCCCAGCTGATAAGGGAAATATATCAGAGCAAGATTTTCTCTCATTGCTTCCTTAATGTTCTTCTCTCTTGCTCTCTCTCTCTCTCTCTCTCTCTCTCTCTTACACTAGTCAGGGATGCGGCATCGAAGAAGTTTGAAGTTTTCATTGCCTCCATTCTATTCCCACTGGCAATGGATTCCCGCCGGCTTCGTGCCACGCGGTCTCCTTACACTAGTCAGGGATGCGGCAGCAAGATTTTCTCTCATTGCTTCCTTAATGTTCTTCTCTCTTGCTCTCTCTCTCTCTCTCTCTCTCTCTCTCTTACACTAGTCAGGGATGCGGCATCGAAGAAGTTTGAAGTTTTCATTGCCTCCATTCTATTCCCACTGGCAATGGATTCCCGCCGGCTTCGTGCCACGCGGTCTCATTGCCAAATATGGCTGGCTGCGGTATTCTTAGCCGAGCGAATACGAACGACAGTGGCCGAAGTCACCCGAGTGAACCGACACCAGGAGCACCAACCACGGCAGAATTTCTCTATTCCGAATTTCCCTGCGGATGATCTCGCTCGTAGCTCTCTTCATCCATCCTTTTCGTCTCTCACTTCAGAGAAGACCCTTGTCCACCCTGAAATAAGTGAAACTATCAGACTTCCTACAATATTACTGTAAAGTTCATATATATAAAAAAAAAAACATACAAAATGAGAACCTCAACATAAAGTACGCGCCCTATCAGGACGATAGCGGAGTTTTAACACCAATTAGGCGATAATTAATTGATCGCCGGAGTAACTAACGAGGTTATTAAGGTCAACCCTAAGCGTACAGGGTTCCTGGCTGTAGGCACACGTTACATATACCCACGGGAAGCGCATCCAGGAAATTGCGAAAGCTCATACAAAATATGTTCCTCAGTCTAAAGTAAAAAGGTGACACGACCTGATTATACACAGGCTATTCTAATACTATGTTAGAAGAATCATTTTTCTATTTTCTTCTAAACAGTGTGCCAGGGGACATCTAGGATCATACAAGACAACTAACTGTAATAGAATAAAGTCACTATACCTAATTACTATTAATTATATACGTAATTAATAATAATTTTAGCCCACTCAACCGTCCTCAACCTACAGTATCTCTACACAGACTTTATCGTAGACACTTGTACTGCCATTAACAAAACTTATATCCAACCACTGAACATTACAGGTAAACGTTAATCAAGCAATCCTTGCACAATCTTTTTACACCCACATACAATAAGCAATGCCCACGCTTTAGGCTCATGCAATAATACAAATTCTCTTACAAAATACTTAAAGATACAGTAGGCAGATGTCAGTTCCGTCAGACATAGCGAAGCTCTCTTTGTATTCTAATATCTTATTTGTAACTGACTCCTATCCTATTTTTATCCTAGTATGCTACAAAAGATACACAGTCGTGTAATCGACTGTCAAGTATACAGAGCTTTATAATTTACTCGGTCTAAAAAATCAGTTTATCATATATCCTCATATGCATATAAGAACAGCAATTATTAGCGACCTGAATTTCCAGTCGTGTATACGTTTCACTGGCGTAGGTGTACGTAAAGATAAAAATTACTTTCTGATCACCGTTACACTTTGACGTGTTTTCAACGTGTCTTTCCGTAAAGTATCACATACATCAATATGTGTATGTATATATATCATTATCATTATCATATGCACGTATTCTATGCGTGTCTGACATATGCAATACGTATATATACACCATAGCGTATAGACAGTGGGTAGATCTAGGAAGGAAAGGTGTTGTAGGTATTCGCCCACGTTAAATCACCGTCCCAAACTGAGAACGTTACGAGTTGAGTACGTTGAATTTATGGTGTGAAGTTATCTTCTATCAAAATTAAAAAAAGGCTGCATAGAAAATATTATTAGAAGCATGTAAAACCATAGCTTTGAATGTACAATTTAGAAAAAGATCATCAATGTTCATAAGCGCCTTAATGTTTGGAAGTGCACAGATGAAACGTAAATGATATTTCAAATTTAAAATCTCAACGTCCCACGGTATCTTCTACCTACGATTTTTCTTCGCTTTAAAATTCAATACGATACTGGACACTGTTATCGGTTCTCATTTACACCACGTTGTATATTCGTTGGCCATGAACGCTGGTCTACAGAGAAGACCTCTACGTCTGTCTCTATGGCGTCTGACAGCCCACACTTATTTTAACGTTTCCTCGCGAATCGAATCGTCGACCTAACCTGTTCAGTGTTCTTGTGCCAATGTGGGTAGAACAGTATTCCAAGATCGTACGATCCTTTCAAACTTTTATACTGACTTTGATTATTGTACCAAGTTTTATCTACTCACGAATAAAATAGTCTTATTCCACTATGGTTATGGATAGGTTTTGATTTTAAAATTAAAGCGATACCTAATTTCACTCTGACACGCCAAGGTGGATGGTAGATCAATAAAGATTTTGGAATTCGCTCTGTGGAATATTAATGGATTGTAACGGGCTAACTAGAGATGGTCTTGGCATTACGAAAACGTATTTACACTCCTCGCCACGCCTTATCATAAACCAACGGGATTCGTAAAGAATTTATATATACATATGTATGGTATATACACTGTTCACTATAGAATACGTAAGAAAGTCTACAATACACACACGCTCAATTTTATAGAACTTTATAGAGATCCTCGTGTAGATAATACTTCTAGTTCCGGTACTAATTATCCGACATATAATTAACAAACGATTAGCCTGCACCAGGCGGTTTCTAGGTTAGCACAATACAATCCCAAGGAAGCTATAGTAATTTCACGGCGAGCACCATATAACGTATAGGTTAATTCACGTGGACTGTTGGATACCCATTACGTATAAAATAACTCAAACGTGATTTGAATGGAAACGTAAATGAGCAACTGTCCAGTTTGAAATTCGTACGATCCAAGGATAAATCGGCGCCAGAGACTTGTCGACGGCCAAATAGCGTCGTATCCTATAGCTCTCGACGTATTCTCCGTGGTTTTGGAATGTTCAGATAGATTAATCAACGCCAACACCAGAAATCATTCACGAAGTGTCGTTCCTTTCTTTGAGAGACATTTGAAATGTCTGTATACCCGATCTATAAATAATGACTGTCACCAGGATACGTAACTCGTCCCAGAGAATATCCAGAGAACCTAAAAACAATAAGGTTAATTTCAACCACGTTCTACCGAAGTCATTGAGAAATGTTTGTTACATTTATATAAATTACATAGATTTGTCTTCCGTGTGTTACCCGTTTAGAAAATAGTCGAACACCGGAAATCCTTGAACGGAAACTCGTCACCGCTGAGCGGTTCAAATACTTTTTCCATCGACTGTCTGTTTTTATCTATCAACGTGTCTGTACCTGGTGTCGACCTCGTAGTATGCACGGCACGAGCGTACTCGTGACGCGATTCGATCGCCATTAGTGGGAAAGTCTATTGAGCAGCCTGGTAGGAGGATGCGATGGAGATCAGCTTTCCAGGATGAAACCTACAAGAGTACAAACAATCTATTAGATTGCTCTTACCAAACGGTTATCGAGTGGTAAACAGACGAATTTGAAAATTCATTATGGCGGCCAAGGCTAGACAAAAACTTTGAAGCAGGATAAATCTCTCACCGAACTGCTACTTACTACGTTGAAGAAGCATTGTACATGACGTTGTGATAGAAGGGAAGACACTGGGAAGAAGGGTGACAGTCTGAGCATCCAGTTACTTCCGGTTTGACTAGCAACCGACCCTTTTTCTTGGTACAGACGTCACACTCGCGAGTTAATATTAGCCGGTGCGGTAGACCGCAAGGAGAAGAGGGGACGAGCTAAGGGGGTATCTTAGTACCTATGTAGCTACCTGGAGGTCTACCCAAAGCAGTGCTCACCAGCCCTTATCCGCTTGCGTACTTATTTATAGTAATTTCCTCATGCAGGTTATACAGTCACATACAGTAGTAACGTGGACGTATATGGCACTTGTTAACAATAAGACACGTCCGTGTCTAAGGAAGCCATTTCAGTGCGATTACGGAATATTGCGGTCAGAAGTTGAGTTTAATCGAATTAAGCGCCTTTAAGAGTGTAGACGGAGTATAGTATAACTATATGGAACGTGAACAGCAGAGAACAGTAGCTAAGAGAAGTCCTAGGTATACGCATAGAATAAATAACACGTAAGACACGCCATGCATCATAATATGACTTAAGTAGTAGGCAGGCCATTTTGAAGAAAAGCTCACGATGCCTGCTTGGACGATTCAAACGAATCGTGGTCTAATTAGAGGACAACAGTCATAAATATTCCAATAGAATGAAACTTACGCTTATCCAGCTTATTTTCTTGGCACGTATTCTTCCTAGCGTGGCTGCACTCGATTCCTGAGTTAAGAAAACATGGCCGGCGCTTCTGCTGTATCGAATCTCGATACGGCATCTACTGTAAGAAGCACATGCACTAGGGACTTGTACAGTAGCTTGCTATTGTTAGAATATGGACTACAAAGGGCTGGATGGTGGCAGTGGAACGCCATAACAATACACGCCGCTTGATAAGCGGTTTCTCTTTCTATTTTTAAATATGCCATCCGTTACAGTAGCCGCCACCGACGAGCTTGCGAACTGAGCAAGAAAGCCTGCTGATCGAAGGCCTCTTTGTATTAGCCGTATACCAGTCATAGTGTCCGTGCACTGTCTATGTTCAAGAATAGAATTGCAAGGGAGCATCTGTAGAGAGATTTGGAAAGGATGAATTTACAGTTAAAATTATGGACTATTATAAATCATGAATAACTGTACGGTAATGATATTATTATCATTTGCAGAATCCTCATGACTGATATCTATTTACTGAACTGATAGACTATTGTTGATTGCGTAACTGGCTCCAGAATTGAATCGCATTATACAATAGTGATGGCGGTTAAGTGTCGTCTGGATAGTATGCTCGCACTAGGCAAGTTGATAACCTTTTAAGGAAGTTCTGATAACTGCAATGTGAATCATTCGAAGCCACTCAAACGTACCAGTGGCTTTTGTTTTTTTTTTCTTTTTCATTCTAGAATAAAACGAATGATTTAATCGCACTGTCACGGTGTGTAGGGAGCTTAAGGCTTATGTATTAGATATTCTACCCTGAGAGCTGCAGACGGGAAGAGTACATGGAACGGAAAGAATGAGAATAGCCAGCCCTCTCTTGCCAGTACTCGTACATTGGTGCGCGACAGGGATGTGTAAAAAAACGTAAGTCAGTCTTCTCGGCCAGAAATACATCTGGCTTGGTCGTCTGTAAGCTTCTTCGTTTTCTTCTTCTTCTTCTTTTTCATTTTGGTTCCTGACTGTTGGAACGACCGGAAAACCTTCACTTCACCTTTTCATTGAAGAAGTGACTCACTTTTTGGGAATTTTCCTCCCAGGCTGCAAAATAAGGATTGTTATTAAAAATTGAATGAGATCAAAAATATTTAAATATTCGAGTAAAAAAAAATATTCCGTAACCTTGACGTTGATGATCCGGTCAGTGCGGTTGGCCTGAAAAATATCGAAAAATTCTATCATCAAGAATTATTATGAGAAACAAGAATATGATAAGGGAATTATTTCTCGATGGCATCACGTATAATAGAACAGGTTATTTGATACCAGGCTATACGATTATTAGCAAACGTTAATCTGTTCATTATCAGTAAATAAACCTGCAAGACTGTTATCAATGGCAGAAAAATGTTAAATCATTCAATTACACTATTGCCAGAAATTTCCCTGTTCAACGTCAAAGAATCAGAGAAACAACGAACTACTTATCAGCTACGATTTTCATTATTTCATACTCTTATCAGTACCACTGCTATTAGACAAATAGTCTCGTTCTTCTCAGATAAAAAGGAAGCAGACCGATTGAACATTTTGATGAGAACTTATGGCAGAACTCAAGAGCCAGCCAAGACCCATTCGCCACTAACACGCTAAACTGGCACGTGGGTAGAGGAACGTTGATCCAAAGAAATTAGCACTTGGATCAAATTTATCAGTTCAACAAGACCATGGGGGGAGACGCCAGTAAAATTTGTTTATAGCTTGAAAAATGTCATTGAATTATTTAAGCAAATTTTTTTCATATATCTATGCACCAATCTATACTATTATCTCAATTCATAAGTGGCACAAACTCGAGCAGCGTCCCAGAAAGACTTGACTACGTTTACAATCGGCTCTATATATATATATACATATACATATAACAAGCAGCATATGTCTACATATGTAGACTCCACATGCTTCTACACTATCACGTATACTATAACCATTGGTTAGAAGCATACAGGGTTCAGTCGAAGCCGCGCATTCGTGTGGCACGCATCGTGCGTTGCTGCGTGCGCTTTGTAGAACAAATTTTCACGATAGAGTTATGCCCGTGGTCCCAGTACAGAATTGAAAATAATAGCGTGCACCACCCATATGAAAATATATACACAAGGGATACAGTGAGCGAGTGCGTGAGAAGGTACAAAAAATTCTAGAGTATACAAGTGACACTAATAAAATAATTCCTAGAGGAATTTGCTTCGTTAAAAAAAAAAACATTCAATTACATAGAGAAAAAGGTGAGGACCAACATCTTTCTAGAAATATTTCATATCATCACTTACGATGGTATAAAAATTCTATAACAAAACGTCTCTGTAACCCGTGCAAGTTCTTCGTTCTATATTTTTCGCACATTCAACGGTGCTAGAAAAGTTAGGACCACGTCGACTTTCGTTTCCGAGAAGCGGCTTATACTATTTAAGAGCGCCGGATCGGCTTAGGGCTTTGCATCACGTCTAATATTACAGGACGAACGAAAATAAACGCACTCTATCCAGCACGCACGAGCATCGCCAGACTGGGTACATCAGAGTTTACTACAGAGTTCTCGCGGTACTTCAGACTAGCCATATAGTGTAAATAGAAATAGATCAGTAAATATCTAATACAATAGGTATGTAAATGTAAATCTACTTTACTTAACAATCTGCTTATCGTTAGCCTACGTAAAGATATATACGTCTAGATATAAAATATATAGCGTGACTTATTATACAAGGTGGCCGAGAAGACGGAAACCTTAAGAAACCTGGTTGACGGTACCAGGGAGCTTCGTAGCACTCTGTCGTAAATTACATCGTTTGTACAAGTATCGACGTTTGCTCAGTGCTATTTTTAAACAGGCCGTCTCGTATTCTAATGTAGTAAACCACAAACGCGACCGAGTTATGCGATACGCGATACGTTTACGCGATGAGAAACAAGAGGGACGAACCCATGTCGTTAGCTTATCATATATTTGCTTACTCCGAGAAAAAGAAAAGATTGTACAGACACGTCAAGGGATCATACGTGGACATGCTGTGCATACATGATGGTGCCATGGGTAATTTACTCTGGCCTGGTTCAATGCGGCTCATTTTTTAATTATGGCTCATTTAAAAGAGCGTCGAGGGAGACGTTATTAGGTACTACTCTTATTTCACTTAACGATAGTGTAAGTTATATTCTATAACGAATAGGGTAGTTAGAGCCGTTGTAATATACATATGTGTATATATATATATATATATATATATATATAGTCTTTCTTTACAATGCGTGTCAGCTGTCTGTCTATCTATTGGACGATTGCGTGACCAAGATTACATTTTGCGTACCTCTAGCACGTAGTCGGTAGTACAGTGACGGTATACGCACGATAGTTGTGACGTTGGGTGAATAAGAAATTTAGTGAATTCGACAGAAGTTACAAAGGAACAGTTAAGGTACTCCGATGGAATATTAATTAAGATCAGATTGATTAATTAATTTATACACGTCGGCTGAGTTTCGTGCTTGGAGCCATACCGGAATCCTTTCTCTGTTCAGTGCTGTTGTAATGATAAGGGTTCTTATTGTACTTCCCGATGGACTAATCAGGTGGTTTTGTTTCTTTTTTGTCTTTTCAGGATAGCCGTCGTCAACAGCTGAGGCCTCTGATATCCTTGGGATCGTTCCAGGTCCTGTAATCACTTGGTCCGTGGCGAGTTTAAATGCCAGGGTATCGGTAGTGTTCCGTGGGAGTTATCGAGCGATAAAGAGACCTTAAAAAAAATGTAGAAACATGGCGCGTTAATTTTATCGTGCTGTCGAGCGCAGAGAGACATATTTTACGTATGATAGAGAAAAAAATAATTTTACGTGTATTCGGTAGACGGATGAAGGCGTGCGAATCCATGGGGAGAAATTGGTTGGTTGAAAGTGCTTGAGTTCTTTTTTTTGGTGCTTGTTTAAAAGTGAATGGTGCGTCTAGTTTCGTTATAGTGGATCAATCGAGAAAAGGGTATTAAATATTGCGAAGAGGATTGAGAAATAAAAGTGACGATCATGAGACCGGAGTACGGAAGAAGGTCGCATAGGGCGAGGAGATATCGTGAGGAACAATCAAAGCCAGGCCAGCTGGCCTGAGCTATGCCAGCCATTAGATCATCCTTGGATTCGCAGTTGGTGGGAGTTCCAGGTACGCCATCGCCAGGAAGAGTCTGTGCCACGCGTAGGGACCTCTTCCTCTCGGCGACGGTCGATCCGCGTCCAGGTCGTGCTATACACTGTCCTGATCTAAATGCTTGCCTGGTGAACGAGGGTCGTGCCATTCCTGACGAGGTCGACTGTCAAGCTGTCCACTTTGGATACGCCATACCGGTGAACGTGGTGCCTCTAAGGGAACGTCCTGATCTTGCTGAGCTGGTCCTGGACTCGACGAGCGAGCTCAGCTCTCAGGCAGTGAGCTATCTCCTGGATCATCATCCCCAGTTGCGGCAACAGAGACAAATGGCGGCCACTGCCAAACACGATCTTCGCAGGAAGTTCACGGCTGACTCCTCTGGCGAGGAGGACATCGCAGCCATAGCTAAACAGATCAGCGACCACGCAGAGGCTATATATCAGACGTGGAAGAGCAGGGGATTGGCTCCTACGGAAATACTTAATTGCCATAGCAATGCCACAGCTGCTGACAAATTTGGTACGGTATTGACGCCAACGTCGACGAACAAAGGATCACCCTCGGCGGTGGATATCCTGGCGCAAGCACCTAGTCTAGACAACAACAATCTGGAGAAGCTTGTGAACAATTTCGTAGTGGAGGACAAGGCGAGGATAGCCGCGTCGAGGCAAAAGTCACCAGCGAAGAATCTACCATCTTCCATACAGTTTGCCTTACAGAAATTCGAAAGGAACACGCCCCAGTCTTCACCGGCGAAGACGCCGACGACGCCGGTGAAGCCTCAGGTGCAACCAAAGTCCCTTAGCCTGACATCGCCTACCTCGACCTTTCCAAATAAACCGTCGCAAATAGTAAAGCCCCAAGTCTCACCCAAGACCCCCGGTGCTCACCACAATGAGATATTCCTGGAGACGATAGAGACGACCTTCCCGGCCGATCTGACGCCCTCGAAGATCATTGTCCAGCAGAAGAGGCCGATGAGTTCAGTTATATCCCCGGTGACGGCGGAAGCCAATCCCATGTCCTCGGGTCTAACAACGTGGCCCCTGAAAAACAAAATAGGTGAACCAAAGAAAAGCATTAAGAGTCCCCAGAGCCCAGAACCGCGTACTCCAACGAAGGAGGAGAAGCACGCGACACTGCCTAATAAAAATTCCAATTCTACTGCATACATGGACGAGGTGGCGCGCGAGGAAGAGCGGCTGATAAACGCATTGAAGACCGGAGCCGTGATAATCGATGAACCACTGGAGAGTACGAGCAGTCCCATCAGTAAGCAGAAACCAGCCATAAAGAAGGAGAGGCCCAAGGTCGAGCCAGTGAAGCCTATAATCCTGAGCCACAACCACAGCATGGTGTCACCAGGAATAGCCAACAGTGCTGGTGGCGCAGAAGCAAAGTCTCTTACTAAGGATGACTTGTCCACCATGTCCATTGTGGATTATGCCAAGGTCCGTTATAGGGCTGCGCAACAGAATCCAGTGACACAACAAAGATTAGAGGAGCACAGAAATTCTGGCAACTTCAATTCCACCGAGCAGTTGGTATCGACAACAAGAACAAAATTCGAACCTGAGACCAGCAAAGACAAAGAGTCCGGTAAGGATGAGCGTGACTTCGCAACCTCTAGGTGGGGACCCAGGATAAATTCACCAAGACCAAGATTGGAACAGGTCCCACATCCTGAGTTAACTACACAGCAGAGGCAGCATATTCGCGCAGCAGCTACCGGAACCGGAAACAATCCTGTCAGACCATTTCTCACAAGAGGTTCCGTGGCAGAGCGCGTCCTCATCTTCGAAAAGTGTCCGAGTGAGCTTCTTCTGGATAAACGTGGACCAAGGCAACCCGCCATTAACACCTGGAGAACCGGTCACGAGGTCCAGAGTAAAGCTCAGGTAAGTCTGAAAGACAGAAGTCATACGTATGAATACATCATAGAAATTGTATATTTATAAGACCAAGAAAGGTGACAAAGAGAAATACGCATCGGACCGATGAAAACAAGAGTCTATATATCCACGTATATACATACATATGATTCTCAGCCTTTCATTGGGAATCTTCTTGGCTCTCTCTAGATTAGTATATGGCGTATATACACCACGTCTATGTATATATATTTATTCGGGGAAGCCATTGGTCCAGGTCCAAAATCTCAAGACGAAGAGGCCCCCGCTCGTTCTTTGTGTCTCATCGTTTTAACATTACAAAGAGAATTCGAAAGCTTCAGAAGGATTTACAAAAATCGTTCCTATCCTGCTCTGTCCGAGGACACAAATCTTGACATTTAAAATATCCACGAACAAGCATAACGAACGAACATTCCTATATAGATACAGTCATTCTTCTCTACGTCGTCTATCTATCATCTATCATACATATCCATTACGATGATACCATATTAAAATCATACGTGGCCAATGGATATTAATTGCCTTGCTTATAATTAACCCCTAGGTAAATTAACGAACAGACCATAACAAATCCTACGAGCATTACCGTAAAAGCTACAGCGTACAAGGAGAGAGATCGTTAGCATAGTTGTCGGAATCTTTCATCATTGAAAGATCATGTCCATAAGTGATGAATCAAAAGCAAAGAAATAAGAACAAAGAGAAGAAAAGCTATAGTTATACTTCTATCGCTATCTTCACAATATATAATAATCTTATGTGCTATTGCGTGATTCGTTATTGGTCCAGTAGAAAAGAAAATAGGGTGATAATATAACGTAGATAATACGTTTTAGCACAAGCTGATACCGCGTATTCATCTGGCTGTGATCCAGACCGACTTATCCATCCGTGCATGAGATACGATTGCCATTGGTTCTTCATTAATCAGTCTTTTCTTTTGGCGATGACTGCCAAAGACCTGGACCGCGTGTCACTGAAAAATGGATCGTTGTGTTATTGGAAAAATTGACAATTATAAAATATCTAGGAAAGGCAATAGCTCACGCATATAAATTCCATACCTGGCTTTCTCCATGCGGTGAAAACTTCACGTTTTCTAGATAACCAGTCAGTCGTTTATCTCATTTCCACGACCGTAGCCATAAGTCATAGGTGTACATATACGTATGCATACACGTGTACTAGCAATTGCACAATAATTGAACAATGACGGAGTTACAGGCTTGGCAGTACTTTGCTGTCCGGAAATTATTCCTTATCGCATACCACTGGACAGATTCAGCTTCCTGAACATAAAAGTACAAATTTAACATAACAGTCTGATGAATAGATATTTTGAAGAATTTTTTATTTCCTAAAATTATTTTTCCTGCGACACTGTGTACCTACTGGTTGGCGCCACAAACTATGTGTCTTGTCAAACAAGGAAACTGGAATAATCTCATGCTCTCCAGTTTCCGTCTGTATCCGTCTATATCGAGCGTGACGGAAGATCGTATCCTGACTTACTAACTGGCCACGATTAGTCCCTAAAAAACGGTTCACAGGAGCCCATTAGCCAGACGTCTAATAAATAACGTACGATCCTGACATTAGATATCTGTCTGTGCATACGGTTTATTTTACCAGCATCTAGAACCGATCGGCAAGTCTATATCTACATCAGGATTGTCTTTCTTGTATAAATAATTAGATTACTTTTTTTATCTTGACTTATAATAAATATTATTCTTCGCCTGCAAGCTGAACCTAACAAATCTCTATAGCATAGTATTTGTTTTATATAACTGTAAAAGATCCTGTATAGGTATGCTATGTACTTATTCTAGTTTTGCATAAAACTTCTAGTCGCAAATTCGCCTGTACCGTTACTCAGGAATTTATAAACATAGTCACCTACAGAGTATACGTGTACAAGCTCAGATACAAAAGTACTACATGGGTAGTCATACGCATACATATGTGCTGGATAATCCGGCAACTGCATAGGGGAAGATATTTATGGATGCACCCAGTATAGAATCTCAGGCTTCTGTTACCTTTCAAGTAACCTCTCTCCCACGGCAGTGGTACCCGTTAACGCGCTATCAAAAGCGTGAATAAAGAAAGCACGGGAAGACATTAGAGTTGGCAATAGAAACACAAAGGATTTCCCTCCCAGTTGGGATAACGAAACCAAGTGTAGAGTATATGTATGTACATGGTATTATAACAGATGCAGCCACGAGCAGCTGTTGCTGTTCTGCGCCATTTCTGGTCAGAAGGCGAAATCGCCACTGCGATTCAGTGCGAAAATGGAAGCTGGACGTTACTTGAGAGTCGATTAAGAGTATCAAAGCTAAGAGCGATGCAGAAACGTACCAGGTTAGGTTGGCATTATTGAAACCGGATCAGAGTCATAATACCTAATCGTGTTTTGTGCCCTAACGTATTTGGCCTGCGCCAATGAGTCATATGACTCGGCTTGACTTGACTTGACTCGAGTACAGGGTTCTCGTTACGATTAATGTTACACGATTCCTAACACAGAATTACCACGTGAAAACCGCGCGTGTCCGTGGCACTAGACACTATTATGGTCACAAGAAATTCCAATTGGATCTATACATACTTACTTGAGGTCTAGAAGAGTCGCCTAAACTCTCTCGCGGTTTGTTTACCATTATTTTCCTTATCTTGCATGTATCTTTCACACTGTGGCTTCGGGTGGTAAGAAAAGTACTCACGATCTTTATTTCACGGGCGACTTATAAAGATTGCTTACAAATATTCTTCCTGGAATACTTATTGTTCTGTGAATTAGCGAAACTCTGAATGCAATTCTTTACGACAGCGTAATACAGGCTTTACACGTGTCTGAGACAGGAAGTGAAATACTGCTGCTTATAAATGAACTTAATAAAGCTATCTTTTTTAATCTTATCCTAGTAATTCAAATACGCCTTTTTACAGTGCGACTCGCAGTACCAAGACTAGACTCTTAATATCCCACGTATTCATATTTGTAACATGTACCAAAAAGGTTCGTGACTTCAGTCGAGTACGATGACTCACTGTAACGTAATGCCCGTGTAAACAGTTCAACAGAGTTTTAGGGTATGCAAACTACAAGCCCTTTTACTTATTTAGATTCCCTAAGTCTCTTTGCCTTGTCTAATGCTCGCAATGGTACCAGATAAACTCATTACCAGTGTCCAACAATTTTTACCTGAAAAAGTGCATGGTCACATTGCGCATTGCAATTACTCCTGTATACTTGCTATAAATAAGCTCAACGACCATGAGACAGAGAGTCACATAAGGCCAATTGTACATATGATTATAAATGCTTGACTGCAATAGCTGAATGAGCTCTGCCTAAGTTTAAAAGAAAATCATGAAGTAATCGTTATAGGCTAGCATAAGGTCACATTTCGTTAGCTCGTCCCTTGACCTATACCAGTCAATTTGGCAAACAAGAGAGCAAGCTCAATCAAGGCGCGGTCAAATTCACAATGTCAATTGGCAGCATGATTGACAGTATCCGTACACTAAGCAGCGAAGCATGCCAAACGCACTCATGTTATAGGTGTAATCTGATATATTATATATCCTAATGATTTAACCTGGAAATATATTATTATAGAAAGTATCCTTAGGCCGCTAGCTTCAATTTCACTTCAGTCTATTTAATCGACCTTTTTGTTAGCGATGAGAGCCGCTCATATTAATGGCTGGACTGGGTCGAGATGATTATAGCGGTCAAGACGCTTTCCGCAAGGATATGCATATTCCAGATTTTTTTTCTTCTCTCGCTGTAGTCATCCGGCGGTGCTTGTAGTCGCGCGTTGTAACGCGTGGACAATTCTGTTCCAGGTTACTGAGAAGTGAGTGAGTAAGTGAGACAGGTAGTGGAATGATGTAACGTAGTAGGATGAGGTGCGGCAACGTATTAACTACCTCCACAGGTTTCTTTGCATTCTTCGAATCCTTCTTACAGCATCGTTAAGCAGGGATGCCTTGTCCTTGAAGATGCTGATGCTACGTAGTAGCAGCCAGTTCGACGGGATCCTGAGTAAATAAATAACAGAGTGGAGAAGCTCTCGCCTGTTATTATTATGTCATTCTTTTTTTAATTTATATATTGTGCACTACTTTACCTGCAGGAGAGTTTGAATTAGTGGACGATGCTCGGTCGGACGTGGAGAATGTTGTAATGATATAATCCTTCCGATATCTACGGTTCTAATCGGTTTTCATGCTTCATTACAGACCTACGTGCGAGAGAAGACACAGCAGAAGAGTTTACCACCTCACACGACTCTTCAGAGACATGTTAAGGCTAACAGAAATGTTCATATACCAAGGTATGCAATTGATTGTGCATTTTCTTTGTTTACGGCGGATGCCAACAATTGTTTCTTGATATTTCTGTATCTCTTGTATCGCTTAGATTTTATTTCCCTGGCGGAAAACCAAGTTCGCCCGCGCAATTGGAGGCGACTGTTGCACGAATCACAGCGGCCTTCCAGGCTTTACCTGGACAACAAGCGGCGCGCGCACAATTCCATGCAATTACCAAAGTATGAGAAAATATATATATATACTAATAATAATATATAATGGACCTTGAAATTCTTATATATGAGAATATTTCAATTTCATGTATCCTTTGTATTGTTCAGGCTTGCGATTTGCCACTGTACTGGAAGATTCCCCTGTTCCTTGCAGCTGGTGGAGATCAGAATGGATTTGTCGAGATGAATCCTTACCTTGATTTTTGGAAAGAGTGAGATATTCATTTTTTATATAAATCATAGTCTTATCGCTTACAATTTTTCATAATGAATAATAATTTGATAGATTATCCAATACGCACCATGACGCTGCTAGCAAGTTTGTCAGGATCACGACAAGAGGTCTCAGGAACAATATCCTTCCGGAAGATCTTATTCCTCTGGTGCAGGACGTGGTCGAGACCCATCCTGGTCTGACTTTCCTTAAGGAAGCTACAGAGTTTCATTCTCGTTACGTTCACACGGTAATTAGTTATACAATTTTTCTAAAACAGATCGCACCATCTTCTACGTCTTTCTTATAAACTTTTATCACCAGGTCATCGCCAGGATATTCTACTGCGTTAATCGTAGCTGGAGTGGCAAAATCTCAGTTGCTGAATTACGAAGAAGCAATCTTCTGGCTGTTATTGCTGTGCTAGAGCACGAGGAGGATATCAATCAAGTTACTGCATACTTCAGCTACGAGCACTTCTACGTTATCTATTGTAAATTTTGGGAACTTGATCGCGATCATGATCTCTACATCGACAAGATGGATCTCACCAGGCACAATGATCATGGTAAGTAATTCCGGAATAAAGGTGAAACAAAAAATTCGCAGATTAAATTAATGTCCGTTTGTAACGAACAGTGTTATTGTATTATTGTTTGTTATTCCTTTTTCACATCTTTCAGCACTATCTACACGCATGATTGAGAGAATATTTAGCGGCGCTGTTACCAGAGGAGGTGTCAAAAGTGGAAATGGAACTCCGCAGCCAGAAGATAAAATGAGTTATACAGAATTTGTCTGGTTTTTACTCAGTGAGGAAGATAAAAATCATCCCACAGCAATAGAGTATTGGTTCAGGTATAATAGAATTTGGATATTCATAAATATCTTATCAAATTTTACAAATTCTGTAAATAATTACTCACAATGTATGCTCCGTAACAGATGTATGGATTTGGATGGAGATGGTTACTTGTCGATGTATGAATTGGAATATTTTTATGAAGAACAATTGCATCGCATGGAAGCCATTGCTATAGAGACTCTGCCATTCGAAGACTGCCTCTGTCAGGTATTAGAAATATTTTAATAAGTCATGTCGAACATTCATTAAAATAATTAGAGTGTAAATTAATTTTACATTGTTTTTCTAGATGCTGGATATGATTCATCCAGTAACACCAGGAAAGATATCGCTGAGTGATTTGAAGAAATGCAAGATGACTTCCATCTTCTTCGATACATTCTTCAATGTTGAAAAATATCTAGACCACGAGCAGAGAGATCCATTTGCATCTACAAGGGATCACGACGCGGACGGTCACGAGGTAATTTAATAAACAAAAGCAATTATAGGTTGGGCTTAATTATCGGGGAAACAATATAAATTTAAGAAAGGGGTACGACAACAATTATATAAATTATTTCATGCAAATGAAATATAACTTTTTAGGCAAAGCTTTAAAAGATAAGTTTGGCTTTTGGGTATTATCGCGCAGTCAGCTGTTATCATTATCATTCATAAATATCACAATTTCTATTTACTTTCACTAAACAGCTATCCGATTGGGATCGGTTCGCCGCTGAAGAGTACGAACTCCTGGTTGCCGAGGAAAGCGGTAACGAACAGAGTGAACAGATGTAAGTATAGGAGACAATCCCTCAGCTTCTATATATCCTTATCATATAAACCCATTGAATCCCAAGTCGCCATCCTTATAAGGATATCAAAATTTCGACATAAATATAAAATGAAAGAATATATAAAAAAAAAGATTTTTAAAAAACAACAAGCATGCGTAGATTTCCCAGTAGCACGATCATTCTTATTGACTAAATGATTATTGTACTGTACAAGGAATATCTAACGAAAAGCACAGAGAGTTTCATTCATACTCGCATTAAGTTCCTCTCCAAATGAATCAGAGTGTCATCGATCATTGCAATACACATATTTGATACAACGACGAATCAGTGATACGTAATTCACAGTCGTCATTGTAATCATTAAAAACTAATGGAGGCATGCATCATGCATAGGTCTTAGTTATCTTCTTTAAATTTGGGATTTAACGTGGCTGATCACTCTGTTACACTGGACGTGTTATGGACTGAGTTTTATATTTAATGACGATGGTGCGATATGCGTTTGTTGCAGGCTGTGTGATGATGAAATGTAACCATCATCTACAGCTCAGTAAGTAAATCACATGTGCATGCACCTGTTCCAGAAAGCATGTGTGTAATTGTTTCTCTTGAGCATAAATATTAATGATTGCACTTAGCAAGTATACCCTTAGACAATTTAATGTTATATTTCAACGTGTGTTCTATTGACGTTGCCATATGTATATCTTCATTTTTACAGTCAAAGGAGTAACGACTTGTTACTTCTTGTATTTTGACAAGCATTTTTCTAAAAGCTTCTTATTGTGTTCCTGTATTAATGCCTCGTGCAGTCTCTTCTTGATTTATTTCTGTAACAAAAACAAAAAAAGCCTTTAACACACACTGTGTACTATCGTAGGCAAAATCATAGAAAAATAATATTACAATAGCACCACAAGATGACTCACCCAATGAAGATTTTCAGCACGCATACTTGCCTTATTACACACAAATTTCCATGTCTATGGATAATCATTGTAATAAAATTTTTTTAGGTTGTACGAATCCGCGTCAGAGGATGCTCTCTCCCCAAATCTGGACGTCCTCGTCGGAGAGTCCGTGGATCTTCCTCAGGACGGTATCCCATTACGATTCCACGAAGAGATATCGTCCGTGATACAACAGCAATTGAAGAGTCAGCACTACGACAGCTGTGACAGCGATGACTATGCTGACAGTGACAATTAGTCCAGTTGGTGCCTCCAGTGTAAAGAGAAGCAAAGAATTTGATGAATCCTGTAAAAGAGGAAGACAACAATTAATAATTTCTCACAATAATATAAATATTCCTTAAAGGGAATATAACTGAACAACAATGACTGTACAAGAGAAAGAATCATAAAGTTGGAGGTGTCGAGAGACAGATGTAACAAACACTTCTGTTAAATAATATCAAGAGAAATTGTGTTACTGAAAAGATAAACTAGAAACGGGATAGACTACAGATGATAATCCCACGGTTGTTCAACGCGTTACAACGTTGTGTACTTCAGGTTGTAAATAGACTAAATTATTGACAGATCTATTATTACTTATTAATTTTAATGTAAAGGAGTTTCTAGTTAAACGAGAATCAGTCACTCTCCGAAATTATAATGAATTACACGTGACAATTATACAGGTCGTTTAGTTCGGTATATTGCACTTGCTTTTCGACCTCTATATATTGATATATCGTCGACGACGCGTTATTAATATAATTACAATTACATTATCACCACGTATTACCATTGCATACGATTAAAATATATACATGTACGTACGACTTAAGTATTTATATACCGAGGTAGTAATCGAGAAGTACCGAAGTTATTTATATACGGTGTCCTTTTTAACGCGATCGCTTAGAAACTATAGAAAAAAAAATAATAACGCTCTTCCCAATAATGATGAAAGGATCGCTATACGGATTTAGATATATATATAAAAGCGCATACAGGAAAATGACATGGGCCACGTGACCAACAATGAAAAACAAAGAAGACAATAGGGAACTGATATTTGTCTCATTGTTAACGATCGCTACGAGACGAGAATCGATTAATGTCTCTTGGATTAGTCACACAGAGAAAAAAAAACCAAAGAGACGCGACTTGTTCTTGCTTTTTTCTTTCTTTCTCACTTTTTCTTTTCCTCCTGTCACGCGTTTAATAAGTCCATTGCGCTGACGTGACTTCACCTAGGAACAATGGTATAATCGCATAATTACAAACAATAAAAAGTCATGCTAGTAAATTTCGATTAATGAGAAAACAGCAAAGCTTTGTTGCTATTACCACAGCGTTAATTACGGATCTGCTATATCAATTTACAATAAATATTCTGCCAGACCTTTTGTACTTTGCTGTGATTGCATATCTAATTGTATTACAACTATTGGCGCCGGTACCCGGTTCACTGGATGGAAGTTCCAGTAGAGGAGCTTGTAATTTTCCTTTTTTTTATTACTTTCCCAAAATCAATCACCAGCTATTCCCTGTATCGGCTTAACAGCTCATACGTTATCTGCCGTAGTCCATTTTAATTTTTACACGCGACATTATATAGTTTTGGTTAATCAAGACTGCTGGATTGTACATATTAATTTCTTGCGTTTAAGAATAATTTACCGTCATTCGCGTATACATAATCTTTCTAGTCCAATGTGTGCTATATGATATATCCCAGATGCGGGATAGAGAAGTCCTGATGGGTCGTCCGTTTTTGAATAAATAATAACCGAGCATCAGAATCATCCCCGTTGGTATTTCGCCTGTGGGATTGATAAAGTTATGATTAAAGAGAAGAGACAAAAAAGAAAAAAAAAGATACATACGTTAGTAGGTGGTATTCACTTTCGTTGACTGTCCAAAGATGTAACTATTATGAGTAGGTTGTTATGGTTTTTGTACTATTTATACATCCTAGGCTCCTTTTTAGCGTTCCAAGATGATTTATATATTTAGGAACGATTACGATCATTTATTAATGCATTTTTGACGATATATATATACGTTCGATTGTTATAATATATTTATTCATTACATCTATAATAGGTTTATCGCTGTTCAGGCAAATTGCGTGCCACCCATTCTTAATGCCACAGGCGTGAATCTCTCTGTATCTTTTTTTTTATTATTATCCTCTGGTCGCGCCTGGTGGAAGAGTCTTGGAGAAAAAAATTATTAGTAAGAGATCACTGTATTGTTTTTTTTTGATTTTGCTCGTATCGCTTTTTGTTAATTATTATAAAAAAGGCAAGAGTATAATAATAATAATACCAAGAGAATCGCAGAACTCTTACGTGTAACAGAACGTGTAATAACGTTATATGATATTTTTATCAATTATGAATTTTCATTTGTACCATTATCTTGTGCATGAGTAGACGAGTAAGCCCATTTTACGAGTTACAAAATAAATTCAATGGTAAATGAATGAATGGAGGATGAAGAATTAATGAACGATAAAGAGACTGTGGGAATATTAATTAAAAAAGATATACGTATACAACGGATACGTATGCGTTCAACCTGCATTAAATAATTGTTTGATATTTTCTTTTTCTTTGCCACTTTGTTCTAAATCGAGTTAGAATTTATTAAGAGATTCAGGTATGTATTCCCGTTTAGGAATTATGATTGCGGAGCCATTATGAGCCTTAAAAGTAATTTTAATGATAATTGACAACGTTCACGAAGAGGATATCCCCGTAATCTTCGTTAGGTTATATTGGTCATATCGCCAGCAGGATTATCCTTTATTCTTTTAGTTTCTCAAGACAGTTTCACGGATATTTAATTATTCCATACTTAACCTAATTATGTATGACTGTCAGATGATTATTTCCAGGATATAATCAATTGGTAGCGGTAATTAAGGGAGGATGGTTGAACGTTATGAGTATTAGCGGATATATATATAATGTATATCTGGTATATCGACACGTATAATGGATGTGAGCATATGTTAATTTATGACTCAGGGGTCAAAGGTGCCTATATAATTGTGACCCTAAGTGCTAATCTTAATTACTGCCATGACGGAATGGAAATAGATTCAAGAAAAAAATGTCAGGTATTCATATGGAATTCTTATGATCATGTAACTGTTTTTTTTCCTTGGAATTTCTTTTATTCCGTCGTGAAAACTCTGACCGATATGTGAATAACCAACGTATATTTGGCGAAAATGTGTATTTCCTACTGACCTGCTAAAAAGCCAATCCTTGTTCCATTGTTCGATGAGAAATTTTCATTGTTTCGTCGGCATGTCTTAACTCTTTGCCAAAATCGAGATTGCTGTAAAAGGGAGGAACGACGAGTGAAATTCGAAATACATTGCAATTATGAGACACCGAATATGTGAGAAATCTTTTCTGCATTCCCTTTACGTTATTAGTTAGTATTTTTCGTATTTGTTAGTTCTTTTACGGTGATCTTGTTCGGCGTTTCCTTGTACCGGCAAAATCAACAATGGCTGCAAAATTTGAATTTCGCGCATGCGTAGAACGGTGCTCGCAGAGTATTATGAAGCTGCAAGAATAATTTTCGTAGTTCTTATGAAAACGTTCAATTTCTTTGTGGAGTATTTTGAGGAATTATATTATTTCTATTCATAGCTCTCTTTGAATATGATTATGGTTTAGGAATTGGAGTGTATGTTCATTTTTTAGAAAAATGACGAAAACTGAATTTGCTGATATTTTAACATATTTCTATGCGAATTCATATGTGCTATGAAATCAGAACAAGAAACAAGATTGCCAGGTGAGAGGAGCAACGATTGACAGCATAAGACACACAGTTTGTTTTTGGTAATATGCAGAACAATTTTTAGTTGTCAGGCTACCAGTTGCTCTTACAACAATTGTTCTATTGTCGCTGTGTTTCCTCAACTCATACAATGGTGACTTTGTGTTCGATGACACAGAAGCTATTGTCAATAACGATGATGTCAAAGATACATTGATATTAGATATCTTCAAGCATGACTTTTGGGGCACCAAACTTATCCATAAACAAAGTCATAAATCTTACAGACCTCTTACCATCCTGACATTTAGGTAGATATTGTTATTAGTACAATATATATTCTATTATTGATTATTCATTATTGATTTTTATAACTGATTTTTACAGAGCACAGTATTGGATTCGTGGGTACTTAAACCCTCATGATTTTCATATAGTTAATATTATATTACATATCATTGTTTGCATACTAACATTCTTTGTATTTGACATATTATTGGGTTCAAAAGCTCACAGTATAGCATTTTACGCTGCAGCACTGTTTTCGGTGCATCCCATTCATACAGAAGCTGTAAGTGAACTTAAATGTAGTTATGTCAAATCCTAATTCTATGTTTCAATTATTCTATAGGTTTCAGGTATTGTTGGCAGAGCTGACGTAATATGCGCTTTATTTTTTTGGTTATCCATAATATTTTACAGTAAGAATATTAATGCACGTGGAACATACTTGAAATGGAGCAGCATGTGTGGTTGCATTCTGTGCATCGGCATAGCAATGTTATGCAAAGAGACTGGTATCACTGCAATTGTACGAAAACTAATATTCCCCTCTATTTTAATAAAAAACCATATCTTATGCACTATATGAATTTCTAGGGTATCTGTGCTATTTACGATATCATTATAGTCAACAAATTGTATCCCATGGATATAATACGAATATGTCAACTGAAAGACTCATTTAGACCTATGAAGCAATTGGTTAATTCAAAGTACAAACTTTGTATCCGTCTTATAATTCTTTGCATCTCCACAATGATGCTTTTAATGCTAAGATTCAGTATTATGGGATTTTCTACTCCAAAATTTCAACCTGTCGACAACCCAACATCATTCATGGATAGTTTCATTCTACGAGTGCTTAATTACAATTATATCTATTCATTAAACACCTGGTTAATTCTCTGCCCGGAATGGTTGTGCTTTGACTGGTCAATGGGTTGTATACCAACAATCGAAGGATATGATTTTAGGATCCTTAATATAATAATTCTTTGGTCCGTACTAAGCATATTCCTTACGAATATCCTTACTGCTAATAATGACAGTTACTTAAGGTAAACAAAATTTATTCATAATGTTTAATCATTAAATTAGTTCCAACATTAAATCAGCTTAACTTTACAGATGTACGATAATGGGTCTAGCCCTACTGATCGTTCCATTTTTACCAGCCAGCAATATTTTTTTCAACGTGGGTTTTGTTCTTGCTGAAAGAACTCTTTACATTCCTTCTGCTGGATATTGTCTACTGTTTGCAACGGGTTTGGAAAAACTCTATGGGCACGTGTCCTGGCGCAAAACACTCTTGTCACTCTATATTGGATTAATTGCCATCTTCTTCGTGCGATCCTGGATAAGAAGTTACGAGTGGAAGACCGAAACTGAGCTGTTTCGTGCAGCACTTGACGTCTGCCCTCTTAATGCTAAAGTGCATTATAATATTGCAAAGAATGCCGCTGATCTTGGAAACGCGACATACGCCGAAGAAGAATACAAAGAAGCTTTAAGACTGAATCCTAATTATGCTCAAGCTATGAATAATCTTGGGAATTTATTGAAAGATCGTAAAGAATTTGTTGAGGCTGAAAAACTTTTTAAACGAGCTGTAGAACTGCAGTACGTTTAAATAGAGAATTTTTAGTTATACTGTTAAAGATATGTTCAGGAGTTTTATATTTCAGAGATGATTTTGCTGCAGCTTGGATGAATTTAGGTATTGTTCTTTCGGCACTTGGAAAGTATCAAGAAGCTGAGAGAAGTTATACGATAGGTTTGACTCATAGAACCAAGTTTCCTGATTGTTATTACAATCTTGGCGTTTTGGTAAGTTATTTTTATCATGGTTTCAAAGTTTCTAATTTTGATACAAGATCAATTTTCTGATTTCAGTATTTGGAGCAGAAACGTTATGCGGAAGCATTAAAGGCCTGGGGAAATGCGACTAGACAAAAAAATACTCATCGTCGTGCCTGGACCAATACTATTCTGTTACTTGATCAATTGGGTATGTTCTCTATCTATATTCAATTAGTCATCCAATATAGAAAATTATATGTAATGTGAATGATTCTTTAGGATTGCAAGAAAAGGCACTGGTTGCTGCTACTGAAGCGTTAAAACTTATTCCAGACGACGCGTCCATTTATTTCAACATGGCAAATATTTTGGGAAAAGCAGGAAAATTTGTGGAAGCTGAGAAATACTTCAATGGCGCAATATCGAGGGATGCGAATAACCCTACATTTTATACTAATTTAGGTATTAACAAATTTATATCATATACATCGTCAATTACAGATATATATAATCTAATTAATATTTCAGGAGTTTTGTATCACCGATGGAAAATGTATGACAAAGCTGAGAACATGTACAGAAAAGCATTGGAAATTAATCCAGGACTACGCAGTGCAAGGGATAACTTAAAAAGGCTGAAAAAATTTTGAACAGTAATAAAAATTACGGATTGGATTTTGAAATTGACTTAATCACATATTTTACAGTTAAGAGTAATTAGTTTTATGGAAAATCAGGATCAAAGGGATATGGATATGCCTTAAAGTTACCAAGTTTCTTACCCTTCACGTAGTTATAGGACTTGAAGCAAGTGTCACAAAAGAAGCAAGGATTGTGAGGTAATCTGTCATTGTTTGTTGTGATCCATCGAACAGCATGTACACCACACATCATACAATATCGAGAAGGTCGAGGCCTTATTCTGTGTATTCTTGGGTAACTGGATACATCCAGGTTGTCATCAAAGTTTATTAAACTGTCAAAAGAAAGAATAAAATACTCAGTTTCATAATGAAGTATTTTGACATATTTATGCTCTACGTACCGAGCATCACTAAATACAATGAGGTGTTCGCAAGAGGCTTGGTGCTGATAGACCCAGGGAAAGCCAAATCTCACTGATAAGGAGTCCACACGAACATCTGCCATCGATGCTGTCTTGAAGGGACCTAAATTTCTGGTCTCTGCCCAATCACGAATAACTTTACTATAATCCTCATTTGTCGGATCCCGAAAGTCGTTGTAAAATGTATCTTCGATGTAAAAAAAACCAGATTTGTATAGCTCCTGCAATATAAGGAGATATATACGTCGATTAATTTCAATACATAATTTATAACTGAATGTGAGCAGAGAACAAATCACCTTTGCTGAAGGTCCTGCTTTTCTAATAGGATGTTTACTGACGTCGGTAGATACAGATAAATCAGATATACAAGATATTTTGTCTCTCAATTTATCTAGTGTTTGGAATCCAAGCATAACTATAACGCAGTTTAAAGAAATCTTTTGGGGCTTGTCCACGCCTGTATTTCTATGCATAAAAGGATTGTAGACACGAATATATATTAAAGTATCTTGTCCTGGTTTGGCAAGAGGACCTGCTGATTTTGCCACATCGTGTTGCTGAAAGAAATTGGCTATCAAACTGTGATAAATAAATGTCCATTGTAGAATTTTAAAAGTGAACTCACAACATAAGTCTCGCTCCGATATTTTATGGAGTTGATGGTATTAGACTGTTTGGAATTCAATCTTTTCTTTAACTCCACAAGTGTCTGTAGACCAACATCATCTGGAATATCTTCAGTTTCATAAATCTCTTTACGTCTCATTGTACGAGGATCCATACACTTTGGAACTTCACCAGGTACCGTTAAGTTGTCGACACTAGAAAGTCTCAGTTAGAATACATTACCTGAATTAATGAAATCACTACGTACCTGCAATACTCTGCCAGAAATTTGAAATCCTCATCAGGGAGTTGACCTTGTAAAAAATTCCCAGAGGGATTGAGAGCTTTGGTCCTCAGGTCATGAAGTTCCTTGCAGTTGACTAGTTTAGAATATTGATCAAAATATTCCTTCAGATTAACCTTTTCTGATGAGGTCTTATTATAAACTCCATAAACAGCGTCCATCATGAGGGCACGGGTAACGTAATTAGCAATTTAAATGTATATTTTCACGTTTTATGCTGTTAAAAAAACAAATTTCCTAACACGTGTATTTAATTTTGATTCTCTGTTTATTAAATATGATCAGCTGATTGCATATCAGTAAGCGCTACCTGCAGCATAGCCATCTATAGGAAGAACCTAGATACGTGTTAATAAATATACTTGTGTTACTACTGGAAAATTCTATAAGCAATAAAAATCTCGGATTGTTAATAAATAATACATCCTAACGTCAACAAGTATTGTTATACGGTACTTCAAATGTTAGGAAAGTCGAGCATTACTTTACTGACAATTTTAGGAATTGCTAGAAATATTGGAGTACAGTATAGCAAAGCTAGCAACAACTTCACCGTCGCCGGCATGCATTCAGTAGCTTATGTGACGGTTCCAACTCAGGAATTTGCAAAGAAATTAGCACAGTAAAATCGTTAATACATCAGAATGTCGATAAAAATTAATAGATTATAAATGAAGTTAAATAAAATTTAATTTCCTTTCAGTGATATCGTGAAAAGTAAACTTGCGGCTTGTGTTAACATCATCCCTCAAATAACTTCAGTGTAAGTTTTCCTGTTCTGTTATAAATTTTTTTTATTTTTTTTTTAACTTAAAACTTTCATGACACTGTGCTTTATATTATTTTAGATACGAGTGGAAAAACGAGATCAATGAGGATAACGAACTACTTCTGGTAAGAACAACTTTTATCTACGTAGAGTATTTGTTACAAAATTAAAATGATAATGAATGGCAGTGTATATGAGTTAATATGTATATTTCAGATGATTAAAACTAGAACTGAGGTTGTTCCAGCTCTAACTGAATTTGTCAAGTATGTGGAATGTTTTAGATAAATAGATACGACAATAACTTTATATCTAATGTCTATTTTTAGGAGCAAGCATCCTTACGATGTCTGTGAGGTAATATCGTTACCAGTAAGTATCAAAATATAATTTTATTATACTATGTAATCGACCCATAAGGTATTTAAAATCTACAAACATTAAGTCACGCAATATTTTTCATTTTACTTTAGATCCAAAATGGGAACGAACAGTATCTGAATTGGATCAGTGAAGTAGTACCTCCGATAGAAAAATCAACAACAGATCCTTAATTAAGTTAAGCATACTGATACTCATTGTTATAAAATAATGTAAACTACCAAACAAATCATTCGATCATTAACACAATTGCATAAAGAAAGTCTATAACTTTCTTGTAGCATTTATCAAAAGAAAATAAACATTATAATGATACTTAATATCTAATGATTAAGTTTTTATTGCTTATACGATCTGAACAATATTAACATTAAAGATGTTCGTGGAGAAATAAATGATACAAAAATTCATCTCAGTACAACGTTCATGGCCGATACGCATATTTGAAAAAAATCGCTAAACGCATTCCAAACGTCGCACGTCCCAAACTTTTACAATTCACAGTCGAATTTCTATTGCTGCTGAAATCTGCCAAAGGCTACATTACTTTCCTAATCAGAGAGGATTCAACTAGTTAAAAACACGAAACAATAGTCGACAAGGAAAGAAAAGTGGAAACATTTAATAGCAATAAAAAGAATATGGTAAATGAGAGTTAAATTGAATCGCAATGGGGCACTAATGTTTCTACTAAATGATCTGTTGAATAATAGATATACAAGAACAAAGCCTTACGAACAACTGTACGAACAATTCTACATTGTTGTGCAGCAACAATGTACATTCTCTCAAAATTTAACGACCTGCTTGATAACCAGGATACAATAAAAGTAAGGCAGATGACAAGAATTCATTGACCTGCATTTCAAAACCCTTGTCCAGGTTGTAACGACAGGACGGACATGAGTAGACTCCAGCATTGAAGCTACGCTTCAAACAACTGAGGCAAATATTGTGTGCGCAGGGTGTTGTAACTGGTTTGTACATAACTTCTTGGCAGCAGACGCACATGAAACTAAATAATATTTCAATAATTAAATTATAATCAGTTTTGAAAACTTCAAAGTAATCACAACTTTGGACTGACAGATAATAAATATTATTAGCATATAACTAACCTCTCTGAAACTCTTTGGAGAAATGGTGCTTTACCATCCGGCAGAACTTTGCAACAATCTTCCCATAACTTTTTATTAACTTCATCCTTCTCGATAAAGGAGGTTAGTTCGGCGTCGAGCTCGTAACCCTCACACTTGTGTTTTTTCGTTGGCGGTTCTTCTTCCTCCTCCTCTTTCTTACTTGCACTAGGTGAATTACTTTCCCTGAGAGCAGCTCGCTTTTTCGTTTCCTTATTTTTATTCAAGGCATCCAGGTATCCGTCTGGATAAATTATCGATAAGCCGAGTTTTGCTATTCGGTTTTTACCCTCTCGTGTCCAGGGTGCTGGTGCTGGATCGTCTCGTCTCAGGAGATAACGCCAAACGCTGAATCCACTTTTACCTTTTTCCGGATAGTACATCACTACTTTATAGATTCCGTCATACCTGTATCGAATTAGTATACAAATGAATTTTATTACGATTAAGAACTGTTACTATAAAAAAAAGAAATTAGGACAGGTACGTGCAGCATACCTGTTACCCTGTTCAGGTGCGAATCTGCTGTGTTTCCTCAATTTGTAATTACGAACAACTCGAACAGGTAATCCTTTGGTCCAATTCTTCGAAGTAGCTCCGGTGACTCCATTTAGCTCAGCGTAACAATTCAAAGCTAAGGCTTTATTCATACGAGTGAGTGTTTGATCACAACTTTGCTCTGCAGTCCTCTTGTTTCCTTTAGAAAATAATAATGTAGACAAAAGGAATGGAATTCATATTCTCAAGTTATCAAATGCTAATTCATACCTGATAAGTCCCGCCCTCCAGACCCTGTGTACATAAATTCATCACCGTCGTCATTATCATCTTCATATCCACCAGATAAGACAAGTGAATACGCGCAATCTGATTCACGACCATGAATTCCTGCCACGTGCGGTCTATGTACTCCTGCTTCAGATGCCTAAAGCAGTGATTCAAGTGACGGTTATCGATTTGAAATAATTTCATTTAATCGATAAAGACTGTTGAATGAGAATTTACCTGCATCCGAAACATCCAGCATGTGCCAACTTCAATTCCTGGTATAGGACCACGATGATTAGGTGGTACAAGCGTACACTCCTTAGTTCTTCCTACGCAGGCCATTCCTTTACCCCAATCCCTCTTCTCTTTACCTGGTTCGGTGCTATTGGCTTTGGATTTCTTTTTACTCTGCTTCAACTTCTCACCTGCCTTTGAGAGGTAGTTTACATATAAAGTACACTTTTGGCAGATACAATAATACTAGGGTGAAGTATTAAGATAACAAATTCACCTTGACAATTTCATTCTCATCATTTTTACACTCCGGACAGTACCACTCATCCTCTGCCGGAATTGCTGTCAGTGGTGGATTTAGACACCGCAGATGATATGCTTTGTTACATTCGTCGCAGAGCAGCAAATGATGAGCATCTTCTTTTCCAGCACAAACTCGACATCCACATTCCTTACATTTTCTACGTGGGTTATCCATACAGCGTGAACAATTAGCAGCTACTCGTCTTCTGGATGGTTCATCCTGATCCTCATCTTCGTTATCTCTATCCAGCAACAGTTTAGGCTCCTCTATAGCGAACACTTCGCCTTTTGGATTTACTTTGCGATTTTCCATAGTCGCTTGATCTCTGAAAATAAAAATAAATTATAAATTGATTCATTGATTAGATCTTGATAACTTTTCTAAGGAGAGCCTTACCTGCCAACATGCAGAGTACCGGTAAGTTGTTCTAATGTTCTGGTTTTATGAATTTTTGAAATGGTGAAGTCGTACCAATATCCAGTCTCCTTGGGCTCCTCAATATTATAATTAATCATTACACGCTGTCCCAATTCTAATTCATCAAAGTTTAAAAGCTTTCGTGCTCTTGGTCTTATGTGCAATTCTTCGACATCAAATGGATCAACTTCTTCTTCAAATTGCCAATTGACTTTGTATGTTATTTTCCCATCTTTCTTAAAAATCCTAACTATAATCGCTTCGAACCAGGCGCCATAAGCCTGGTCGATGCAATCTACGTAATCACCGACTTTATAAAAACGACTTTCTGTCTCTGCGAGTTCTTCTTCCTTATCTTCTTTTATACAATTTACCTCCTGTATACTTTCAGTACTGGATTGGGCTGTTTCTTTTACTATATCAATTATCTTAGGCTTTATTAATAATTGTATTACGTCATTCAGGTTAACATTGTAATCAAATAATTTGTAACCATTTTCCATCTGTTTTCCGCGGTAGAATAACCGTTGAATGTCTTTCTCTATCGACATTTCTTGCTGAACCATGTCCTGTGAATAATTAATAATGATCTTGAATTAACTACATATACTGTTTGAATAAAAATTTAATGTAATATATATTTATATTTGTCGTTTCATGTCCAGATAGACTTTTTAACCTTACTTCCTCGTTACAAGCTATTGATCTAATGCTAAAATTTAATTACAGAATAAAAATCAGTATTAAGAAGTTCTTCTTAACATGACATCATGCTGTAAATATAGAATTAGAAAATGAGTAAGCAATACTATTAATAATTCAGAAATATTGTTTGCCATATGTCCTCGATAATTCAATATAAAGTTTTATCAAAAATCATCGCCATGTTGAATGAATCATTCTCAGTGAGCTATAGATTATTAAATTACTAGCAATATTACTTCATGCTAAACTGAGTCTTAGGTATCATTACATAAGTCTGTACCAGTAGATGATCCTGACTGGAGTAAAACCTACCATACGTTGTACTCAGTCAACAGTAAACGAAGGCAGAAATTATTATTTGTTCTCATATAATAATAGACCAGAATAAGGAATAAGAGAGGTTATAAGAAAGTAAAATATAAACATAACATTGTTATAAGATATGGATCATTTAAACCATTGAATTATGAAATGAATATGAAAATGAAAATATAACAGCAATACCTTAAAATCTTCAACAGTGGTGAGTTTGGAGATCGTCAAGACGACCTCCTTTTTCCCATCGACGGTCCGCACTTTGACATACATCCTCGTTAAATTCAACTAAATGTCATATGCCGAAGACAATGGACTGTCGATCCACGAACAGTGGATCAGTTCTAATTTATAACGCCAAGTAGAAATTTGTTGGAAGTATCGTTGACAGAACAATAACGTGCCGCCACTTGTTGGCTTTGTCCCTCTCCCACTTGTTAGCACTATACATATAATGGCGGCTTTGGCGGGAATATCTGAATCAGCTATTGGCTCTCTTAGATCAAACAAATATTCTATTTCACTTTCCAGTGCCAGAAGAGGAAAAGAATCGCACCAATAGGATTTGTGTACTCCATGCCATATATATATAGTAAAATTGCTACACAAGGCATCACCATTGTAGGTTAAGTTTCTATTAGTGACGAAGAGATGGCACTGTCGTTGCAGTGAAATTTGAATTCAAACAATCAAAGATCACTTTTGCAGAATAATTAATTAAAAAAAAAAAAGAAAGTCAGAAAACTCATTATACATTTAGTAATAGAGTTCACTTAGTAATATAATATTCAATTACTGCAATATCTTATCAGATAAATAATAGTTGTTCGATGGCAATTAAGAAAGCAATGTATTTTATTCGTTACATTGAAAGTCTCTAACTTCTTTACAATTTGGAATACAAAAGACTTAAAGTACCAGCTATAACAATCTATATATATATATATATATATATATATATATATATATATATATATATATATATATAATATTCTAATTGTTGGAAATGTGTGTGCCAATAATATACCTGCAGTAGAAATCATTATGGGAAGTTCCATTAGACTCTGATTATAATGAAAACTGATGACTCTCCGATGTAAGTACAGAGAATCATGAGCTTTGATAAGGTGCATAAAGTATGCAACGTTATTCACTTAGTCAATATTCTTCTTAATGTTTGATGGCAAAAGATTATATAGCAACAGGTCATTAAATTACAAGAGAAAAATACGACCTTTTTGTATTTAACTTCTAGGGAGTTTTCTACAGTGAACTAAGTTAACGGAGTGTACTGCATTAGTGATGTAATGGGATAATTAAAAATGAAAATAAAAATTAATGAACTGATACATTGTCTTTGGCTGCACAATAGAAGTAGACACGTCTCGTCGTGTAAATCTATAAAAAAATTAACAAATTATTCATAAAAATTCACCCTTGCATACACACGTCTTGTACTATACATGAGAATTGATTTCACCACAGGTTCGGTTCTGATTATAATTCCAAACTTGTTCATGGCATCTACAACATATGTCCTTCAATACACCGAGAATAGACTTTTTATCCACAACATGAAATGCATGAGAATAAATTTTCATTGTTGCATATAATAAAGTATACAGTGTGACAATGAAATCTTCAGGCAGAAGCGAAGACAGCAGGAAGAAATGTGTAAAGTGATGTGATACGTTACAATGTGTTCAAGATGTTATGAATTTCCTTAGTTTCATTAATTATATTAACTACACTAGATATCCTCTAACATATTTGGAACACTCTGCACTAGGGTGCAGGATACGGTTTACTGAAGAAATCATGTAACGACAAATCTCATATTAAGAATTCTTAGTATAGCAGATTCTATTCTACATAGATTCTATGATCACTATAAAATGTAAACAATTATGGCATGATACGGCTAAAGATAAAGGAACTAATGATAAAGGAAATTCATTAGAAAGGAGAAATTTTTTAGAAAATACAGTCCCTTGTATCTTGTATGTTAATCTAATCCTAGATCACTGTAAAAGTTTCCTTCTCCGATAGATTGAACATCCATACAAAGATAAAGATCCGTGTTTATTTGATGATAGAGAACAAAAAATTAGTTCTTACACTTGTACGCAATCTGAATCCAATATAAGAGGAAGTGTGGTTCAACTAATTATGTCCCAACCACTCTTATCTTTCTTATCAATAAAATATAACTGTGGCACGGACCAGCCTGTGTCGTATCCTCATAACTTTAAGAGAAAACAACAAAATTAATTTTTGTCTTATTACTGCACTACATGTATCACTCTCAGTATAATTAGCTGAATAAAGTAACACTGTGTTTCTCCAATCAATCAAATCACATATAAACAATATTCACATCTGCTCAAAGAATAATTCACTGTCACACTGTCAGAGGAAGCTTTATAGAACACGTTATATCACTGATAAAAATAACATAGTCTCTTCTATTTCACCAGGAGAATATCTATGGTGCTCCAAGAACTATAATAGAAATTATACAGTGAGATGGTGCTTGGCTTCACCTGTGTTAGGATCCACTATGACTTTCTCTTGCACACTGTTTTCATTAGGAGATAAAGACCTGGAGGACGTAGTCGGGTCAACTATTGGTAGAAATCTCCCATCGCCACATTCCTTGAACAGCAATTCATTTTCCTTAGCGTCCTCTTTGCCGTTTGCAGGAACGCGACGCATCGTCAGGGTGAGCAGTTCAGCGATGAGGTAAGAGTCTGGCTTGTAGAGCCTGGTAAAATGAAGACGAATATGGTCGCCCACGTTTTCATCCTTGCGAGGTACATAGTCGCAATGAGGACAAGGAGGTGTCATCCTCTCGATACCATGGCGACGCTTATGAGCATCCATGACATCCTTATCAGGAGTACTGAAAGGACAGTCTTGACAGCGAATATTTTCTGCTTCAACTTCACTAGGTGCCACCAGGACACCTTTCTTTTGTAAGAGCATAAGCGACTGCTTGTCCTGGTTAGAAACTTGCAACACGGCAGAATTCGATGCACTACCACTAGCCAAGATATTGCCAGCTGCGGAGAAACCGGCTGAGGACTTGGTTAAGGATTTGCCAGAGCGAGATATAGATATAGTGCTATCAGATTGGATTCCAGTGTCAATAGTTATAGCATCGTCCTCGTATCGTCGTCGAGACGCCTGTGCCTGGGCGTTGGCCTGGTGTTTTCTCAAGTGTTGAGCATAATTCGCGTAATATTTGACCGAATAATCACAAGTATCGCAGCGATATCGTTGCTTGGCACCATGTAACGTCAAGTGAATCCTATACTGTTCACGCTTTTCGAAAGCCGACGGACATTTGTGACACTTGTACCGTTTCTCCCGAAGTCGGCCATTCCTTAGATATCCTGGATACACAAAGTTAGGATTACCACGCATAAGGATGCCAAACTGTGGATCAGGTGGTGGTAGCAGTCTGGAAGAGGTCACATTCTCGTTAGCTTCGGCGTGCCGACGATGAACAACTTGGTGCTTCACCAGATTTTGAGCCGTCTTCGACGAGTAATCACACTCCGTGCACTTGAACCTATTGTTTGTACCATGAAGAGTCATATGATACTCCAGGGCGTCCAGTTTAAAGTATCGCGCCGGACACTTGGCACAGGTGAACACTTGGTTTCCAGTTTCCTGACTGCTAGTAGTAAGGTGATTAGTCAGAACATTGCTACGTCCTGCCCCTACCTCGACGACGATCCAAGCGACGTTAGTAGTGTTACCTTCTGCGGAATCCTGAGTGTTCGCCTCGACACACGCCGTCGTAGGAGGAGGGTATCTCTGCGAGTGGCCATACAGGGAGAGTAGGTAACGAGTGCGGTCCTGGTATTCGGGTGAATGTGCTTTCTGATGTGCCAGCAGATGAGCTGGTTGTCGAGCAGCGTACGAGCACCACTGGCATGAATAGGCTAGCTCCGTACAATGATAACGCAGGTGAATTCTGAGCTCCTTCTCGCATAGGAAGCGTGCAGGACACTTGCTACAGCAGTGAACCAGCCTGGAATCCCTCAAATCAGGTTCCGAAGCCACGGATATGGGTTGAGGAAGTCCAAGCAGGGTGGAGAGGTCGTTGAGCTGTTGAGCATCAGTCCGACCTTCGTCAACGAGACAGTGTACAGTCCCCAGGGCGCCTGAATGCATTTCTGCATGAGAATCCATGACTTCTCTTCGTGAACAAGCGAAGCTGCAGCTTGGACAAGCTATGAGAGAACCCTGGTTGGGTGAGTTCATGTGCATACTCTCGTGATCGCGGACCTCGGCTCGACGTGATGATACGTGCGGACAGTGTCGACATTTTAACATTTTTGCAATCGTACCATCTGTTCGCGATACCCACACTAACGGTGCATCAGGAAGTGCGCGCGTATCCAAGAGAAGAGGTGGAGCTTCGTTACCCTTTGATGAAACTGAACCTGAAGTTGAAGTGCTTGGGGATGTTATGTGTATAACTTGTTCCATTGATGATTCCTCTTTAGTTTGGTTGTTCGCTACAGAAAAATGAATATCTCTATTATATTTATTATAGCAGAAGTTATTAGAGATTTGTAAGACACTAAATATGAAACATACCTAGAACTGTACGATGATTCTGAGAATATTTACGCTTAGAAGGTGGTGATTCAGATTCTACATTTCTCTGATGAACAACAGCCAATTCCTCTCCATGTAATCGAGCATGATCCAAGAGCTCCCTAATAATGTCAAGAAACGTAAGCATGTCAGATTAGAATTGTAATCAAATTTATAATAAATAAAAATTAAAACAATGTAATACATACACTTTGGTGCTAACATAGTATGGACAGAGATAACATTTAAATATGGCTTCAAGATTGGGTCGATGATGTACACGATGCAGAGCCAAGGATTCGGCATCAGCAGCTGAGAAAGGACAATCCTCACAGGTAAAGGCATTCTAAAAAACACAACAAGAAATTATTAAAATCACCTCATAGTATGGTCTTAATATCTATTAAAATAATTATATGAAACTTCAAATAAAACCTATACATAAATATCAAAGCTTGTTGACCTAACCAAACTAACCTTTTCAGATTCAGCAACATCATCCATAGACTCATAATGAGATTTGACATGAATTAACACAGTCTCCTTGTTAGAATCGCGAAAATTACATCGTTTGCACTTCCACAAAGTGCGTTTACTCTCCTCTGACCCGGAACCCGGCGGAGAAGACCTCGAAGGTGCCATAGCAGTCACCGGCGTTATTGCGAGCGCGGTGACAGCCGCAGTTGTACTAAGGGAAGCATTAACGCCTGTAGTCGGCGTTACAGTCGCATTGGCGTTAGAGACAGCAGGATTATTTTTCAGGAGTGACTGACCCTGACTTCGGGTAGCAGCCTTTAAGGGTGGCGGAGGTCGCAAAGGTAATGCCGAGATCTCCCTTGAGGAATTTGTGGATGTTAAGAGTGAAACAGGTGCTGGAGTAAGTTCTGGAGGTTGCGGATATTCCTTGGTATCACTCATAATAAGGATTTTAGTTGGTGGTTCATCAGAAGTACGGTCTTCACCAGTACGTTCCCCGTAAATGCGTTCATCTCCCGACTGCTGTTCTATCTGAAGAATAAATAAAGGAAAATATAATAAAGGATAAACAGTATCAAATGTACGTAAGAAACTAAGTAATACTCGAAGAGATGAGTCGACTAAAGACATAGATCCTTTGTTATTAAACAGAGACCCCTGGCAAAGAATATTTGAGCTCAAGACATTTGTTCATCCCCATCCATGAATATTGAAATTACATAAATTATAAAGGTCTAACCTTAAACACATTCTCGCCAGAGGTCTTTGCTTAATAATCATGAAAAACTAAACTTCAATTGCTCTAATACCAAGAGGTCTTATGTTCTACAATAACAAATAAGAACACCGATAGAGTTTAGCTCTCTATAAGAAGTACAGCACAAAATAATGAACGTGAGAAACAACATAGACGTTTAAATAAAAGCGGTTGGCATATCGTATAGTCGAGAGACTACCAATTTACTATTGCCTGACCTGAGCGAGATACTTGTTGTACTTGGAGTAGTTGCGCCGACCGGTCTCATCGGTCATGAGAACCCTGGCGCACATATGCGCAGGATCTCTAGCTGCCTTAAGTTTGATGTGCTTTGTGATATCCCACCGCCAGTTCGAGCGGTAGGCGCAGAGTGAACATTCAAATGGTTTCCGATTCAAGTGACCCACAATGTGTACGTGAAAGCGACTGGCCGTTGAAGCCCAGAACGGGCAGTGGGGACATTTGAATACCCGTCGTCCACTCGGCGTAGAGCCACCCTCGACCTACAGAAAGGGTTTGCGCTTTATACCAAAAAAACTAGTCGACTCTTATCGATTCTCGTATAACGAGATTTAATTAAATTAAAGAAAAAAAAAAATGAAAGATAAACAGATAAGCTTGACGTATAGCGTTATATCCTATCTGCTCAAGAGCATAGAGTAGTTCGGAATGAGCCCCGTACCGAGGATCCAGAAGAATTGAGCGCTCCAAAATTCGCATCCCAGTCCACTTGAAACGGAAACGCGTATTCACCGCGGTAAGCGGTGCGAAGTTCCGTGTAACCCGTGGAGTTTTCCAGGCTATTATCGGTAGCTGCATAATCATTGCTCGTAGGGTGGCAGAGGCGCATGTGCACTTGCAGATCAGCCGAGCTCTTACAACGTCTTCTACAGTTAGGACAACGCGAAGTGCCAAGGGACACACTGAGAGCAGTGTGATGAGTCCGTCTGTGACTGGTCAGCTCCTCGAGGCTACTCGCTTCGAAGGTACACCAACACTTCAAATCATTCTGGCTACTTACGGCCACCTCAGCTATCCCATTGTTCCCGGAAGTCGTCATCAGTCTCTCCTTCAGTTTGTCGAAGAAGGAGGCGTTCTTTTTCTCAAAGGAATCTGTCGTACCAGCCTCCTTCTTCAGCTCGGACGCCTGCTAGTAATTAATAAATATGATTTTCATTATTTAATATTGAAATTAATTTAGACATTTTAATATTCACTAAGATACTAACTATTTTTTGATGATCAAGCGAACGTACTTCTTTGTTTCCATATAGCCGTGCCATTTCTGTATCACGTGCGATTCGAGCTAGTTCTGGTCTTACTCTCACCCGGGGAACCTTCAGTAAGGTCGTACCCGGACCACTGGCTCCAGCATTGTTAGCTTTGGCGTTGCTTACGGGACTCAGTGGTATTAGCATAGGTAATGGTTTCTTAGGTTTATTTGCCGCGTTCTGAGAATGAGATTCTGCTAAGTGTCGCTGCATCTTCGAATCCCAGGCGGTGATGAATTGGCAACCTTTCTCTTCGCACTTGAGGGCGATGCACTCTGCACCGGCAATGGCACTTCTTCTGTCCTCGGGTGAACTTAGGTTTTTGTCTGGAGATAAAGACTTCGCCGGACTGCCAGACTTCAGTTTTTCCGGGTGGTTCGACCCAGTCGCTGTATCTCGAAAATCACTTGCACCCACCTGTAACATTTAATGACAATGTCCAATATGTTCTGATACTTATCTCTTTATCCAAATAATTTATAGATTTTCTTACTGACCTGGTTATAACGCTTTGGACTATTACGAGGTTTGCGTTCAAAAGGTGTGTTCATCTTGCGAGGAGTTCGTCCTACAGGAGGTTCATGATGATTGGTTTCGTGTACTGTTAAGCTTTGACGAATGTCTGCTGTAAAATTACAGGCTCTACATTGAAAGGCTCCACCTCCGCCATGATTGCGTGTGTGACGATCCAAATTCCACTAGAAGAATTGAATAAGGAATAAGGTTAATAAATATGCTTTCGAACTAAAATTATGATGGAGTTTGTGCAAAGTGTCGAGTAAGGGATGTTGACAAAAATTAACTGACCTTGTATGGAGTACGAAAATCGCAAGCGTCGCATTTTATCATTGGCATCGAATGATATTTCACATGTTTTGTATAACGAGCACGAACGTGTGTTACGTAGGAACACTTGGCGCATCTAAAAAAACGTCGTTTCAAATGATGGACTCTTTGATGGGTTTCGAGATCCTGAGGGTTGGCTGCAATGTGAGCACACATTGGACAGCGACTTCTTTCCGCGGATTCAGCTGCAACCTTGTCCTGAAGATCCTCATGAGCAACACGGAAGTGCCTTTGTAATTTCTTTACGTGCTGACAAACAAATTCACAGTGGGGACATTCATAGCACTTGACCTATATAAAGAAAAAGAATTAATAATGAGAAAACAGAATGTGAACATAAAGCATAACGAATTCCAATTATTAAAAGTTAATAGCAAAAGAAACCAGTATAGATATATTATAAAAAAAAGTATTGATACTTGCAGCGAATAAAATTGAATGACTAAATGATTAAAAAGAGTTCATCGAAGAGTTAGCGATCTCAATAAAATAGCATTCCTCATAAAACTGGCCAGTGAAGACCAAGAGATTCTAGCAAAATTGTAAAAGAAAGTTATAAAATCAATAACCAAGAATGAGTAAATAGCCAAATAAAATATACTCACCTTTTGTTTATGCTCATTCTTAAGATGTGCAAGATAAGCCTTTAGATTGGATAAACCCTTAGGTGGGTTACAGGTTTTACACTCATAATTCCTTTCAGAGTCCTCCGGTTCCTCAGTAACAATTTCCACAGGTTCCTCTTTAATAACAAGTCTCTTTTCACTTTCATCACTCTTAAATCTATCATCATTCACAGACTCCTGTTCCTCCAGTTCCTGTTCATCAATAATCTCATCCTCTTCCTCCTCTTCCTCATCCACTCCGCCCTCAATATCCTCCTCATTTTCAACCAACAACTCGTCCTCTTCGTCATTAATTTCCTCTTCCTCCTCCTTATTGTATCTAGACTCAGTCCTCGTAGGTGCTGGTGTATTCTGAAGATGTGGCTGAGGTCGCGGACGTAGCGCACGCAGCCGAGGAAGTCGTCCTGACATCTTGGTTAGGTCTCGTTCACCACAACTCCCTAGCAAATGCAATTTTCAGCTATAAATAACCAGATCAGTTAAAAACCGTACAAGCAGCACAAATATTTACAACCGACAACAATCGTCAAAGGAAACGCGAGTATAATGGAAAGTACAACGCGCGACAAGAAATCATCGTGCTGCCGGTTATGCTCTGAAAATGGACGGCTTCCGGTGATAATCCACGTCCGATGCGTTTTCCCAGAGAACGTCAAAGCCGCTTGCGCAACATATCCTTACTCGCGCATCATTTTTTCATACAAAAACCTCTGTCTAAGGGAACGTAAGACTTTAACGAGACTGGCATGATTTCCGTTTCTTTAATAGTCACGTAATTCTCTTTTTCTTAGATAAATTTGACCACACGTCATTACATTCATTAACATTTCCTCTTTACATCGAGCCCTAAAGTACCATCAAACTGACAATGAAAAGTGGTATGTGAAATTATTGAAAAACGAAAACATTTCCATCCTATACATTAAAAATATTTATAAAGTTCTAAAGAAACGCGATAGCTTTTGAGACTACAGCTCGTGGATTTGATAAGATAGTATTATACTTAACGTGGACGTCGAACAATCCATACCGAAAGTCGTACTCAATAAATTAGAATAATATTGATCTACATTATTAAAGCATACCATATGGCGTTGTGATACATAGTAAGAATATTTAAAAAAAAAATGCATTGACAACATTAACAATGTCAAAACACTAGATGAATTCATATTGCAATTTAACTGTTCGATCAAGAACCCGATGACTTCCGTTTTCGTCCAGCCCTCGGCTCATCATCTTGTAACACGATTGGCTGACTGATAAATCTATACCTGCACCAATTCCCCAACCGTTATCAAGATCCAAAGGAATGATTAAATGTTAAATCGATAACTCCACGATTAATATAACATGAGAAAGTAATAGGAAGTTCGAAAAAGGAATAAAATTATTAAAGTTACAGTCTCGGTATAGATCAATGTCCAATATTCGACAGTGGTTACGACTTCCGTTTCCGTTAACCCAGAGGTTGGGACATGAGTGACACTATGCTAGTAGAAGAAGAAGAACAAGAAGAGTCCTGCCGTCGATGGCGAGGAGCAGTAGGTGGACTCACACGATCAGTCAGTCGATTTTCAAACGATCAGGAGGCGCGTACAGGTTCACTACGGGTAGCCAGCCGGACACTGGTAATAAAGGAGACCACCACCGTCTGACTCAGAACGGGACGCTGAAGAAGATTGCCTCTCCGCCATTGACGAGAGCGGCGCCTCGAGTTCCGTTTCTCCTCGGACCACAATATCAGTCGACTTCCGGTTGAGAAGTCGGCGCCCCGGCAAGAACCACCGAGCGTGCCCGAGCAGTTAGTTCGGATCACAGGAAAGAACGCGACACGCCGGAGAGACCGGTCGGTGGCTCGATAGCGAACTAAGAAGCAAACAAACCTCTACCTCTGTCTCCTCCTCCAGCTCTTGTTCGCGCTCGCTCGAGTCCGGCCGAATGATCGTAGCAATGGCGACGCGTGTCTCTCTCTCTCCCTCTCTGTCACCGAAACACCAGCTCCCTCTCGCTTTCTATTACTTATGCTCTCTCTTTCTCTCTGTCTCTCTCTCTCTCTCGCTCTTGTAGATGGTGTATACATTAACGTACGCGCCCTACGACCTGCCCGTCTGCCTACTTGTCGGCCAGCCACTCGAGGCCCACGTTGTCCTCTCAGCACTGCTCGGCACTCTGATGTCGAACGTCCGGACAGCACGACGAAGAGAGACGCGCGTCTCTCGCGCAAGAGTTCCGCGACGCTAGTTTTACCGTGGTGCTAGCGTCTCATCGGTGCTGAATGAGCGCCGATGGAACGGAACGGACCAAGCAAGCAGGTCGGCTGGCTGGCTGTCCCTCCCTCCGACCGCCCGGATGACTTGACTGGCGATGGCGATGGCGAAGTGGCGCAGTCGGGCGCCATCTGCAATTCCGATTCTGATTCTGGTCTCTCGCGCCTCCCCTTCCTTTCCCTCCGACCCGTCACAGCTCTGCCTCCTTGGCTGCTTCACTCGCCTTCGCCCTCGCTCTCGCCCTCGCCCTCATCAGCCAACTAGCTCTCTCCCTTCCTTCTTCTCTCCTTCTTCCACTCGGCAAGTCTTCCTGTCTGACTTGATTATGTCTTCCGTCTTTCCTGTTCTCCTGCCTGCTTACTTTTGTACGTATTGCCTCCCTGATGCTTCTTCCTTTATAGCTGCCCAGTTAAATACTTGGCTGGCTGCCTGACTGCCGAGATGCCTACCTGCCTGGATGCCCTCGTTTGGGTTACCTTCACTCCCCACACCTCCTGCAAAATCCCTGCTCCAGGCTACTTCCTTCAGCTTATTTTCTACTAGACACCAACCCTACCGAAGACAACTGTTCACACTCCTAGCTTCTTCTTGTTCTTCTTCTTCGACTGACTCCTCTTCTTCCTTTATGCTGTTGGAATATTCTTTTCTTTGATATTCTCTTGATCATTTACTCTTTCTCTCGCTATGTTACCTCGCACTCTCTTTGTCTTTCTCACTCTTTCTTTCTCTCCCTCCCTCCCCCCTCCTCACTCTCCCTCTCTCTCTCTCTCTCTCTTTCTCTGACGTCGTTTGCAGTTAATCCTGTCCACCTTGCGCTCCGTATGAATCGCCGTTGCCGATGATACTACTACCTCTTTCTCCTCCTCCTGTTCGTCTACCACCTCTTCCTACTCGTCTATCAGGTCGATGTGTGTCGTCACAGGATCCTCCATTTCACCAAGAACCTCAGCTAGAGTACTCCTTTAGTCTGCAGTAGCGAGCATGGTGTTTAAGGATCCTCAACTTAACGGATGCTCCAAAGAATCCTTTCTCTACGTAGCCAATATACCTGAAATCGTACAATGCCCTAAATTATTTATATATCATATATCATAGTCGCACAGATTATTTATATCGTTCTCATTGGAATCTATTTTGAACGAAAAAAAATATTCGTTCTTCAAATAGTATATAATCCGTTCCAACATTTTTTTTCGTAACATCCACTTCAGTAGACTCAGTGACCAACAGTATGTAAGAATGTAACCTACAGTTCCTGGCGATGACGAGAAACGTCGGTAGGGAGAGACGCCCAGTGGCTTAATCAGGTCTCTGCCTGTACTCGGCATTGTCCGGTTAACTCCGTTAAGCCGAGCATTGTTACAGCATGCAATACATTTATTAGCTAATTACAGGAATCGCTTCGTCTGAATCCTATTTTCATTAATAATGCAGCGTTATGAGGTACTGGCTTCCAGTCGCATTGCGCTGCTACGTCCTCGTCCGATCGATAATATCATCGATTTCGTCACTCTTCTTGTTTGTCCGCCCATTTCCACAGCATCTTCTCCAAGCGCGTTCTGACGCAACGGCAGACTCAACCTCTCCGTAATTGAATCCAACTAGTAATTTGTCTTTGAGGCAATATAGCACAGAAATAAAGAATTCTATATCTTTGACTTCCGGTTCACTTGGAGTATCTCTACCTTAGTAACATCACTCACAGATCAGATTAAACTGCATTAATCTCTTGTTATACTAATCTGATGTTCATCCAGAACTATCAGGTGACAAATGTGTATATCATATCTTTAGCTTTTACGGCTCTGTACACCGTTCTGGCATCTTATCTCATTAAAAAGACATTGTCTTAAATATTACACACAGATTCAACAGGCTACGCCTACAGTTGCTGCTGGCTGATTATGTACATCTACGTACTGAGATACGGATGCTATCGCCCAGGGACTGTAGTCAAATCTATTGCAATCCACAGGGGAAACTACTGACGGCCGGGTCTCCTTCCACAAATGCTGGTGCGTCTAATTCGGGAGTCCTTCGAGAGCGTCGCGTGGAAACATAGAACGGGACGCTTTGAAATACCAGAAACACGCTCTGCTCCACCTCTCTGCATTAATACAGATGTAATACATAAAGGCTAAGCATAAGTAGTAAATACATGAATAACGTGGTACCTCGCCTCTGAATCCTGTTGCCAACAAAAAGGAGGTTCTACCGGGCGACATCTACCTGACCTCTTCCGCTCAGCTTATACCAAGACATTAGTAATCAATAGTCGCCGTCCGATCGAACCAACCACAATATCCAAAGAATTTACGACATGTAGTATCCTGACAATTGGTATATGTAAAATCTCTTGTCAGCGCAGCTGGTGGACCTTTGAAAATATTTATATAGATTAAGAGTCCTTGGCGATGGCGTCACTGTTCCTCAAGTCATCATCTTCGCCTTGCTCAATAAAACAAGTGTTACGATATCGGTGGATCTTTCTTTTCGTTGCTTTATGCAAGTAGTTATTCATTGCTTCAAGTATAATAGTAGATTAGAGAATGAAAGATCTCTGTCTTTGTAGATAAGATCCTGACCAAGGGTACAGGTACGCTTGGATTCACCACTGTCCACAATTCTTAAATCTGATTATAAGCAGAGGGAAAATCGTTGGTAAGACAGATTTGGCAGGACCTGCAGCAAGCCCATCCCATGCAATCCAATGGAACAGACAATGGCGTCGAGTGGTATGTATTTTCTTTGAAGATTCCAATTCCCTTTGAAACTCCTTTTCCCATGTAACAAAACAGAGTTACAACTGACTGCTTGTGGGTACTGTTATAAAAAGTCTTACAGCTTGATACCCAATTCTATCTAATTGTAACATTTTTATTTATCGTATCGTTACCTCGATTAAATAATTAAGAATTACTTGGGGAGAAGTACGTAATCGCAGCTGGCATAACCTGCTAGTAAATATGGTAGTCTGCTGTCTGTCGTGCCATGTCACGTGCAGAGTACAATATCGTATAAAGGCTATTGTTATGGAATACGAATCTTCAGAGTATTTCAGGCACACGCAAGCTGAAGACAAAATTCTGTAATTTGGCGAGGAGCGACGATATCGGATGCGGGATAAGAAGGAGACAAAGGGGATGGAGATGGCGGCTGAGGAGGAGAAAGAGGAGTAGACAGAAACCAAGAGCAACGTCGAATCGAATTCACTCCTCTTCCTTTCTCCTTCTTTTTACCTCGCTCTCCTCTCTACCCGCGGACCCATCGTCCGCCACGTTTTCCTTGCAGCCAGCTGGAGTCCGCAGCATGGCGAAGCGTCCTATTTTCTTGCTTTCTTGTATATCAGAGCATGATCGGAGCTACAGTTTTTAGACATTGAGCATTTATGTATGCTTCAGGGACACGAGGATGACTGAGAATATCCTGGTGTCGTACTTCTGTTTGCTCTGTTAAATTTAATTGTAGATCAGTCCAGGATTTATTAGATTCTTGAGATTTTTTACTCATTCAATCTTCATTGTTCTTGTCTTAGCTTAATGGTTTCTATTGGCAATTGTTCTTTTTTAGAGATGCTCCAGTAGGGTATCGTCTTGCTAATAGCGGGTTAGTTGAATATGAATTATGCAACAATTATGCTCTGGTAAAATAGTATTGATTTTTTTTAATTGACTCATTTGGATTAGGATTATGGCTTGTACTTACCATAAGAAATATTCTGAAGGCTGACTTTGAGTTCTTAGACTAAATTATGAGACTGTATAGGCTTTTTGATTTATCATTGTTCTTTCTTTATGACGTACGTCGAATCACGTACTATCATGTTCTTTGGATACGTTCAGACATTCATTGGCAATGAAGTCTGGATCGCATTCACAGTCGATTATAATCGATTTGAAATTAAGATTTTTTACTGATTTTTAAAAATTGAAGAATGTATACTTTTTATTACAAGATTTTATTGATACTTCGTCCCAATTCGTGTGAAAATTATTTTTAAAAAAGGTCATTGTTGTCATCTCTATAAAAAAAATGTAATTCAGTTTAATGCAGAGCATGTCTAATATTAATGATTGTCTTGCTCCTCGTAACTGTTAGTAATTGAGCCATTCGATTGGTCATGGAGCAAGAATGTTTCTTAAAAAAAAAAATTCATCCTATTGGCACCTTTTACTAAGAAGAGATCAGTATTTTAATTCTTCATAATTGTATGAAAAGGAGCAATTCTTATAATAATTATTCTACGCCACCATTTTGGAACACCACATTGGCACTCCGAAAAACTATCTTTCAATTAGATACAGTAGCATTGATCCTAGATGATTATAATTTGATAAATACAGACATTATATTATTTGTATTGATATTTTCTAAATAAAATGTCTATATTCATGTCGCTTTCATCATTTTAGTCAAACCTACATGGGGAAAGTTATATTTTCCAATGACAAAATTAAATAATTTTAAATAACTAACTATAGTTAGTCTGTCAAAGTATCGAGCAATGGAAAAGATCCTTTGACTGTCCATATTGAAAGCAGACCGGCAGTTTTCACTGTTTATACTTAAATAATTATATAAACATTATCTTGAATATTTGAAGGGTACATAAAGTGGTCTATGATCTCGTTACAAGTGTCCCTTAGGGGTGTTGGTGATAATTCATTCATTTGATTAGGAATTAGGTACTTATTTCATTAATCGGGATGAATTCTTCATGGACTTTTAGTAGATTAATTTGTGACTTATTGCTGTGCGCAACTCAAGCCAGGCTGGCCTTGCATTTCATCCTCATCCGAAGAGTAAGACTTTCCTGTGCGACTTGACGAAGTATTGTGATCAGGATCGTACTCCTCCAAATCAACTTCCATGGAATCCTTAGGTATTTTAAGTTTTGGCCTTGGAGGGAAAACAGACTCAAGTTGCTGAAAGAAATAATACCACTATGAACGTACATTTCTTATAAGTTATAGTTAATTTCTTTTTTTATTATAGATTACCTTTAATACTTGTTCGCTAGCAAAGTGATCCTCAGGGAAAGTGACTTCAAACTTTATGTACAGATTTCCCTTTTCGAATGGATTTCTGTACTGCGGCATACCTTCGCCAGCAATGGCTTTGATATCGCCCGGACGAATAATATGACCTGCAGGGTGTTTAACGTGTAAATGTCTGCCATCTAGGTGACGCACTATTATATCCATTCCACACAGAGCTTCAGCTAATCCGATTTTTGTAGTCATATGCAAATGATCATTGTTTCGTTGAAAAACGTCATGCGGTTTTTGCTGAAGTAATATGACAACGTCACCAGCTTGACAACCTGGCATTTGATCACTCTCTCCTGTTAGAAAATCATATGTTAAGTATATTTTATATTGACTATTTATTTAATAATTCACATTGTACCTCTGAATAATATCTTCTGATTATTCTGCATCCCTTTATCTATGTGAACTTCCAAAATTTTTTGCTCGCTGATAATTTTCTTGCCATTGCAGGTAGTGCACCTGTCTTTTTCATTTATAACCTCACCGGTACCCTGGCAGTCTTCACAAGGAGTTTGAATCTGTTGAGATAGACCTGGAACAAGTTGTCTTAATACTATCTTCATTCCAACTCCTCGGCATCCTCTGCATCGCACGACAGCACCTTCTGCACCCCCCAATCTATTTTGAAAAGAAATATTTTAAATAAGAATGCTAAAAACAAAAATTCGATGGGCCGCTTACTTACCCTCCGCAAGCACTGCACTTAACCTTCTTACTTTGTTGCAGCTTAGTGGTTTTTCCATTATACATATCTTCTAATGTAACTCTAATGACAATGTGGGAAATCAACAATTAGACAACGAATAATTTTTTAATTCTGTATCTAACTATAGTACGCACTTCAGGTGATGAACTGTATCTTCACCACGTGTTGGCTTTCTTCTCCCCATACCTCCACCAAACCCTGCTAAACCTTGAAATAAAAAATATATTTGATAATAAACACAATTATATAATTAAAGAATCGTTGCAATTACAGCATGGTAGCAATGCAAACCTCCAAAGAGACCACCTCCACATCCAAACAAGTCGGAGAAGATGTCATCGGTAGACATCCTTCCCTCACCAACTCCTTCTTGAACACCTTTCAAGCCATATTGATCATAGACTCGACGTTTCTTGGAATCGGATAATACTTCATAAGCAAATGAAATGTCCTTAAACTTATCTCCTGCTGTAGGATTCTTATCAGGATGAAATTCCTTAGCGAGTTTCTTATAAGACTGTAAAAATAAAGAAGATAAAATAGTTTAATAGGAATAAAAGATTGTGCAAGAACAAAACTCCAAATAATGAAAAAAAAATACAAAGTAAACGTAAAACAAAAATTAACCGAAGACAAGGGTGAAAGTAATTATACTAAAACATTAGTGAAATAACAATGGACGATTTCATAATAACGTATAGACGTTATATTATGCATCACGTGTAACTAAAGCATGAATAGTACTTTTTTATCAGTATTGCGTAATAACCATAATTACAAGAATTTAAGTCCAAAGATTGAACTGCAAATTTTCATAACGATAAGAGTTCAATGACTCTTAGAATTAAATTGGCCTCGGCGGAGTGGCCAAACTATTCAGGTGTTTTTATTCCATGCATGAACAGGGTGTAAAGTACTTTGATCCTTTACCTTCTTTATCGTTTGCTCGTCGGCACCCCTAGGTACACCAAGGATTTCGTAAAGCTTATTCTCGGCCATTTCGTTCAAAAAGATTGAAAAGTTCCAAGAATCCGTAAAGAAATCTTAATTTTTACGTCGCACAGCAGCAGTCGCCTGTGATCTTACAGGCCGTAAGGAACAGTAAGGAGAGCGCAAGGCAACGTGATGAAGCGGACGGAAGTATGACCAAGTATACCAACAATTGAACAAGAAAATATAGAATGTTACGTGAACATATTTTTTTTCACCAATGCAGCCAGTGGAAACTTCTTAAAATGGCATGACATTTGAACTATTCCACATTCTCTATCCTACGTCTCCATTTAGAATTTCTATTAGTTTAATAATTATTAACAAGTCTCTAATCCATTCTCTTATAAAGTGTGACGACATTAATCGATGTCAATAATCTTTCTACATAATTTAAAAACCGAAAGCAGTTCATTTTTTCCCGCTCTTTATTTGAACTTTGATGATACGAAAATGAGTTATCTAAATTACAATGGGATTAAGAAAAGATTGTCTTGTAAAGATTACGTGACAGTCATTTATGTTCTTCATATAAAATATCCATTTGTTTTCAAGGAGAATCGCTTTAGATGAAAAGCTGCTAGAGAATTTATATAGTTACCGCAGATGCTGTTTTCATGTTTTCATAGGCAACGAGCAACTAAAATCTATTTGCCGATCTAGCTTCTATGTCGGTCACTCTGAAAATTACTTTACCAGCTTCACCGTGCTGACAGTCAACAATGTAGGCTATCCTTGTATATGGTATATGAAGAGATAAGTATATGTATACCTCTATATAAGATATGCAGAGATAAGTATATGTATATGTATACCTCTAGTATATGTATATATCAGAGATGAGTAGGGAGATGCACAACTCTACGGTTTTAGGCGATACCACAAACATGGCGATGAAACGCAGCGGCGAGTTCGGAAGTAGAGTTTTGTGTTGAACTATATTGTTAAAACCTATCAGAAACTATAGAACTCCTCGAGAACTATTGAAAAAGCTTATTGTTGAATCATTTTTAAAAGATTTTAAAAAAGTGCGGTGCCAGTTCAAGTTTTGGAAAATACGTATTTTAACGATGTTACGTAGCAGAGCTATTGTTAAAACCTATCAGGAACTATAGAACTCCTCGAGAACTATTGAAAAAGCTTATTGTTGAATCATTTTTAAAAGATTTTAAAAAAGTGCGGTGCCAGTTCAAGTTTTGGAAAATACGTATTTTAACGATGTTACGTAGCAGAGCTATTGTTAAAACCTATCAGGAACTATAGAACTTCTCGAGAACTATTGGAAAAGCCTATTGTTGAAACAGTTTTAAGAAATTGCGGTGCGAATTTTACTTCAAGATTGCAAAAAAAATGTTTAGGTAATATCTGATGAGCGGCTTCGTTCTAAGGGTTGCTCTAGGAACCAGTAGTAAGTTGCGGAGAACCTCTGTTCGCCAAGCTACAGGTTCATGATCATGTTCATCTCGCATTATCGACGGAGGCGATGGTCACAAAATCTTACTCCCAGACTCGCCGCTACCATTTAACGCCATGACTTTGGTATCGCCTAAAACCGTAGCGTTGTGCATCTCCGTACTCATCTCTGAATGTATGATAGGTGTGATATTCCTATAGAGAACTGTCATTTTTGTGAATTACTCATCGCCCAGTAAGAAATATTAACGCGATAAGTATTTAACAGTATCAACGAATCTCTCAAGCTTGGGACACGTAATATTGGCGGTTGTAAAAATTAGTCAAAATGTTTGCAAGCGGTCCGAATTATACGAAGTTAAAGACACACTTGAGATTGGCGATAAACAGGTTAAAGTTGCTGGAAAAAAAGAAGACGGAATTGGCACAGAAAGCTAGAAAGGAAATTGCTGATTATATTGCTGCTGGAAAAGTTGAAAGGGCCAGAATCAGGGTTGAGCATATTATACGAGAAGACTACATGGTTGAAGCTATGGAATTATTAGAAATGTATTGTGACTTATTGTTGGCAAGATTTGGCTTGATTCAACAAATGAAGTATGTATTATTTAAGGTGTTAAGTTGGACAGGTTTTTTTAAATTATTGTTCTTTGTAGAAACTTGGATGAGGGACTGGCCGAAGCTATCTCTACGATAATATGGGCTGCACCACGTATTCAAACCGATGTACAGGAGATGAAAGTTATTTCTGATATATTGAGTTCCAAGTATGGTAAACAGTATACAGACGCCTGCAGAGAGGAGGCTGTGCAGTCTATTTCAGAAAAATTGAAGCACAAGATGAGCGTGCAGTCACCTTCGAAATTACTTGTGGAAAAATATCTTATTGAAATAGCAAAGAATTACAATGTAGAATACGAACCTGATCCTCAAGTTATGGCTGAGGGACAGGATGCATTGTTGATTGATATAGGAAATAGTGGAGGTGAACTACCGAACAATTTAGACCTAGCTGCAGGTGGTAGCAGTCTTCCACAACCATTAGGTTTCATAGGTTATCCTCAGCCTCCAGTATTGCCTGATGGTGGTTCTAATTTTAATATGATGGTACTTCATGTCTCTACATTCCTTTCAATATTCTTTTTTTTTATAATCTCGTTCTTCTATACATTTTTATTACCAATGTAGGGCCCTCATAAACCAACGATACCTGCTGCTGGTTTTATAAATCCTGATACCCCTCCTGTCACAGGAAAAGGTCAAAATAATGCATTTAATCCAGCTGCATTTTCATATAATATTCCATTGGACAATGCAAATGTGAATAAACCTGTAAGCATAATTGTGTACACGTATCAATAACAATATTTTTTCCACTCGTTACTAACATAAATTTCAGGAAGATGATCTGCCTCCTCCGTACGACTCATTCCCGCCAGATTTAAACAAGCAGGTAAGTTTCCTCAAGAAATTTTAGAGCCAAAGTATTTATTATTGCACAAACTATACATTACGCTATTATATCTACAGTCCGATCAAAAACCAAAACCTCAACCAAGGTCCAAGATGCCAATGAACGATTTCCAGCTTCCTGATTTACCTGCAGTTCCCGTGGATAATGAGCCCCCAACTGCACCAGAAAATGACGACGTAGACTTTGACGACTTAATGAAGCGTTTTGAAGACTTAAAAAAACGAAAGTAAAAACTGCAAACTGTTACCGCACAACAAAAAATTAGAAGCCATTAACGTTATAATCCATATATGGATTCTTAAAAGTAATGATCCTTAAGTATACAAGATCAATAGGAATCTGATATATATAGTTTTTTTTTCTTTTTAAACACGGTATAAACATCTCACAGAAAGATATGCTGAGTTAGAGTTAAACTCTTTGTTCCATCAATGGATAAAGTATATTACCGATTTTATATTAACTTTAATGAACTTGAGCCCTTTAATTAATTAATTGGTGCCTTTGTATAAAGTATTGTAAAGCGTACGTCGCTAAGATGTGTTTTAAACTATAGTAATGCAATTACTTTATTCTGTATATAGAGTACGAATTGGTCCGAGTATTCTGTTATTGGGAAAAGCGAACAATATTTTGCTTCTAACATTTGTAAATTAATAAATGATAATTGCGCTGATACCTGTCTGGATTTTTATTTTTAAAAACTTTTTCAAAATATAATATACATATTTCTTATATACTATAATTAAAGATGTACCAGACATCCCTAACTATACAATTATAATACCACAACCATAATCGTTAAAATTTCTGATCCAATAATTTCTAAATAAGAAATTGAGGGTCATCTGCTATTCTTGCTCATCTTCCCAATCGTCGCATTTCTAAAAGAATAAAACAAAACAAGATTCATGCTATTAAAAATATTATAGTATATTGCACTCACTTCTCGTCCCTTGTCAGCCAAACAACCCAAGAGATTCTGAGAGAATTGACACTTCTCTTTATTCATATCCATATCAAGATAACGGAAACAATCCACTACAGACTCTTCAATGAAATCACGTAATTCCGGGTCATGTACATTCTGTGACATTATATTGGTAACTGCCATACGTTCTGGAAATCCTTTCTGGTCGACCTAGATACGTCGCCATGCAGAAACATACAAAAAGAGATAAATAAAAAGAGACACTATATACAATAGTTATTTCTCTTACCAGATCGAGTTTATTGAAGAAGCACTGTATAACGCACTGTAACACCGTGGAAAAATTATTAATAAATTACTTAATAATCTGCCAGACTGATTAACCAGTTTGTCAATCTTAAAATAACTGTATACTAAGTTCTCACCGCTTGATCATGCCGACCATCGTACTTTTGATTATTATAAGAATGCAACTGATCATTGTCCATTTTTCTAGTATTCATTGAATTTCTATGATTCATATTGCCAGTAGAATTTCGCATTCTATTACCAGTATCGCTTGTATTATTATAATCCATTGATTTGCTATTCCAATTTTGTCTGTTCTGCCGCATACCGTTGAAATTACTATAAAAATATTATATTGTTCATTCCAATAAATAATCAAGGAGGATAAATAATATGTACAAACGGACACTAAATTTCTAATACAATATACAGTAAAATATTTGTATTTCTATAAAATTCAGTTACCCGTTTTTCGTATTGTCATCCACGCCACTAGAGTTCCTTTCGTTTCTTTCATTACGACCAAAGATAAATTTCTTATCAAATATATTCTCATCAGATCCTGAATCATCCTCAGAGCTATCAGTTTCGCTCGAGGTCGCAAAATCCCTCTCAAGTTTCGCGTTACCCAAGTGTCGCTTACGGCAAGTTTGCATAATCTTACGGAACTGTTCATCGCTTTGCTGACTGCCCGTTCGACATTTTAAAGCCTGGTAAGAAAAAAGAATCAAGGATAAAATATTGCAAGTTCTACAAGGCTGATTAAGAGATAGCGAAGTACGTGAACTACGTTACACAATATAAATTGCTATTAAATAATCCATCACAAAAACAGAAAAAGCTTCCTATAATAACCTACCGTTCCACAGTCAATTAAGAAAGACAAAAGGCAAGCAAACAAGCACAAAGTTGAAAGCTTCATTTTGCGATCCTCACGGATCCACGATCGTAACGAGTCTGACGAACTTTACCACAGAAGCACAAATAGCTTTATGAATGATTGTCCACCTGTGAATTAGGATTACCATGTCCAAATGACGTGCAGTTGAATAGGAGTGACATTTTAAATGCATCCTGAATTGTTTTCATGTCTTTGTCGAGAGAAATAAATACCGGATGGAGATGCGGTCCATTTACCGCATCAACCTGTCCCATTTTAATGTACTTGAAATCCAAAAAAAAATTGATTCTAATGCGAATTCCTAGTCGTGTCAAAAAATCAGACGCGCTGAAATCATTGTCAATTCAATTGAAAGGGTCCCTCGTGGTCATCTTCTTGTACTCTATTTCATCCATCCCCTTTGTAGCTCAGTAACATAATCAATTAGAGGTCCTCTTGTAGATTAGTTATTGTAGAGGCAATCTGTAAGTCAAAGAAATTGAAAGTCTCTGCGCAATGTCACCCGCGTAAGATACTTGCAGTTTTCTTTTTAAATTTCGCAGCGATACCTGGTCCAGCGTGGGGGAGCGGTATTTGGTTCCACTTATAATTTAGGTAAATCAGTACCTATTGGTACTTACTGACAATGAGTGCCAGAGAAAACCTATCAGTAGCGTGCTAAAGAATAAGAGAGAGTTTGTTCATGGAGGCATATCAGATCGTGAAGCTTGTCTCAGTCCAATTCACACCTCTCGATGGTAAACATGACGCGTACCAAAAATATAGTGAGTAAATTTTAAGTTCATTGCCTAATTTTAAAGATAAAAGAATAACATGACATTTAAATTAAGTCATTATGAACTAACGAAATTGTACGAAGCAATGGAAAATCTTAATTGTACAAATCTACTGGAATAATTCTAAATATAATTGAGCCGTAAGGTCAGTGTCATTCTGAGAGGGCCATCTCTTTACGAGTTTCACAATGAAAGAGTCCCTTGAATGTGTCACCGACGGTGCGGCTTGACTATAACTTATTGAATGTGGTTAACGTCTTTTAATTATAAGTTTAGAACTTAAAAGTGTATTTACATGTATATAAATAACTATTAGTATACGCGTGTTAATTTGTTATTATATGTTAAGTTATGAGAGTGATAGATTATAGCTTGAATGTATGTATATCAATTAGACATAGTTGAAATTTCACGTTTATGAAAGTAATACGCAATACACGAATTGGCGGGGAAAATCGAAAGAGTACAATGAAAAAAAAAAGATTGTTAGGCAGTGCGAAATATAAAAAACTTTTTTTTTCACGTACAGCTTTCTATAACGAGATCTGTTGTGAAATACCTAATCGTTATAGTTATGGCGAATGCAACACTCAGTAGGGATTGATAAAGTAAGGTTTAATATAGTTTATATGATTGAATAGGATCAGTGGACCGTGAACAAGTGTGAAAGTGGTAAGACGGTATCAGTCGGCGAAATAACTATATTTCTATAGGAATTCCAATGTTGCTCAAGCGTAGACATCTTCTTCATTTTATCGAATTCCAATTGTACATTGACAATTAATGGAACACTAATTTCAAGACTTTATTTGATGCTTTCAGCTGATCCTGAGTGTCTTCTTCATTTTTGCAATAAGACTGCAAGCGCAGCCACTGCAGAATCAGATTCCAGAGGAAATGCGGTATCCATCTGAAATGTCCTTTCAGGCATATCCAAACATAGCTACGTTATCACTGGATGAGATAAAAGAAATGTTTCCATGGTTGAAATCGAAAGAGCCAGTGGTCTTGGAAAGCAATGATAAAAATGCACCGCGATACGTATTCTATTACAAGCCGGAGCAGGTGGTCTTAAAGAACAAGATAACAGGTAGAGAAAAGAATAGTCGCGATCAGGAAGCAAATGAATTCTTGAAGCGTGGATTTCTTCATCAGGAGAGAAATTTCTTACCGGGTGGATTAAATCATCGAAGTGAAGGGTACAGGCATAACGATGATATCGTCGAGGATCCTGATATTTTTACAGCTGAAACAAAAAACGGTCCAGTTCATTCTCATCCGAAGGTACCATCCCCATATCTGGAACCACCGACAGTATCGGAAAAGGATAGAAATTTGTATAGTCTGGAGAAGCGAAAGTTGATCATAAATTTGCTGAGAGCAAGGAAAAATAGAGCAAGGCAAAAATTGTTGAATCAAAAATTAAATAGTAAAGAGAAAGAGAAAACAGAGGATAAGGAAATAAAATACGTACGAGATCATGCACCTGAGAATCAAATGGAGGTAAGTTTATATTGCTCTCCGATGTATCTTCTGTATATTAATACCCAGCATCATTTCTTACCAGGACACATCAGAGATTAAAGATGAGGCTACGGAGGAACAACAGGTTAAGAAAAAGCCAAATAATCCATTAGAATTGTCACCGGATGGTGACAGAGTACAATTTCATATTCATGGACACGAAGGCCCAAAAACTTACATCTTTGGCTTTGACACAGGAAATGGGTGAGTCAATGAAATATCTCTAGACATAATAAAATATCTTAACCAGGATCAATGATACTCATTACGTTGATTCCTGGTTCACAGAAAAAACAGACACTACAGATTGGAGGAACGTCTCAAGGATGGCACCATAAAAGGACATTACGGTTATTATGATGCAAGAGGAAAACTCAGAATGGTTCAATACACAGCCAGACCCCTTGGCGGTTACCAAGAAAAGCATCACGAATCGAGCCATCCTAAGGACAAAAGTTAATCGGTTTTATAGCATTCTTTTTATTGCGAAAACGACAAAATTTCTGCAGGGTCATTGCGAAATGATCTAAGGAAACATTTTTGTATAATGAAGTTTATTTCCTCGCGACGAGTAGCGAGACTCTTGAGAAAGTACTGCGGTTTCTGTTTTTGTTTTTTAATCGTGATTGACGGCAAGTCGATAGAAAATAGTATTCAAAAAAGTCCATTGATACCTACACGACTGGGATTAAACAGTTATTTATTCAACAATAACAATCTCCATAGTTACGAAAAGGGAAGAAAAAAAATATTTATATGTGTGTTAACGCAAAAACACTTCTCATATACATTACGCAATAATACCAAGTAGGTCTATCCCTAGTCTATGCTGAACATAGCCGAAGTCCATGTGGTCACACGCGGAAACATAGGTCAAGTTATAAATATCGCTTTGTCTTATGAATCGTGAGAAAATTCACTGTCACCTTGCACAGAATAATTTTTAACATTGGTATGACGTTATTAGTCCCACCGCTCCGAGGCGATTTAAATAAAAAATTCACTTGACCTTCTTGGCGTCCGCCGCTCCGTATGACGACGAGCTCTTGCTAATTTCAGACATCCCAATGGTTTTGTGCATTAACAGGAAAACTGTAATCACAATAAGGACAGAGTTGAGAATCATTAATTAAAATTTAATACCGTTCTGCCATATGTATTGACATACGATTTTCTATATGTAAATAAAAGCGAAGTACATTGAGTCAGACTCACATAAACCTATTATTCCAACTCCTACGAAGAAGTAGATGGTCGATCCTGATAATAAGAGTTTCACTAAATAATAGAGCATGGGAACGAGTACGATTACCGCCCAGAACACAGTATTGATAAGAGAATAATATCTTCTCTCTAGTTTAAATATGTCCGTCCTAGGTATACCGCTGGTAGCGAAGAAATCGCCTGTCTGACTGAAACTCTCTGCCATACGATCCTGAAAATTGATAACAATTTAGTAAAGGTTTATAAAAAAATTATATTAATATTCAACGATATTGTATTGTCCTTTTCGATTACCTTTTTTTGATAGATCCTATGAAGCCATTCCGCAGCAGCTTCTTCACCTTCAGGAACCTCGTCGAGAGGGATTCTGTTCATATACATATGTGCCTCAACTTTATTTCCTATAAGAAGATTCGTCATTGTTGGTTTTACAGCTTCGCTAAGTTTAAATGCCAACTGCACATCATATATAGCGCCTATTTTGCCTCTCATGTGTGGAATACTAGCGGTGAAGCCTTTTGTGCGTGGAGTCAGATGATGTTTTAATACCGGGAGACCTCTCTCTTGCGCAAACTTCTGACAGGCCTTGAGTTTCTCAGGAGTAAAACGAGTGCCCTCGGCATATAGTAGCAGCTGAATAGTTAAAATATGATAGAGTCCCGGATAGAGAAACGATACTTCATTAGTTATGTATACAAAAGTCACTGACCCACATAGTATCAGGATAGTCGGCCAATTCACGTATCTGATTTCCTATGGTTTCTCTATCTTTATCCCAGCTTCTCTCCAGGAAGATGCTTTCAGCGAATTTCCATGCCCAGCCCACTGTAGGGATATACTGTATGGATTTCTTGGCGTACGCTTTACAGTTCTGGAATTAAAAATCATTTGGAATCGGGTATAAAGGTTAAGACTTCCTTTTTTTTTTAAATGCAAATAACTGTCCAGGTAAACACTTACGCCTAACATTCGTATACGGTCGCAGAACATCCATCCCATCAGCCAATCTATTTCGTAGCTATGATTCATCAATACATATCCGTGCTCGTTACCGAAATATTTGTCAAACTCCGTTTTATCTATGTACAATATTACGTCAGTGCCTGACCACCATTCCGCCAAGAATACCAATTCTGTAATTAATGAAGTGGAACCGTGCAATTAATGTACAAGTAATAGGTAAGTGTAAATTAATTGCTAATTAAAGACTTACGACTGTAAAAGGAGTAGCAGAGATAATAATTAATCTTGCGATAAAAATGTTTGGAGAATGGTTTCAATCCAAAGTATAAAAGAAATTGGAAGAAATTTATTATTAAGCCGGAGGTGAAAAATGTAATGGCAAACATAAGGTGGACCACCCTGGATCGTTTTAATGAATTCTGGAGTCCCATTTTTCTTTGTCCTTCCTTTGTATTAATATGTGCGTTTCTTTAGAAGACTTATATTTTTTACACCTTCACCTGCAACATGAGAGAAAAAATGTTACTTTCTTTAATGTAATAAATATCTTAAAACAATGATAACCAGTTCATTCTGTAATCCAAGCAATGTATAATTAAAACACAAGCTAAGTATTACACATAGGCGCAGCATAGTATAGTTGGTAGTACAGTTATCAGCAGTTATTAATGATGCATTATCTACTATATGCTATCTGCGTTGATACCTTTTACAAATATACATATATATTAGCCCTAATTGCACTTATCACTTATAGATAATTTAAAAGAGTTTAGATAATTATGAGAGCACTGCACCAAGTTCTATTCATTAATTCAGAGAACTTTTTAAAATATTCAGTATTTGTAACTGAAAAGGGTTTTGAAACGTAAGCACATACCATGTATTATAAAAGAAATTTTTTCTTATCACCGGCTAAGTTGATTATTATAAATTTTGTGAACATTGACCATCAATCAAGTACAGAAGATAATAATAGTGAATGCAATTTTCTTTTTTTTGGAGCTTAATCAATAAAATTCTTTTCACGACCAAGTAAATTATCCACACTTTTTCATTTGAGCATGACTCAGCTATCATATAAGCATTTCGTTTATCAGTAGAAACCAACTGTAATGCCTTTGCTACATTAAACTGCAGTAAGCAACTTCCGATGCATTCATGTTAATTTATGTTGATTATTCCCTGATGTTGACATATTTTATATGTTTTTTTTTTCAAGCAGCAACCTTAAGAGACATTTTTAGCATATAATTAAATTATAGGAAAATATAATTTCCATGCATGAAAGCTATAGGAAACAAGTCCGTATGATCTATTTATATTATATCAAGTCATGATTGTACGTGGGAATAAGAAGCAATGTGTTATCTATATCAAGAAATAACTAGAGCAACTATTTTATAAAATGAGGTCATATTGTATCATCTTTAAAAGACAATTTAATAGGATATTTAGAGAAACCTTAATTTAGCCAATAAGGAGTGACAATTGAATGACATCTTTCTCTTGAGATGCCTTATCATGTAACATATAAATGAGTCAAAATATAAAGAAAATAAGAGATACATTCAAAGTAAATTATCATCAGTCAAATTTTTATAATTATTAAACACCAGAATACATGGTAATCAAATAATGAAACTAATTAAATAGATAAATTAAATATTTCAAGAATTCCTATGATCATTCAAAATAATATATTATATCTATTTCCAATTTTTTAAAAAGGATAGACACACTCTGAAGAATCAATATTTATAAAAAATCCGATTAAGAGTTTAGTCTTAATCACTTGTCAAATGATAAGAGCGATTAACTTGATATTTCGCGACAACAAAGCCTGACAACTTATCTAGGAATTATATTAATGCCTTTAATGAGAAACCAAACGGGCATGGTGTTTCATACAATAAATTAATATAATTATTAGACGCTGTTCCTATTGAAGAAATAAAAATACCATTTTATTTTTCTATTTAAGACACCCAACAAAACTTGCATTGTACATTTCACTAGTAAAAATAACATCGAGCATAAAGACTCACCTATTGTTGCGCCGTAGGGCGGGTCGAGGATATTTTAATATCAAAGCATTATGTAGATTCGCAGTCTCTTCCTTTATTCAAATATTTATTAATTATTTGTACGAAAACTCAAAACAGAAATATAAAACCCTGATTACGATAGATTACGAGAACCCAAAAGTATGGGCCTGTAAAGCCCGAAAAATAAAACACAAATACCGCGACGAGGAAGTAGTAACTAGCGCCGTGATTGATGACCTCAGGAAGTATTGAGTAATGCGAAGCTCAAATGATAATAAATATACTTAAAAATAAAATAAAACTCTTGTGATTATATTTCCAAAATACGTGTTAATTAAAATATATAATTTATTTTTTATTTTTCACGTATCTTGCTTGTCATAAAAATCATATATATATATGCATTCATACGGCAACTTGCTTTACTAACGTCATTTTAGCAGTCGCCATTTTGCGCTCATTACTTTAATGATCGCAGAAACGAGCGAAGAAGAATCGTGGCTGTACGTGCATCATATTTAGGTTTATGGTGACCGCTATGGAAAGCGTATCTTTCCAAGCTGTAAAGTCAATTAGTTTTTCGAATTTCTATAGAGAATTATGAAGTACAGTTATTCTTTAAAGTGGGTTTAGGAACACGTTATGTTGACCAATCGCTGTTCACTCTGACACACCCTTTAAATGTTAGTTTTTTTGCCGAATGCAAGTGAAACAGTCAACAATTAAAGATTGTTCGGTGACTATAACATTTTCGTTCGTTTTATATTGTTAATATATAATTTTATATATCTGCCTTTACGTCGATAATTAAGAGTTATCTGCCAACGAAGCTACCATGGTGAGTCACTTTTGTCTGTCCTAGTTTAACTATTTCACTTTGAAATTCTTGGATTCTAATGAAATTTCAATCTTTTCAATTATTTTACTTATTTATATTTCTCGTTGAGCACTTTGGTTATTTTAATTATTTATCATTTTTTTCTCTACTTATCATGGCAGAGCATACATAACCTTTATCGTATCAAATGTCAAAATGGCGCATGCTATGTATAATAGATATAATATTAATAGACAATTTATACAAGTGTATTACTCCTTCTATATTGGTAATTATGATTAATAACATTTCATTGAAATTAACGTCTAGCTTTTATTATTTCAGACGGAACAGCAGATGGACTGTGCTTTGGATTTGATGAGGAGGCTACCGCCTCAGCAGATCGAGAAGAATTTAAGTGATCTTATCGATCTTGTTCCTTCGTTATGCGAGGATTTATTATCCTCGGTGGACCAGCCTCTCAAAATAGCCAAGGATAAAGAATCTGGGAAAGATTATCTTTTATGTGACTATAATCGCGACGGTGATTCATACAGGTCAGCCATTAAGTACTGAATAAGATTTTCTGCCAAATTTGTTGATTCAATTTTCATGTTTCATCAAGTGAAGATATTGGTATATTTTTCAAGCCTCAGAGTAAAATTTTGGTCATTGCACGATACAATTTTGTAGGATTGGTCAGTATTAAGGATAAGATAATAGCAATTGTATATAGAAACATGTCTTATCTCTATAGCCAGTACTGACAGCATATTTTTCCTAGCTTCATAAAAATGCAAGAAATCCTTCTTCTGTATAATGCATCTTTCAACCTTAATGTTTTACAGGTCTCCATGGAGTAATACGTATGATCCACCGCTAGAAGATGGTTCTATGCCTTCGGAGAGGCTAAGGAAATTAGAAATAGATGCGAATCATGCTTTTGACCAGTATCGTGAGCTTTATTTCGAGGGTGGCGTCTCGTCCGTATATCTATGGGACCTAGACCATGGCTTTGCTGGAGTAATTTTAATTAAGAAAGCTGGTGATGGTTCAAAGAAAATCAAGGGTTGCTGGGATTCGATACATGTCGTTGAGGTCCAAGAGAAGTCAACAGGCAGGACCGCGCATTACAAACTCACTTCAACAGCAATGTTATGGCTGCAAACGAACAAGCATGGTTCCGGAACCATGAATCTTGGTGGCAGTCTAACTAGACAGGTTTGTAGCAATAAAGTTATCTCAATATACGATACTCCGTACCTCAAATCTTTCTACATATGATTAATTCCCTATTTCCTTTCTCCGCAGGTCGAACAGGATGCAGCCATAAGTGAAACATCTCCACACATTGCGAATATAGGTCGCATGGTGGAGGACATGGAGAATAAAATTCGCAATACCCTGAACGAGATTTACTTCGGTAAAACGAAAGATATCGTCAACGGTCTTAGATCGGTTCAATCCCTGGCGGATCAGAGGCAGCAGGCGGCACTTCGACAAGACTTAGCCGCAGCGCTGCAAAGGCGAAACGCGAACAATTGATCTCACGATACGCAGGAGAGCTTCAATTACGATTGTGATTAGGAAAAGGAAAGACGCCGACGACAAAAACAAAAGCAAAAAGATAATGAAACAGAATAAAGAGCAATGAACACAAGTAAAACTAAAAGAAAAAGGGTAGCCAAGTCATGAAAACGACATTGTATTGCCGAGCACTTTGTTATTACCTAGATGAGGATTATAGCGAGGAAAGAAAGAGTTAAGCAAATGAGAAGCAAGATAGTAACCTCCTTCTTTTTGGAAGTCGGTTAAAGATACAGAGAATTCACAACAACGGATTTACTAAGAAGAAATCTGTGTCTACTGGGTTTCTTTGATGTCACATCCTTAATTGATAGCTTCTGTTTCTTGCACAGATTCTCATGCAAAAACAGAATCAAAAAGAATTACTAAACACGACCCCATAAACTCGCCTCATACTGCATTCAATACTATAGCCAAACGGTAGATAGTTGGATGTATATCTAGAAATAAATCACAATTCGTTACCAAGTCGTCCCGCGATTCTAGTTACGCTGTTTATGTTACACGAAGAAAAAAAAGAAAAGAAGAAAAAACGGAAAAAGAATTCGCGTGACTAGTGGAAAAATAACTTCGTTATCAGCTTCCTGTCAAAGGCGTATTGAATTCACATTAGGATTCTCATATCCGTCGAGAATAGTCTCCCTGAAGAAGCCTCGGCGTCTCGAGAGCATTTTGAAGCGATATAATTTGTTAAAGATTTTAAAGGGTTGTTTATTGCTTATGACCGCGAGAGGTTTTTTGCATTTTCTCTTGGCCTCTTCCTCTTCTCGTTCTATTTCCCAGACGCTTCTACTAACGCGTGGGTCCTACTACTATCCGTACAAGACATTTCGTATTGCCAGTTCCTTAAGGGTTTTTCATTCTTTATGTTTTTTCTCTTCGTTCTTTCATGGTCGAAATTCCTCCAACATGCAGTAAACGGTTATCGATAACTGTCTGGCTGATTATGAATTTTTGTCGTCGAGAGACTTTCAAGCTGAATATTTTCATGAATTTCACTTAAAGAGATTTATAGTAGCCGTAGTAGCGACATGCACGCGGACAAGTCTGAATACAGAAGATAAAACTCGGAAGAGCATCCCTCAAAAAAAGAAGATAAAGAAAACGTATGGATTTCGAGGATTACGTTTGTATGAGAAAAAGAAAAGAAAATTTTCTTCGAAAGTACCTCGACGAATCCAAATGACTTTTATAACGTTTCAAGTTTTATTACTATATAAATATCACGGTATACTAATAACACGCAATCATTAATTGTTATAAAAAACTTTATTATTAAAAATGAAAGGAAGTAGCATAATTTATTATTTTATAAAGAGCTTTTCTCTATCTGTCTCTCTTTTCTCTCTCTCTCTCTCTTACCTATTTTTTCTTTATTTTTAAACTGAATGTATACAATAGCGATGAAGTGTAATTAATTATTAGTCAATTCGTTATAACAAATCGGTTGTTTATTGCTGAGTCCTCGTTCTCTCAAGAATATCCTTCTCTCTCTCTCTCTCTCTCTCTCTGTCTCACTGATTGATCACTTGATTCGTCTTCGCCATTATTTTCATGACTGCACATAGTCTGATGAGATTCTTAAACAAGACCTCGAGATGATTAATTATTTGTCAATTAACCATTTTATACGATTTTCTGTCTCACTGATTGATCACTTGATTCGTTAGTCAATTCGTTATAACAAATCGGTTGTTTATTGCTGAGTCCTCGTTCTCTCAAGAATATCCTTCTCTCTCTCTCTCTCTCTCTCTCTGTCTCACTGATTGATCACTTGATTCGTCTTCGCCATTATTTTCATGACTGCACATAGTCTGATGAGATTCTTAAACAAGACCTCGAGATGATTAATTATTTGTCAATTAACCATTTTATACGATTTTTCTCCATTCACAATCTGTCAGAATTAATTATCGCTCCGTACCGGCATACAAATAGCGACGATCATTAAATTTCAATGAAATATTCAAGCCTGCAGGTGTAAATAATAATTGAGATTGGCGTGAGCTGTACGCGAACATTCAGTGCAATCATGTTCGTAACAGTAACGACGAAGGTAAAGAGAAAAAATAAATCTAACGATAAGAAAGACTTGAGGAAAAGGAATCTAAACAGAACGTTATTTCTTACTTTCTGTGCCTTACAAAGCGAACATCCTTTTCTGATTCTAGTGTGTAATTATGGAGAAATAAATTTTTCGCGGGCTTACGTGATTCGTTTAAATTCATGGGGGGAAAATATGTTACTTAAAAAAAAAAAGATTTCTTCATCTATCACAAATTTACGGACACTCGAATTTTGTATACTGTGTCAGCTTCCATTTTGGGTACGAATTTGTCTTTTTTTTTGTTTCCCTCCTGTCGATTTCCTCGAGTACAAGAATTTGCGCATAATTAATTACGATCGAATAATATTGTCTAATAGAGTGTTATACGAAGTATATGTATATGTAACAGTTTATAACATTATAAAATATTTAAATAACTCGTCAACGTTTTATTGACGATAATCATCTCGCATTCTCGCGCGAGTCCGACGTCACGATTAATTGTTCAATAATAGAATCCAATTCGTTTTTTGAATATCGGAAGATAATTTTCTTTTTCGCGTATAATAATTGACAGTTGATGTTCTCGTTAGCGAACTTACCTGTTTGTCTTTTGTACTGAGACTAGACAAAAGATTATTTTTTGAACCGGACCGGTTTGACAAAACAAAAATAAATGGAGGGGAACATCGTTTCTTCTGGTGTCTAAGCTACTTTAAAATTATCACGAATATTTTGTACCCTTCACTTTTTTGGCTTTACTGCTGTGAAATCATTTTTTTTTCCAACGAATCATCATCGTGTTTATTCGTTCCGAGAGACATTACACAGATCAACAGCTTCCAATTGATTTACGTAAGTAAAATTATTACTTGTCTTCGGGTTTTATTTATTTAAAAAAAAAAAAAAATGTCATCAAGTTCCTCTGTTCAAAATTTCCTATTTGATTATCGCTTCGGACAAAGACATTTGTAATTCTCTCTCATACAAAAGTTGCTGCATCCATCTTACATTATACTTAATAATTCTACGAGGCCGTGGACCATTGAAATCCGATCAAGATTTCGAAAATCGACAAGAAAATGACAAGTAAGCCAATAATTGAAGGAACTCTAAACAAATATACTCACGGTAAGTCCCTCCCTCCTCTAACCTCTTTGTTAATTATAATTTTCGTCCAGGATATCTCGCAATTGGTCCAAGTGGCCTAATTAGTACTGCCACCGTTAAAAACGAAAAGTTACGAATAAAAATCCGTCACTCTCGTTATCGGAAAAACAATTGAGCGAAAAGGCAGAAAACTTCAAATTTAACGCCTTGGCGCATGTGCGTGAATAAAGTAGCGGAAAAAGAAACCAAATTCAAGAAGGTATAAAAGAACCTAGAACAGTCAAGATCCAAATGATAAAAGATAGCATGACTTTTAATTGTAAGACTAAATTTTTCAATATCATTTATTAAATATTACTTGAACATTTAAATGTTTCCTGTATTCATTTTGTTTTCTTTGTTCCATTTCTTTCGATCCCTTATTTTTGCTTTGCTCTCGTCAGTACCACTCGGAAAGATACACACGTCACCGGGCGTCGCCTCGTCACGAAAATCACGTACCGTGTCGGGCAGCTTTATAAAAAAAAAAAGGACAAAACAGGTAAATCGTTAGAATTCGAAGTATGCTACCGATAATAAGTAACCTTAATCGCCTAGCACCTTCAAGAAGTCCCATAGGAAATCGTAAAATCAGTTATGCACACGATAACTCATTTGACCATGAACGCCGTAGCGAAAATTTTCAAAAATATTTCCGCAACAGTCATCAACACTGAACCTCATCAAAAGCAGTCGCAATCGAAATGACAGCAATAAGATCAGAATATCTTCGCAACGATATTTCCGGTCAAGATAATGAATTTACAGACCATCATTTTCTATCCACAAAAAGACTCAAGGTAACAGCATTTCCAAAACGCGAATATTCCTTTTTCTGTTTCATTGGCGTTTATCATGAACGTATTACGACAACCAGAAGGCGACCCCAGGCGACGATTTGCCAATAAATTCCAGAGTAAAAAATAAATAACGTAATAATAAAAGAAAAAGATAACGAAACGAGCCAACGTGAAATTACACGAGAACCAATGCGGTACGTATACGTAATTGAAATTAAAAAAACAAAAATACAAATTCCGCTCGTTCAAATCTCAATTGAGAATTTAAATATTTTGAGCTTATTGGTTGCTTAGTAAACTAATGTCATTTTCTTCTTTTCTTCGACACGACACGGAGATGGCGAGTTCGCGCGTAAATTGTTATCATTATCACTCATTATTATTATTACTCTTATTACGAGTCTCGCAGACAAACGAAACAGACGCTTCAATAGCGACACGCCGCTATATTTCGTGTATCTCTTTACATTAGCGTCCTTTTCTTTTCTTTTTTCTGTCGTCGTTCTTTAATTTTCATTTTCTTCTCTTCTCTTTTGTCTTGTCCTGCCCCTCCCCGTCCTTTCACACTATAGTTAATAACAAAGCACATTTAAAGTATTATGAACCTGGTCCAACATAGCACACGTGTAGTACAGACGCTGATTTATTTTGTATTAATATTAGGTATTTTTTTTTTTTTGTTTAATTAGATTATAATAGGTAAGTTTAGGTTTGTTAACTATATTGCGGACCAGAGATTTCAAGGAAGGTACCAAGAGCTAAAGGTGTGACGTGGGTAACGCGCATGCAAAAGTCTTTCTCAAGTTTGATATATGGCTTACAGTATTGTACACTGGCAACAGTAGCAAGAACAAAAAAGACAAAAGTTTAACATTTTGTTTTCACGAAGTAACCCATCGCCCTAGTCACGTTTAACGCAAAAGTCGCATATCCGTTAGTCCTAAAGACAAACGGTGCTTAATTTAAATAGTTGGAAAAAAAAAGAACAAAATTCTTTTCTTCTCCCCTCTTTGCACTAAAGCAACGTTCGTACTGAGACGAAGTAGCCTGATACGCAAAAACAAGTATAATTGGTATTGTACTTTGTATCTCCTAGTTTACAGCTAGAGTCCACTCTTTGTATTTATCCTGATTACAATGTATAATTATTATTACATTAGAGTATCGATAAACGTTGGCGAAGTATCAGACGCGATCGTAATACCTTCCTACGAAAGCTCCGGTTACACTCATAATTATATTTCCTTCTTTTTTTTTCGGCTTCCTTATTATATTTATTCCTAATATTCTTTTTTTTTAGACCGTACCTTCCGGAACAATTTCTGAGACAAATTGACGGTAGAAAAACGAGGTGGGGATACACAGGGTACATACAAGGGGACTTTTGGTGATTTTTTTTTTTTCAAGAGTATTCACGTAGTTCTTGGGACAATTATGAAGACATATCGACGGGAGAGCATAGAGAGAAAATAAAAGAGTGTGTGTGTGTGTGTGTGTGAGAGAGAGAGAGAGAGAGATCATTTCCATTTTTTTTAAAGTCTATCTATAGGAGTTAATCGCAACTTTTCTGAATTGACTCTCGTGACATGAAGTTCGTAAAAAGAATTTTGAAAAAACAAACACAATAAGAAAAAACGAGAATCAGTCATTTCAGAATAAGCCGCCACATACGTAGCTTCCCTTGATCTCGTGTTTTAATATATTAGGATAAGCGGCACGCATGTATTTCTGACAGATCCGTAAGGCCTGTCATTTTTCATAATTATTCATACTTTATTTTTCCTCCTTTTCACACTTTTGACTCTCGCCACGATTTGGCCTTTAGCACATTTCCAGTATCTTTTGTATACCTTTCTTAAAAAAAAAAAAATTATTTAAACGCTTCGCCCACATTGCGACTACAGGCCTAAACGCCGTTAACTCGGCTGGTTTACAAATTGGAATAGACTTAAGTAGTAAAGAACTATCGTCGCGGGTCGTTCGATTGTATAATTATACATTGTTGTCAATTCTCTTTGTTGTCATTATTGTTAGTTCTTGTCCTCGTTTCGTTTCTCTGTTAAATAATACGAAAGGCCTTTAAAGCTTTGAAATAAGTACTCGTGAATTTATTTATTAACGTGTACAGTTCTTGCGTCGCGCGTAATTGAAATAATAAAAATGAAAAATTCCCGACACAATTATCCACCCGTTATAAATGCTTTTTGCTCTTTGATTCTACTCTGTTGTCGCATTCACTTCGGTTGTTTCGCACTCTCTATTTCATTTCTTATTTTCCTTCCTCGCTTCAGCTCGTGCGGAGCAGCTTCGACGCTCATTTCGTTTGCCTAAGAAGCTGAAGGAAAAAAAGAAAAAAAGGCAATTTTGACAAAACTCAAGGCATTGATGCCCATGAAAAAAATTCTTTCGTTACGTTGAAAAATCGTCCTTGTTCTATCAACGCTATAGAAACTGCAAAGGTCATACAAAACGCTACTTATACGTTAGAGAGGTTAGCGGCGACGTAAAAGAAAAAGAAAAACGTCCAGCCGATCTTTTTTTCTTCGTCGTATTTAGCAAACAAATTGCTACGTTAGACACGATACTCGCGCCATTTCGAAAATTCACGTCGACTCGTCTAATTGTTTTGATTATTATGAAAAATTGTTCCGCATGGCAGTCCATAGCTCAATCTTGGTCTCGATCGGCAATTGGATGTACTGTGTATATCTATTGTTCGTTTGTTTGTTTTATTTAACAAATTTCATCCGTTCGCGCGTTTAGGTAATCGAGTTACAGAGCTGTTGCGGTTACGAGCCGAGGATTCGAGTAGTAACTTTATTAAATTATCGAATCGTACGAGAACCAAAAAGAATCGAGGATGTGTGAAGGCTTTTTTTAAATTTTTATTTTTTTTTCCTTTTTCTTCAATCAACCCTTTCGATGAAAAGTGTCGCCGTATCTCGTGTACAACAAACAACGTGTGTGTGTCTTCTAAAACTGGGACGCGACCGCGTAAGCCCAGCCCTCCTTTACTTACATTGCTTAAAAACTTTAGCGTATGTTTTGTTTGTTGGATAATAAGTAAGATTTTACTTTGATAAAAAGTTGCTTTTCTTATTTTCCCATTCTCGCCGCTACTGAGTTGCTGTTGGTCGGTACATGAGTTGGCTCGTATTCGTTTTCTTTCTTTTTTTCTTTTTTTAATTAAATGTTGTTTCACGTGTCCTTTTCTCTCCATTTTCCTTTTTTAATACCAATGATAAGGTGTCGATTGGCCAAGCAGATAGTGAGGTTGTGTATGGTTGAAACTGAACACAATTATTTGTCGAGGGCAGTGTTGGTTTTGATGGCGATCACTACTTCTTCACCGCAGGCTTTCAGCACGGTGCACTGAAAAATTAAGACGTCACGATGCTCATTCCTTTTGTCAATGCACATTGAGCATTCCAATGTGACTGTAGACAGAGGAATGCTTCAACGACTAACAGAGCTACATGGTTCGGTGAAGATTTTCAGGGATTACATGATATTTGTGATACTATGCGAAGACTTTTAACTAATGAACGTGAACATTGATGTAAATGTGGAAAAACTTGGATTGAAATTATTTTAAAGCTTCCAGTGGGATTAGGTAACTAAATTATAGTAGTAGATTAGATAAGTAATAAAATCGAATTAATAAAAATTGACAGCAGAATTAATCTTAGGCTTTGAATATGACAGATGCTGTTGTATTTTCATGAAGTCGCAGTGGAGATAGAATGTTATTCGAATGGTTACTTACCAGCAACTCTTTACCGGCTTCGAAATCGGCGCGTAACTGGACACCCAACTCGCCTTCGGGAATCTTGAGGTCCTCGCGAAGGTCTCCATTATCAGCCATCAGGCATAGGTAGCCGTCGTCAGATATGTCTGTCAACTGTAAGACAAAGGAAACAATTTTTAGTCAGATTTCAAGTATCGGCAGAATGGCTATCGATTAAGATATATGGTATATTTGATAGTTATAGGAGGTAATTTTAATTCTTGCCTATATTATTTTGTGCGAATAGGATGCCTGAAAAGGAGATTATCTTGCGTGACAGGTCATGACTTGAGTCCATTGACAGTCACAGTGAAGGCTAAGTAAATAAATAATAGCTGCATGAATAAATTATACCTGATAATCCTCCCTCTTCACGAAGGGCACATCCATATTGTGTGTAGAAGGGCAGATATCCTCATATTTCTTGGAGGTGAATATGTCGATGCCCACAAGGTGAACCTTGGCGTGACCGTGTTTCCCAGTCTTGGAGGTAGACATCTCCACGATCTTGCAGGGACGAGACTTCAACATGACGAAACCGTTTTTGCGCAATGCCGAGCATTGCATAGGGTATGTCACGGAGGCACCAGAATCGCCAGTCTCAAAATGAGTATCCTCGATATCTGCCATGTTGGATTTGGGGAGGTCTGCAAGAGAAACAAAAAAGATAAATATTAATAAAACCTAGGAATGTTATACAATATACTAATAACAGTGACGTGAATTTGAAGTAACATATGATTGCGCTAAGTCACATAAAATATATAATATTTAATTCAGTCGAATGTTACTGATTTTGCTAACCAGGGCCACATGATTATGTCCTTTGTCAGTATAACACTTACAAAATATTTATAATTGTAGCACAAATACAATGCAGTTAAATATAATGAAGCAATTAAAAATATATATAAGAGCAATGGAAATTCTGATAAAAGACAAATTTGTCATCTCATGCATAACAATGATTCACAAAATAAAATAATTGTTCAAATTACATGATGATGCATCATTCAAGAATGCTAAACCTAACCATATCAGGCAATAAAAGAGATTTAGTAATTAATAAACAAACATTAGTTTCATTGTTGGCTCTAAAAAAATGTCTGAATAAAGATAAAGGAGGTGCAAAGAGAGTCTTATATTTATGTGAAGATACAGTTTGGCATAATATCACACATATTGTAACATGCCAGAATCATTTAACAACAATAAATATGCAGGTACACAAAATGTACCTATAAAATATCATAAAAATCAATGAAAACAGTTAAAGACGTTTAAAAATCAGTCAAATATCGCATTGAAACGTAAGAAGAAACTGTTAAGACAGGTGTGCAGTATAGCTTTAATTTGACCTCTACACTAAAGAGTGACTAGCCAAGTAGCCAGGGCCAGTGGCCATGTGGCATATTGACGGAGAATTCCCGGCAAAGAGATATAGCGCAACGATACAATAAATTCCAGAGTAATTATACATAGGTTAACAAGAATGAGAAGCGGCACGTAAATACGTCGGAATTTCGTACTGGGAACGCGAGTTGAAAGAGAGAAACGTCGTCAAATCGTTGAGATACAGAGCTGATGCACGGGCTAACCAAAGAATGTTTCCAAGCGGCGACGCAGCAACAATTACGGAGATCTTACGTGGTAATAAGCTCAGTAATATAAGAGAGAATGAAATAGGATTAAGAGGCGTAATTTTACTCGCGTCCTTTTGTGTATTTTATGGAAAATACGTGCGAAGATGGCGCGAAAGAGCGTTAAGCCACATTGCCAGTAAGCCGTTGACATCGGCTGAGTGTTTCGTCATTTTTATGAATTCCCGTTTATTCTTAGTGAATTCTTTCGACGATACGAACCGGCCGGTATTTCACTGTCAGGTTCTGTACGTTCTTCTGCGCCTTCAGGCAATTAGCACCATTAGTTTTCACGAAAATCAAGAGCAGCTCGAGATACTCACATGTGACCAAAATGGATACTCTAACCAGAAGATCTCGCTGCGACTGCGTACCACGCTGATCGAAAGAGGGGTTCACTACACTTAATACAAGGACTTCCTCCTTTCGGCAACTCAAATCTTCAGAGAAAACGACTTCCGCGAGCGGGTTCGTAAACGATTTTAAACACTAATTATTGAATACTAATGCTTTTGCTTGTCAGACAAATACTACCAATTTCGATTGTATATTTTATATTACTTTTGATGGTGTCGTTACTTTGGCATTACGAATATAGTCAGATAATGAACGATGCCAATAGACGGCCATATTGAGGGCGAAATGAAATTTCAAATTTGAACGAGAAGTCAATTTTTGTTTATATACCATAATATTAACTTTGTTTCTACGAGATCCTTATCATAATATAACGTACGTTTTTTCATGATTTTCCATTGATATGAACAGTTAATTGATATTGGAGTATTCAAATGATAAAGCAGAGCTTTTATACTTTCTCTATTATTGGTTATGATTATATAGCTTTAGGAATACAGTAGAATAAGGTGATGTGCTGACTGTTTACATCTTGTTATACCGGTGTTCTTTTATCTTTTGGCATTTATAATATTCAACAGAAAACGCTTTTCTTTGAGTTCTGCTACACTTTGAGAAATGACGACGGACAAGGAAGAAGTTACTAAGCATCAGCTGTTACCCTGCAGCTTCAAGTTTTACGATTTTAATTTTGAAGCCGGTCAGGTTAGATTTAGTTGTCATATCATTAAGATGGAAGCCAGTCTCTATTTATGGGCCGGTGACTTTCCTACTGGTTCAATGAACGACCTGACCTTCGCTCTATTGTCTCAATATGAGACTCTACCTATTTCCACAAGATTAATGGGATCCCTGGCTGATACGACTTCCACGAATTTTGCTAAGCGATTAGCGAAGAAAATCGGCAAACCTGTGTACGTGAGCTTCAATATTGGCACTGATAATTTATCTCTGCCGGCGGTTGAGAAGCGAATTTTTCAAGAATTCAAAGAGCATCCAGAAATATTGTCTTTTGACTAATTTTACTTTATGGGTTATGAAGGTTTTGTAATGTTTTTCAATGTATTAAAATAAATTGTACTTTATTATGGAATTTCAGTGTATTTTGTTTGTGTGGTTTGGATGTGTAAATTAAAAAAATGTATTAACAGCTATTTTTTTTATTTTGATGACAGTAGGCATCCTTTTTTTTGATGGATTTGCGAACGCCGAATTTGAGCCACACGTGCTCGACACGGACGGATTTTAACCTGTGTGATTTGCATCGTGGCATGCGGTGTTCAAATAAACGGGTTTTGCCAATTTTGTCATTTATCCGTTTTTTTTACAAAAGTTTTGTAGGGTTTTTTGAAAAATGTTACTTGAGAATTTAACGCTTTTATGTGATCGGGGTGACCAGTACAGAGCAGAGTTTGCTTCGTTCCTTGGATCGAAGGTAAGAATCTATGCGCTTTGTATTATTGCATTATTTTATGAAAGAACAATATAATTTTGTTCGGTTTTATGTTTTTTGATGAACAAAAATCATATTTAATATATTTCCTCAGTTTTTTTATGAATCAATGTCTAGAAGTATTTGATTTATTGGAATAAAGTAGAAGCTCTCAAAGTACCTGTTTATGGAGCTGAAATTATCTGCTTTGCAAGTAATATTTATTTTAATATTCTAGGAATTGAGTAAAACTGAACATGACAATGTATTGGAATCATTATGCAAATTATTGATGCAACCAGAGTGTGCCAAAGATGTTGCTGAGTGTTTTCCACAGTTATTACTAGTCCTTTTGTCGTTAGCCATTGAGGTGGATCATTCTAACAATTCAGATTCTGTTGATCCTGAATGCTGCCACAGATTAAATTCAGTGATCCTGGGAAAGCTTATTCGTATAAATCCAGATGTACTTGGGTATGTTTAAATAATATAATCATCTTATATTTACGAATGGTATGATTGCATATAGTCTTTGAATGCAGATTCACCCTGAAATATTTCGAAGTAAATTCAGCACCATTTGAGAACTTGACAAATAGTTTGTCTAGACCATCAAAGAGACATAGACCAAATCAAAATAGATATGTATCAGTGGTATCTGATTACGACATTGTGCTGGCTTGTTATAATATCTTGAGAGCTGCTACTGATCACTTCAAACATAAGTGGAATTGGTCAAAGTTCTACAAATTCTTATTGAGCAACGACAATAAAGTAAAATGGTAAGTATTATTTAAACAGATATTACTCAATATTAATCAGTTTAGTTATACATCTAAATTATATATTATAGGGTAGCATTAAAGTGTATCGCAATCGTACTGGATATGTCAGAAGCATTGCGTTTGGCCTGTGCCAAATCTTTGGTCGAAGATTATCAAAGTTTCCTGATAGATTACGAACACACGCGAGTATCCCCAATATCTCCAGTGTCTGATAATTCATTAAAAGAAGTAAACGAGATAGTTAAAGATGTACCAACAGTTGCATCTGTAGCAGGAGTTCTGTTACCAGTCCTCCATAGAAACAGACCGAAAACACATCACAATCTAATACCAGTACCATCGATGGAAGAGAATTTAAGAAGTTTAGCTCTTGCGGTGGCATCCAGAAAATGTGTATGTCTACAAGGACCAGTCGGTTGTGGAAAAACAGCACTGATCGAGTATCTGGCCGAAATAACAGGACACGGGACAGAGAACTTCACAAAGGTTCAACTTGGAGATCAGACGGACTCAAAAATGCTGCTTGGTACTTACCGATGTACTGATATACCCGGAGAATTCATATGGCAACCAGGTGTGTTAACTCAGGCAGTAACTGCCGGCAAATGGCTCCTACTGGAAGACATCGACAGCGCTGCCCTGGACGTAGCAAGTGTTTTGAGTAATTTAATAGAGACGGGTACACTATCAGTGCCAGGATATCGAGATATAATTTACGTAAAGAGCGGCTTTCAATTATTCGTCACTCAAAGACTGATCACCTCAGCATCCGGTGTGCACAGACAGCCTTCCGGTGCATCGAATTTACTTGAGAAAAATTGGCTTCGCGTTAACATGGAGCCTCTATCAAGGGATGAACTAGTAACCGTCGTACAGACGTTATTCCCAGTACTGAATACAATAGCTACAAGAATGGTAGATGTTTTCTTGCTCTTCTCCATGGGCCATCATGGCACAGATGATGGTAGCAGAGAAAGCTTAGCTTTAAAAACCGGAAGACTAACTTCTACCAGGGATCTAATGAAGTGGTGTTCAAGAGCCATTAAGGACTTCATGGTTTCTTCACCAGAATCAGCCCTGAAGATATTCCAAGATGCCATCGATATATTCTGCTGCTCGGTGCCAGACCAGGGTAAGTTATTTCTTAATTATCATTTTCGTGCATATATACATTTTTAAGGTTTCTACAGCAGCTATGTACTCGTTACAGGACAACGATTGAATTTGGCAATCGCCATAGGCCACACGTTAGGTATCGTCAAAACAAAAGCTCAATACTTTTGCCACACGCACAAGCCATCGATAATTCTGCAGCCAGACTTCCTGATAGGTGGACGCTCCAAAGTTCCCCGGAAACGGAAGCACTACGCGCAGCTTGATAATGTGAAACTTAATTTTTCCTTCACAAGACCATCCGCTTGCTTACTCGAACGTATCGCCAGTTGCGTAGCTCAGAAAGAACCTGTATTGCTAGTTGGCGAGACTGGTACAGGTAAAACAAGTTCTGTACAATATCTAGCACGAAGCACTGGACACAAATTAGTCGTTATCAATATGAATCAGCAGAGTGAGAGTGCTGATCTCTTAGGAGGATACAAGCCAGTTGATTTTAAGTTCTTAGTAACACCTATCCGAGAAGAGTTTGAGATGCTATTCAGATCTTACTACGCTGTAGAACCAAATAGAAAATTTTTGGAGCACGTAGCACTGTGCTACAAGCAGCACAAGTGGAAAACTTTAGTGCAATTGATGATACACAGTACAAATGCAGCTGTAAAGAGATTGAGAAATAAAATGTCAGAATATCAAAGCGGTGTCCATGGTTCCATTGGTAAGAGACGTAGTCTGGTGTCCATCGATGGAGGCAACAAAAATGAAGGAGACTGCGAAAGCAAGTTAGAAATGTTAACTAGATGGAATAAGCTAGCTCTCAAATTAGAGAAACTCTCGTCTCAAGTGAGGACTCAGTATTCACTGGCATTTGCATTCATAGAGGGCAGTTTAATAAAAGCTCTACAGGAAGGATACTGGGTTTTATTGGATGAAATTAATTTAGCCAGCGCTGAGACTCTAGAATGTCTATCAGGATTGCTAGAGGGTTCCTCGGGGTCGTTATCATTGCTAGAACGTGGTGATAAGGAGTCGATTAAAAGGCATTCGGACTTTACAATATTTGCCTGTATGAATCCGGCAACTGATATTGGCAAGAAAGAACTTCCAGTGGGTTTGAGAAATAGATTCACTGAATTCTACGTAGACGAGCTCACTGAACAATCTGACTTACAATTACTCGTGGGATCCTATCTGGGTGAATTGAATCTACCAACTGTCAAACAGGAAGCGATAGTCAAATTCTACTTGAATGTTCGAAAGGAAGCTATGGTATCCTTATTCGATGGCACTGCTCATAAGCCCCATTACAGTTTAAGAACTTTATGCAGAGCCCTCAGTGTTGCTGCTTCGAACCCTTGTTCAGCAACCCTGAGATCCTTGTACGAAGCCTTCTGTTTGAGTTTCCTCACTCAACTCGATCATAATTCCTATCCGGTGGTCCAAGGAATGATAGTAAGAGCTATCCTGGATAGTAAAACGGCCAAAGGAATTTTATCAGCACCCATACCCAAACCTAGATCTGACCAGGATGACGATTACATTAATTTTGAAGGATACTGGGTAGTCCGTGGCAAAATGACACCAGAGACCCCTAAGAACTACATCCTGACGGCATCCGTTAGAAGAAATTTGAAAGACCTGGTGCGCGTGGTTTCTATTGGTAAAATACCAGTTTTATTACAAGGTGACACTTCAGTAGGAAAGACCAGTCTTATCACATACCTAGCCAAAGCTTCCGGTCACACTTGCGTCCGGATCAATAACCACGAGCACACCGATCTCCAGGAGTACGTGGGAAGCTACGTAGCCGACGAGACAGGCAAGCTTGTATTCCGCGAGGGTGTCCTGGTAGAAGCAATGCGTAAAGGACACTGGATCATATTGGATGAGCTGAACTTGGCTCCTAGCGACGTCCTGGAAGCGCTCAACAGGGTCCTGGATGATAATCGTGAACTCTTCATACCGGAAACTCAACAGACTGTAAAGGCACATGCGAATTTCATGCTCTTTGCTACACAAAATCCACCTGGGTTATATGGCGGTCGCAAGGTCCTCTCCAGGGCCTTCAGGAACCGCTTCGTCGAGTTGCACTTCGACGAGATACCATCAAACGAATTGCAAACAATATTGCACGAAAGATGTCACATGCCTGAATCGTATTGCAAACAAATAATTAACGTGATGACTGATTTACAAATCAGACGCAAGAACACTGCTGCCTTTGCCGGAAAACAAGGATTCATAACTCTGCGTGATCTCTTCCGCTGGGGTGAGAGGTACAGGCTTGCACCGGACGTGGGTCAGAAATTGTACGACTGGAGTCAGCACTTGGCCGACGAAGGATACCTGGTGCTTGCTGCCAAAGTAAGAAAACCTGAGGAAGCCGATGAGATCAGACAAGTCATAAAGAAACATCTGAAGAGGGACGTTGATCCTGACACTTTGTTTACACTGAATGAACGCACTTCCTCTGTAACCAGGCACATCCTCGAGGAAATATTCAGCAAGGGTGCTCCAAGGTTCGAACACATTGTGTGGACTTATCATATGAGACGTATGGCAGTCCTGGTGAAGAAATCCTGTGAATTTCGTGAACCGGTTTTACTAGTCGGTGAAACTGGCGGTGGTAAGACTACCATATGTCAATTAATAGCTGTCATGAGCGGGCAGAAGCTTTATAGCGTCAATTGTCATATGCATACTGAATCCTCTGACTTTCTTGGCAATCTTAGACCTGTCAGAGAACACAGTGATCTTGAGAATCAAAAACTGTTCGAATGGGTTGATGGACCTTTGATAGAATCTATGCAGAAGGGAGGTATATTTTTAGCTGATGAAATCTCTCTGGCTGATGACAGTGTACTGGAACGTTTGAATTCTTTATTAGAGCCGGAACGTAGTTTATTATTGGCTGAGAAGGGTATAGATTCATCTGACGAGAGTGACAGTGTCATAGTGGCTAATGAGAACTTCCTGTTTATTGGTACAATGAATCCTGGCGGTGACTACGGCAAGAAGGAATTATCACCTGCCTTGAGAAATAGATTTACTGAGATTTGGTGCGAAGGATGCACGAAGAGGAGCGACTTGCAAGAGATCATTGAACATAATTTATCTAGGACGCTTGAAGCTGATGCTGGAGTCATTGCTAGGTCCATGCTGGAGTTTGTTGATTGGCTAAGCAGCTCTGAGGTTGGCAAGAGATTTACAGTGAGCATCAGAGACGTTCTTACCTGGGTGAAGTTTATAAACGTATGCACCAGCAAGCGTGGGAATTTTCCAAAATTAAATATTGGTGATGCTTACTATCATGGAGCTTGCTTGACTTACATCGACAGTCTTGGATCTGGTTTAACTGGAATGGAAAGTTCTGGAAAATTGCAGCTGTTTAGGAAGAATGCTTTGAGCTTTCTCAAGTCTCAAGTCGAGGGTCCACTGGGTTCAAAGTTATCTGCAGACATGGCTATGGAGACTGATACAATAATAGCTAAGAGGGCTGATGAATCTTTTGGAATTGAACCATTTTTCATTCCAAAGGGACCAGGAATTATAACCGAGGACGAATCATTCACCTTCATTGCGCCTACTACAGGATCAAATACTTTGAAACTTCTAAGAGGCTTACAATTGGCTAAGCCATTGTTATTGGAAGGTAGTCCTGGCGTTGGAAAAACCAGTCTGGTATCAGCCCTGGCCAAAGCATCCGGTAATACGTTACTCAGAATCAACTTAAGTGATCAGACGGACGTGTCGGATCTCTTTGGGGCTGATTTGCCTGTCGAGGGTGGACAGGGAGGAGAATTTGCATGGAGGGATGGACCATTTCTAAGAGCGCTGCGAGCTGGCCATTGGATTCTACTTGATGAATTGAATTTGGCATCTCAATCCGTCCTGGAGGGTCTCAATGCGTGTCTGGACCACAGAGGAGAGGTCTACATCCCTGAATTAGCGAAGACATTTTCCGTCGAGCCTGGGACAAAATTATTCGCCTGTCAAAATCCTCTTAGACAGGGTGGTGCCAGAAGAGGATTACCCAAGTCGTTCCTGAATAGGTTTACCCAAGTCTTCATCGATGCCTTGACTGATAATGATCTGAAGTTCATCACTGTTGCACAATTTAAACAACTACCCACGGATCTCATCTCCAAGATGGTGGACTTTAATACCAAGTTATCATCCGAGGCTGGTGTTACCTGGGGTTACCAAGGTTCGCCCTGGGAAATGAATCTACGAGACATCACCAGATGGTGCGAGGCTACAGTCCAGTCTTGTCAGCCTCTTCCTGACGAAGATTGCTATTATAATCCTGGAAGATGGGTGGAACTTATTTATATAGACAGAATGCGTACCCTGGAAGATAAGCAAAAGGTAATACAGACTTTTTCTTGAAATTCATATTAAAACTTTTTAATTAAATGCACTAATCCTTTATTACCTTTTCGGTAGGTTCGTGAGCTATATGCTGAACTGTTTCCTGTTGAGAAATACCCTCTGCCACCTTCTCAACCTCTGATCCACCTCACGGAAACTAATTTGTACCTTGGGGATGTAACGCTAACTCGAACCAACTCGTCAATCTATACTGACTCAAGTTTGTTGCTACTCAGAGATCAGGTAGCAACATTGAAGAGTCTTGCTCAGTGTGTCAAGATGAATTGGATGTCGATACTGGTGAGTTAGCTGAGTCTTTGAAACTCAATTTGAAAGTCATTTAACTTGACTTAGCCTAATAATACTTGGTTGATAGGTGGGTGGATCCGGAGTTGGAAAAAGCAGCGTGGTTCGCATTCTGGCGCAGTTGGCAGGACGCAAGCTCAAGTCGATAGCCGTGAACTCAGCAATGGACACCACGGAAATACTTGGTGGCTTCGAACAGGTAAGTGGTAATAATCATGCATGCCACTGTTTTAATTGAAATTTTTTAACATTTTATACTCGTACTTGACAATGTTTTTGTCCTGCTTTCACTTTGCCCGGTGAGACGGTACTCCGGAGTTATTGTCTTCGTAAGGAATCGGAGTACTTCCGGCAGTGTACTTCAGACAATTGGTTAGGGGGGTGGTTTCCTTTGACGATAACTTCATTGTTTCAAGAGGAAGGGACGGAAGTGCTTGGAACCATTTGGAAGAAAACTGATATTAAGAGATGGACTTGGGGGGAAAGAGATTGACGACTTTGATATTATTATTTACACTTTATTATAATATATTTCTCTTGTTACAATTCATTTACTGCTTTTAAGTTTCTTGTTCAATAGTCTTTTGTTTATGTAAAATCATTTTACAATATTCGTACTTACGTTCTAATTATATTCACATAGTCGTACAAGATCTTCACGCCTTTAGACGCTCTTATTTAATTTTTAATACTTTTTATTATTCTTTTATTTAGCTTTCGATTATTTTAGGCACGATTTATTTATACATTCATTGCTTTCGTTTTTACCTTCTTTTAATAATTTTCATTCTATGCGACTGGGACAAGTCGCGTTCACGTTAGGTCTACTTTGAGTATTTGGATTTACAAAATCTTTATAATTAAATTGACCATCGTTTAAAAGCAACAATACTTCTTTTTTTTCAATTAAAGTATCATGCTTTACATCTGTCCTATTTGAATGCTCTATATATATATATATATATATATATATATATATATTCTTTTTGGACAAAAAAGCAGAAAAATTTTTATGCTCATTTTGAGAAACATTGCAAAAGCAAGACGACGCTGATCTCGTTCGATCCTGCCTTAATTGTATACATCAAGAAATGGACCCGAATAACGAACTTTAAGGTGCACTTCTATGAGTTCAAGTAAAACACACAATTTTCGTGATTAATTGTAAAAGCATATGATTTCTTATTTTACTATCTAAACCTTTTCTCTTCACTTGACAAACGTGCTTTTTTTATTGTGAAAAGCGGAAGCGTCTTACAAATCGTGCAGTGTGATCTTCCTGTCGTTTTCACCCTTTTTTTTAAATAGACATTTAATTTACTTGTTTTTGATAAATTCTGTTATTTTACGTCGCCTTAACCCTTTTGGTACGATCTTCGACTACGGTCGACGGCTTCCAGCAGCTCCACTGACTTCCAACGTATCGAAAGGGTTAGGCGATCGTTTTCTCTTTTTATTTTTAAAATTAGCTAGATTCTAATTGACAAGTTTTCTCGGTAATTATCTGGTGGGCGGACTAGATTAAAGTGAGCAATTCCTATGAATCCGACTAAACGAAACAATCTATCGATTGATCCACATTGATTTTACATGAAACCTGTATGTCCGGACAAAACTGACAAGTGATTGAATCATTGAAATTTTGTCATAAGAAAAAAAAATTGATTATCCACTGATATGACGCAGCTAGACCGATGTATACCAACTACCCTAACTTTATTTTAGAATTTCTTTTACTTGGACATTTTTTTAGATTTCGTGCTTTATGGTCTCAGACGTGAGGGTCTTTCTCTTATTAAGCAACTTGTGAGGGGAACAGCTGCTAATATTTTTTTTAAATCACTCCTCGCGGGTGAACTGATAACGAAGAAAAAAAGAGCCACAAAGAATCAGAGAATTTATTTCCTGTCTTCGCATCTTCATTTAATCGTTGGAAATTCGATGCACGTGTAGTCCAAAGTATGAAAAAAATTATTCGAAATATCTTTGAAGAGTTAGCTCCGCTCAGAACTCAATTTCTGACAGACTCTCTAAAAAGTATAATAAAAAATATCTTAACTATTAATTCATTAAATCCATTCCCCTTTCATGGCCTTGAAAAATCTCACAGCAGACCTTATAATATTAGTTACATAAACTAATCCTACTCTTTGTGAAATATAAGTGCACCCCTATGCTTGGTTCCAGCTATAAGGAACTATATCATATGCTTTCTCATTATATTATATTCTATAATAGTTTGCTCCGACCCTGACATTAATTTCTAGTAACTATGTACTATACAGTAATACTTCCCCCCAATTAACAATCACAGACACACTTAGAAAATCGTATAATCGCAAGTGACAGCTATGCTTTTGATTGAATCGAAAGATTGAACATGGCTGTGAACTTAATTTCATATGAAAATTAAATAATATGATACAAGCTCCGTGTAACTAGTGGACTGCGAGTATCGTGTAGGTAAAATTGCAATAAAATATTGATGCAAAAATTCAGTCTGTCAAGATTTGCCTTTACACTGTTCAATGGCTTCTTAAATATTCTGACTCTTTAAATATTTAACGATGACGCTTTGTCAACGCCTGTGGCTCTACACGGTAAACGTACAACGTAGGTCTTTACTATACTTTGATTTTAGAGGATGACTGAACGATCTTGCAAAAGACAATTAGAACCTTTGAATCATAAGAAATCGTCGGGCAATAGTAATTTACCCATTGAAAAAGAATGAGTGACTGATTCGTATAGTCGAACAACGTACATTAAATTCCTTAGACAATATGATATAAAGGTAAGAGACAAATGCTTGTCTCTGTTGCCACTAGGAGTAAGTAGGTAAAATCCCTGTCTGAGAGATTGTGCAAGATTATTTGGAAGTATTTTTTTTTGGTTTTTTTTTTGTTTTTTCCTCATCTTTGTTCCATCTGGCAACATCGGGTACTTCAGGATCCAATGGAAGGTCAAGAGTACTATTGGGTACTGTGACAAATTCCTTGGACAATTCAGCAGGTACTCTTGTTGAGTATTAAAGCGTTTCACAGTGTGTAAGATGAACAGTTGAACAATCAATGCCAATTGTGATGCAATGAGCATGGACGTTTTTATATATTTTGCTTCTTTCGATTCCGAACTGTCTACCTGCCTGAAGACAGGCGCAGAAGGGATGGATTATGTATTTTTTTCTCTGGGACCATGAAGATTTATTCACTGGGCAGGTCGCTGCTCGATGGACTGATTGGTGAAGTCAAGTCATTCAATTCTGGTGGCGGTGGTAAAAGCAAACTTGGTCTTCTGTTCAATTCCTCATCGTACAGAGTCAAAGTGCTTTTTGGTCTTGTGACGAGGCTCCAAGGATCAGGTGGTACAGACATGGAGTCATCCTGGGGATAAGAAAAAATGACAATCCAAGTTAGGACGTTGAAGCTTAAAAAAAATTGTAAAATAAGTCAGGAGCAATCCCGCACCCTAAGCAGATGCTTTGCCGCTGGTGGTAGAGGTGGTTTCAAGAGTGCCACGTCAGTCAGGTCGCAGATAGCTCCTGACGATGGTAACGGAGGGTCAGGTGGTGAGGGTAATCTCAAGGGTGGTTCATAACGGGGCGGTTGTACCGTTTGTATTGGACTACTCGTAGTAGATCCTAGTATCCATCGTGCTATGCTTTCGCAGCATCCGCAACATACGTCCGACATGCCCTGTCTCAGGCCACGGTGCAAGGTCAGGAAGAGTGCTGGGTTCACGAAAGCGTGTACGTAGGCAATGTGTAGAGTGACCTGAATGAAATTATGAAGGGACGGCCACAGTGATGGATCTTTTAAAATTAATTATACAGCAAGACTTTGTACCTCGTAGCCCGTAGGATTGCCGATCAGAGGATGATGGACCAGGGTAACTAGGAACAAGGGACCCCAGAAGATTACGTAGGCTGCAGTTATAACCAAGAACATCCTGACTCTCTGTACACCCTCTCGCTCCATTCTTCTCAGATAATTTCTCATCTTGCGATGCTCCTCCATGGCGCCGGTTCTCTGATTTTGCAAAATATTCTCTTAATTAGAACCTTCAGCTTGGGTAATTAAAGCCGTTTGGCCTTTCCTTTTTAATTACCTTGGGCGTCGTGCCGTCCCTAGTGCTCGTAGCGCAGCCATCGATTAATCCATTAGAACCACCGTGTCCACCGGTAACACTGACCAGGGTCGTAACAAGACCAGCCACACGTACCTAGGTATATAGATATACGTATAACGGTAGAACTTACTAGAACTTATCGAAGCTGTAATTAGCATATATTAATAATTAATGGACTGTCACTGTGCATAACTCACTGCCTCCACGTTTGCCTTAGTCAGATCCCTGTGAAGCTTCCTCAGGTGAAATAACGTGAGGGCTACGCAAATGACGTTAATCACAATCCACAAAACATTCAAAATATAATGACGAAATGGACCGTGAACCAGTGGACAGCTTGGTGCATTGTGACCGGTCTCTGTATTGGCGGCAAGGGCCCCACTCAAAAATGTAGGACCCAGATTGATGGTGATGCTGGCAAACCATATCATGAACGTACCAAAGAGGACGCACTGTAATATCCATAAGTAAAAAGATACAGAATTATTATTTTTAATTATTTACCAACAGAGTTCATTCTGCAAATTACCTGGGGGGAATCCATCAGCAATGGCGCTGTCAAGTCAGCTTCCTCTTCGCTTTCAGGAAATACTGGACTGTCATTGAGCACCGTAGTCAGCATGTTCACTGTGGAGACAGTGACTAACAGTAGGAAGGCTGTCTCTACCAAAGAGCACTTGTTCACCGGTTGACAATTCAGAATACTTAATCCAAGTGGGAGCAATATAGCTGCCCTGGCACAGTCGACCATTGCCTGATGAAACAGCAGACCCTGGGACCATCTGTAACTCACAGGAGACATTACCGTACAGGATACTCCTGAGACCTGGAGGAAGCTGAATCCATTATTGGTCACTACTTCCTCGCAGGAATACTTGGATCTTATAAAATTTCCATTATGCATCTGTTTTACTTTAGCTTTTAGTTTTATTGTTACTTCCTCTAAAGTACTGACTCTTGTCGGTGGAGTTGGATGTGAGCCGAAAGGTCAGTTGGGTCCTATAGGGAAATTGGTAGTCGATGCAATAATTCATAACTACTGTACAGTACGCAGTGCATTAATATCAGTATTAGGCATCTAGGGAACTTTATTGTATGAGTTTCTTTGTACTTGGAGTTACAAAAGCTAACTACCAATACTCGTGGGCTAATTGTATTGTGATCTAAATTTTTATTTATATTTCTTATACCTTAAGTACAGACGTCTACGTAGGTACTTGCATTGTGCTACTGGTTGTTAGATACTACGTTTTTGGAATTTGAATTTTACGTTTGAGGATCTTTACTCAAAAGGAGTCTTTTGAATTTGTAAAAGAAAGAGAATAGCATTCTTGACTCTGTGCATGTACAATTATTAGAAACGTTTTCTACCAAGCTTCAGAAGGATCATGCTGTATTACTTTGTATAAAAAAATTAGATTCAATTATACAGTATCTTTGCTTATGTATAATTCAATTTAGAGATACGTAATCAATTTTAAAAATTTATTCGTTAAAGAAAGACAGACAGTTATTAGAGAGAAAGAAAGAGTTATTATATTGACTTAACTATATGATTAATAATCTTGATTATTTTCTCTTTATCTTTTTTAACCAGCCAATGCTTTTAATTAGCGTATGTAAATATCCCCGTCTATTCATCACAATGTAAATTTCACGGGTTCCCCCCTGTGGGGTCTGAAACGAACATATTTAAAGCGACTATGCGGATTGTTTTTCTTTTCTCTTCTCTTATCTATTCTACCTAAAAAAAAAATGATAAATCATTGTTATCCATTAACTTCGGCTCAACGCCTTTATATCTCAGACTGATAACGGTCCTTCAAACTTTTCTCAAAAACTCATTCTCAGTGTCTCCGCAAGTTTGAGCTGTCCAAAAAAAAAAAAAGCAAAGCAATACCAAAGATAAGTTTTGTAATGAATGTATAAAAAGACGCATGGGTCATATCATGTCATAGAAAAAGTTAAAAGGGCCGTCATCCTAGCCCTCGGAAAGATTGAGTATCGACGGTTTCATTCATTCTTAATACCTTCGCAGCTGTCGCTTGGTCAGTATAAGGGCCATCAGTATAATATTAGCACCCATTCCAAGGGCGCCTAAACTAAATATTACAGTAGCCTCCGTGACGCCTCCAGGATGACACTGAAAGACTTTTGTGGCGTTGGAAGTGACGTTGCCGGAAGCGCCAATGCCGAATCTCAGATTGGCACCTATCATGGCTACCGCCGAGCCTGAAACAATATTAAAAGATACCAAATAAAAGTAATCCTCATAAATCAGAGTGCCTTCAACGTATTGCTGGGATCAAAAAAGATAAATATATATATCTCAGTCGCGTAAAGTGGAGTGGATTAATATAAACCAGTAAGGATATTCCTATAGACATTTTACGACGCCTTAAATGAAATAACGTTTGCTGTCGCGATTCTCCATTTATTTGCCTTTTTATTATTCTCATATTAAAATTCAACAGCCCCGATATGGCTTCTTCGACTTTTCTCAACTACACTATAGCCAAGTTTCAACGATCCTCAAGCACAGTGAATTATTAGCTGTACCGTTCAGGCTCTCACGTTGTAGGTACTTGAAAAAGATAAATCGAATTAAAAGTACTATCCTGTTCAACCATGTACAGGTTTGTACCTAAAACTGTCAGTATATGTATATATATATATATTATATAGATATACAGTCAGGTTACTACGTGTGGTTTTATGCAGGCTTGAAAATTCGTAAGCGCATCACAGCCAACTCCAAAACTGTGCATAATTCTTGTCTCCTGAATAAACATTTAGAATGGCTTTAGGCATGGTACTTTGGGGTCACGTAGCTATGTGAACTGGTCATTTTGAAGATGCCTGTAGATCTTTGTAGAGTATATGTAATATACTTTATGGCAGGCTCTTCTAACGTCATTTTCTATGTCTAAATGACTGTAGGAAATATTGTCTGGTAGCTTAGTATACCGTTATTGTGTATATCTATATATATAACACTCTTCTCCAGCAACTCAATTTATCCCTAGGGTGGCGCCAATTCGGGGACCAATTCTCATCCGTCACGAGCTATTCTGTTTGTTTTGCATTGAGCATTGCTTGTTTACCTCGAGGGTTTGAACGCTCGTACCATTCGATTCTTCATTGGTATTGTTATCAGTATTTTAAAATTCTGTGGAGAAAAAAGAAAAAAAAATAGTAAGAGGAACATTGTTGCGGAAAATCGAGGATTTCACCGACGAAACGCTTGGATGGCTTTTGTTACGGGTCATTTCGTGAATTCCAATAGGCTTTTCATCGTTGGCGTGGAAATTCTTAATCTTTTCTTTCACACTTTATCGCAAGCATCGAACAAAGGAGGAAAACTTGAAATAATAGAGATCGTTAACGGTTTTCCAATATTGAATTGTATGACAGCGTCTTATGAATATTCAAATTCTCGCGCCAATCTTCCTACCGAAAATGGCTTCCGTGAGCGGTCTCGTTTGAATTTTCGTGGATTTGACTTGAGCTCGAGTGAATCACGTGAGAGCGAGACGATTGTGGATCGAGAAGAATGGAGAAACGAATTGAAGTGAAAGGTTGATGAAGAGGATGAGTGAGAGAGAGAGAGAGAGAGAGAGAGAGAGAGAGAGAGAGAGAGAGTGTAATAATAAACAGAAGACTTTTTCTTTTTTTAAATTTTTTCAAAGCTATAACTGAAAAGCCACTGCCTTCCGTTTCTTCGCCAGATATCCGCTTTCAATTATAAAAAATAATTGTCCCGGATTCTGCCTAGTATAAATATGAAATCCTTCAGAAAACTCATGACAGCTCAACGAAGCGTGAAACGCGATAAATAGTGGCCATCGCGTTTCAAATTCAATGTCCATTGATATTTCCCTGAGGAAAGGCTCTACGTCATCCCTATCGTTTCTGGCCTCCGTGTGTTTCTACCTGATAATACGAAATTCTTTACAGAAAAAATATTTAATTTGATTTCACGTGTTATCCTTCTTTTTAATGTATAACAAAAACACGTTGTCATTAGCATTTAAGTCGTTTTTATATATACTCATAAAATTGCACGTACAGGAGGGACTCGCGTTTTAGGTTGACGCTGGCCAAATGGAATTTGCTTGTCCAAGATCCAATTATACAATTTCAAATGAACTTGTGAAATTCGCGCTTCTTTTTAGTTATTCTCGTACCTCTGTGTATATATATATATATATTTGTGTCTGTGTGTTTTTATCCCATTTCTCTGGCTGCCTTGTAACGCCAGTCTATTCCGTCCAGAGCGACCTCACGAAATGGGAGGTAATACCTACAATAGTGGTGCTGAAGAAAGACGGCGCAGGGTGAAATCCCATATTCTCGTTTCTCGACGTTAAGCCTAATATTGAAAGAAAATCGTCCCGCTGAGAATGAAACCCAGGGAGAATAATACGTCGCGCGATTCAATTTATCCTGGTGTAATTTCGTAAGGAGACGGATAGCCATTGAGATTAGTTTTTTCTTTTTCTTTTAACAGTGTTATTCTGAGTTCGTTGTGTCAGCCGAAGATGGTTCTGCCATAGCAATTGATAGAACGCACCAACTTCAGCTGACACAATAGCTCTGAATAATACAGTATATACCCTGTTTCTCTACTCGTCTTATCTTTTCTTCTTTTCTTTCTATTGATCATATATTTTCTCTCTGTCTCTCTTTGCCTCATCAACCAGAGAAAAGGGACGCATTCAGTTCTTACTCGAACCCATACAAGACTACAGGAAGTTATCCTCTGACTCGTATAGTCCTTTATTGCAGAAGCGTGGCGGGAATTTCAAACGAGAACTTTCTCCATTGTTGCGTATACGAGCTTCGTACACCTATGACTGAGAAACGATATATCCAATTTTGAATTTACTGTCAATTTACAGGATAGTTATTAATCTTATAACGTGTAAAGGTTAAGTGGATTTACCAGGATGTCGTTTGTGTCATCAGTATATTATTCAATGACTGTCGTATCGTGGAAATAACTTCATTTGCAGTAAAAAACGGGCGAAGGACCCTTTGAACATTTCATTGCTGTATATTCGCTGGAGGGATTGGTTGGCCAGTTCTATTTTCATGAATATCCACTGCTGTGTTCCTGGTTGTACATGGTAATCCCTCTACAGTCCCATATAGGATACTACAGGTAATTACGGCTTCCAAATGCTCCTGACATTCTACGCTGATCTTCTCATACGATTTTACGGCGTACGTCATATCCACCTGCTGAATACGGAACAGAGGACAGGATACAGAATCAATATAGGAGTCTAACTTTCTTATCACCTTATCAGTCCCCAGATTCGGTATCAGCCAGACTCTTTCATGGCCTCTTCCAGGCAATGCAATCTCGTCTGAAATCGACGTCCTGGATCGAAGATTCCTTTCCTCGAATACAGACTCCATTTTGCCTCTAAGATGTCGCTTTCTATGGCGATGCTTGCCAGGCGCTTAGGAATTCTATAAAGTTGAAATGAAAATTGACCCCATGCCGTCGTAAAGCGTCGCATCGGAAATAGCCGTTTCGCCAAGCTCCCTTGGCCCATATGTGGGAAGAGTGACCCTCTGGGGTCTCTCACCGAGGGTAAAGGTCAACGAGGTAAAACGTGCCCCAAGGAACCGCCATTACACGACCCCAGTCACAGGCGTTGCTGCAGACTCTTTTCAACTTCCGTATATTTGACCACCCCTTGCGGTCCTATTCGTACAAGAGAAACATTTTACCAATCCTCCGGTCGAGCGTGAAACTTCCAACTGGTGCGGGACGGGTCGTATCCAGATGCTGGGACACTGCGAAAGTCACGTGGTGGCTGCTGGTGAATCACTTATCGCTGCTTGCCAGACATACTTTAATGGAAAGCTTCTAAGGTGACGTAGAAGAAGGCTAGAGGCTTTTGGTTATAACCTCCATTCTTTTTTCTTTTTTACTTCAAAGCTTCATCTTCATACAGGGATTACAGTCCTTCTTTTCAGCTCGTACAGCCACTGCTAATAACCTTACCAGATTATATTCTACGTAACATGAGAGTAAAGGATCTTCGTGTATGTCTGTATATACATACATATATATGCAGATATTAGGATAAAGTGATATTCTCAAGTGGCAAGGAAATTGGCAAGCCTAGAAGTGCTACTTTAAAAGCCTCGCTACACGCAAAACCATCCTGCTACACGCTTCGAGTCCTTTCGACTGTCAGCTAACACTTGTAGCTTTCCACCTAAATACTTGTGTTCCAACTGCAATAAGTCATCCTGTACGTTTGAGTTATATAACCTTACCTTGACTGTGTTAAAGTACTTTGTAAACCTTACGCAGTTACCAAAACTCATTCTCAGTGCTACAGCTAAACGTAACCTCAACCGTTTGCCTTCTCTACTCCTCCAAGTTATTAGGTCCTCCCTTTCACCCATGGGAAATGTCTCAATTTTCCTAGCTGAGATTTCAACTGAAACATCCAGACTTTGCTGTATACACTTCCAATGTTCCGGACGTTCGTTCCCCGAGGACGTGCTGTCATTTTATTTTCGCGACTACGTTCACGTCGTTCGGCTGAGTCTACCGTCGCCCATGGCTGTGTATAGTCGTGCTCTGTAATAATATCTATATGTTGTGTCTCCAGTCACGGCGTACCGTGCCCACGGACTTCGCAATGTGCTGGCTACATTAGTTAATGGAATATCGAGAAGAAGGAGATTAATGACGGTATACTGATTGCCGGCGGGCATTTCTTTTTTGAGGATTAAAAAGAAAACTCATACCGTGCGTCTGGGTGCGCTTGGATTAGAGTGACTTAGGCGATAAAAAGGTTAGGTTGTTCTTGGATTTTTTATACGTGGCTATATACATATATATCGTTAAGCTGTTCTTGGGGTAGAATGTGTTTCGCAATTCTTTAAGCGAATCCAAATAAATTCGTCAGGTTAACATAGGTATATGTCAGCTGAAATTTCTCTGTGTACTTTGTATCCCTATAAAGTTCATACGTCCTCAGACTGGCGAGATAAGGATTTTTCTTTCTTTCTGTAATTCTTGGTCGACAGAGCCTGACTTTTTTATTTTTGAAATACTTCAATCTCCGCCCACTCGAGTGCCAGAGGTTAGACTCTCGAGACGGTAATTTATTCCGATTTACTTTTATTCTGCGGCTGCCGACGTCACTCGAGAACTCGCCTTCGTTCGACCGAGTACTTCTTTCGTGTTTTATTCTATTTATCCTTGTTTTCGATTGTTCAGGGTAATGCAATACGCGTGAGTCGAGTGGCGCCATCTAGCAGAACGAAGATGGTAACATAAAATGGACGAGTACCAAGGAGACAAAAAACGCGGGAGAATAGCACAGCTGCTTGAAGCAAAGGGGATAAATCAATTTGTACTTTGCCATTATTCTCTCGCCGATGGACAAACGCGGAACTTCGTTTCCAATCAGAGGAAAGTGTCGTTAATTATATAAGATTCTTTTCACACTTTGCCTAAGTGCTCTTTCTCTCTTTTACACGTTAAACTACCCGGCCCCATCTCTCTACAATGACAGCTTATTGTAAGGTCACGTTTTTCCTGGTATCTCGTATACAAGAATAACGATTCAGCGACACGATAAGAGATTCCTTATCTTTAAATACAATTCGCCCAAGGACACCTATTTGTGTTTCGCTGAACTGCACACTTTGGAAAGATCACTGGCACACTCGATTCGTTTGTAGACCAGTAAACCCTACCGGTTGTATCAGCAATAGCCAACGTCAGAGGCCAATGGCAAAGTCAAGGGTGGGATAGAGGGGGCACGTTCGGAAAGATACACGGAGAGTGGGCAACCAAGGAAGAGTAAGAGAGCGGAGCAGCCACCTAACACAGAATCCTATCTGTTAATCTTGGCCTAGATTCTATTGGGAGTTGGAGGGGGATGAAATTCAGTCTCAGTTTTTGGGGGGGCGAGTTGGGTCAAGTAGTTAATGCCTCGATAAGCCAAGGGCTAACGGTTGTTGCGTTTCCTATTTTTTTATTCTCGTCACCCTTTTATCTTTCCTTTTCATCCTTCGTCCCCTGCACGTGAAGGAGGGCATGGCCAAAAAAATGGGATAAAAAATTTACAAGTCCGTATAATAAAAGAACGGGGCTCTTGTAAGAAGGGTACGGGAGCGTGCGAGCGAAAGTGCAAAGAGAATAAGGGTTGTTGTCTTATCGAGGGGTTGCTGCGGAGAAACGTCGGAGTGCCGAGGATAAGGCTATTCGACAATGGTACGATATATCCGAGGCTGATCGAATTTCCAGCCTTTTTTCCCCCCCTGTGCCAATCGATATTGCGTGGATGAATTTTTGTATCTTTATCTCCTTTTTTTTTTCCTCCCTTCAGTCGCCGCTTCCGTCCTCTTCCGCTATCAAGCCTTCTACGAGGAACCGAATGGGGAATTAATGTTAATGTCACGGAAAGCTAATGACTCGGGTAATTACGTTTAATTAGTGGCTAATAGCATCGGGTCACTCTTAATACTTGTCCTTGGAACGAGTTTTGCTTATGGTAGCTCCCTGCCACGTCCCGCCCTTATTATCCGTAGAAAGCGACAGCCCTTATGGCCGAAGTATAATCAATCAAGAAACTTTAAAATCTACCCCTGTTAATTTTCAAGAATTTTTCTGCTATTTTTTCACGAAAATAATTTCTCTCGTATTATTTTATTACTCCACTTTCTATTGCTCGGTACCATTAGAAGTTATCCGTGGACAACGTGAAGTTTCTATTTACCAAACTGGCAGACACGTATACCCGTGGCGCGAGTGTCCCGAGGATCGTGAAAATTAAATTTCACCCGGGTGCACGTGGAATTCACGGGTGTACGCGGGCAAGGGTTGCCAACTGTGCAGGGAAGTGCGAATTCGTTTGAGAATCGGACGGGACACGTTCGGTCCCGGGACTTTAGCAAACAACCAACGTTGCCCCAGCCGGTCCTTCTGTCTTCGGCCACGATTGTCCCTTCACTTTTATTTTCATCCCCCGTAAGTCCCTGTTACGTCACTGGGAGTGGTTATCGATGAGAAAAATATTTTTTTTTAATTACCGACAACAGATTCACTCGACTCCGACGTGAAAGCCAGCCCTTGCGGGGCCTGTCCGACCCCATCTCGTCCGGAGCCACCCCTGTCTGATTCTTCACTTTCAACCCCTATGCGTAATACCTGTCGTAAAGGTTAAAGAAATTGTAGCCTGAAAAATAGATTGTTTAAGGGCGGTTGGGAATTGAAGTGAAAAAAGAAAAATTTATTTTCATCCCCTAAGCACGAACGTTAACGACTCTTCCCACGAGAGGTTCATTTGTTTCACTGGTACCACAAGCTCCATGCTTTTATATGCGCTTCCTACAGGTAACCTGGATACGTGAGCGTCCGCGTGCCTGCGGTATACGTGCTAGCCAGAGGGCTGAAACTACCCCTGTGTGCTAGTGCCAAAGCGACGGGATAAATTGCAGCGGATGCAGCCACGTCAGTTCACCAGTGACGAATGGCCGTTGTATGCAAGAAGAGAAAGCAGGATGATTATTTTTTTCATCCCTTATCTTTTTATACTCCTATACGTCATCCCTGTAAACCCTCACGACGTTGCTGTCATGCTCGTATGAATATAGATACTTCCGGTAGCCAGTTTGAGGGAGGACGAAGTAAAAAAAAAACATTTGTCGAACATTCATAACCGTATAGCCTTTGCCACCATTTTTCGACTCAGACGTCACGGAGGACACGTATGCGAATTTATTACGAGGGTGCGTGTAAGAGTGAGAGGGGTGGTTCTCGAGGGTGTCAAGATTTTATCACAACCCTTTTTCCTTCGATCCCCCATGTTTCCTCGAAACGACTTTGTACGCTCGATCGCGACGAGTAGAGAATTTTTTTAAAAAGTCCCACCCCTCACGTATATACGTCACGTAGGGGTGTCGGAATATCAAAGCGTCGCCCGACGATTATTACGAGTCCCATTGTCCCTTCCGTACCGTCATTAAGGTCGTAACTGTCGCTTCATGAAAATACGAATTTTCTAGCAGTTTATAGCGGAGACTCAAACCTTTTCACTTCGGTCAGGACGAAGAGCAGGGAATGAAAGGGATACGATTTTACATGCTCAGTCGATAACATCGTTAAGAAATGCGTATTGATGAGGAAAGAGATATTTTTTTCAAAAAATATTTTTGATAGGATCGAAAGAAATTTTGAAATTTTTTTTTGATATTTTAAACAAATTTACTTACCAGCTGCCATTTCTCTTCCGGTTAATTTCTTCTCGCCCTCCCCACTTCCGGTTTCACTGATTTTCCCACTCCTCTCTCTCTCTCTCTCTATTACGACGTCACGCTCCACCTCCGACTTCTATGTCTTCCAAGGAAGCAGCAGCCTCCCTCTCTCGGTCCAATTTCTTAATTAACCCAACTTTCCTCTCCACGCTCCTCTTAACGAATAAACGCCCCTCCCTTAATCGAATCCTATCAAAAGGACCCCCCCGACCCCTCCCCTCATTCTCTTCTATCTTTTCCAGCACTGTCCCTCGCTTTTCCTATCCACCTCCTTATCGTCCGTCTAATCAAACAAGTACAAGTCCTGTTATCATTCACAGCAGAGACTTCGCCTTCTCCGTGTACCATATCCTTTTCCGAGCAAGATCAGCGGCCGACTTCAGGACGGTATGGTACCGGACTAAAATGGAAATGAGAATCATTCACTGTAGACATCAGCTCAGGGACGCAGGATATGTCTCACTTCCAAAAAGGATATACGAACTCCGGATCCGGATGTTCTGAAGATTTTGCCAAGGAAGATTATCAGGACGACTCGAAATCCACGAAGAAGGCCTTTGTGCCACGTTCCAGGAATCTATCGGTAGTGCCTCTCCTCTTTCTCAACATCGCACGTCATTTTTTTTTTTTTTCATAAGAATTAATAATTTTATCTTTCTTTTTTTCACGGATCATCCACCGTTCCCATCGGATGATCCTAGGACGACTCCTGGTCAGGTTCCTCGTTTCAATGATTATTTTTATTGGTATACTTTTTCGCTACCATATTAAAAAAAAATTCTTTTCCACTCTCTCCAGCCACCACAACCCCAGTCGCCACCCTGATTTTTCACTCCACGTGGATGGCTTAACGTTGGAACGTCACAAACTTGGTCCACGACAGCACCAACGGTCTCGTAACATACATCATAACTGGATATATCCCAGGACACACCCTTTCCGCTCGTTAATCCAACGGTTTTAAGGGATCTCAGGGTTTCAGAGAACGCTGGACCGTTTCCACCATTACACATACCAGGAGCAAAGCTCTCCTACCCCGAGGCTTTCAGAAAGTATGATTCAGCCGAAGCATACAAGCTTCAAATAATAATAAGTCACCAGGAGACACATTGAACTTTGGTTGTTACCTATTGGAACGTTGGTATAGACACTGTGTGGAACCGTTTGGCCATTTTTTTTCTTTTTTTCTTTTTTTTAGACACCAAGTATATCAACCTTACGCATTGACAGTTGAGAAAGTCATTTCAATTTTAGTTTCACTCTTGTTAATCACTGTTGACCTTATCCTGTAATTAATATTTCATAACGTTATACAATCCAGTATTATTAACCCTTTGTATATGCATGTATATGCAGAATCAACCTGTTTGCACGTTTCGTTCATGGCCCTTCGCTCATCCTAGTTGGTCAATTATGGGTATTTACATATCCTTAGATTGTGTATAGCTGATATATACAAACACGGCACGAGGGAGCCACTGATAGAGATTGATAGCAACTAGTTTGAGGATCTCTATTGTGTTTGGCATTTATAGTCCGGGGTCCCTGAAACAATTCCCGAAAAGCCGCTTAAGCTCTATGTAAACCCATCCCAATGAGATATCGATTTCTAAACCCTGTCAGGATCACCTGTACTACATATAGCGTATACCAAGCGTGATTAGATTGTCCCCAGCAGCTGCATCGTGCAATGCATCGCACCTGCGTATACCACGGTGACAGTGCTTGGGCAAATTAGTTAAATTAGTTGTGCAGACTCCGAATATTTAGCTAGAACATTCACCTAGACTGACATAACCTCGTATCCAACTGTCAACAATAGTGGTTGAATATACGGCTAATGTGTGTATACATATATATATGTATTATATTTGTGAACCTAGGACGCTGTCACACGTGACAGAGATTCGTATGGTTAACCGCTAATTAGCAGGGGATTATAACTGAGAGTAAATAGATAACCCTTAACGTTCACACTCGAGTATAGTTTCCATAGAAGAAGCTCACAGAAATTATGTGAATTTAGCCAGGGATGCGTGTTTAACCCGGTATGTCGTTACGGACGTGTTTTAGTGGAGTTTCACGATTTTTTCTATTTCCCATGTTAAACGCGAGTGCGAGAGAGACGATCTTATGGGTATTTACCTGAATTAGAGAAGGAAGGACGTACTGTAAGCACGATAACTGTGAGCGACAGCAGCGCCACTATTGTGAACTTTCAAAGACTGGTGTAACGTCGAATAGCCAATTGTCGAAGGGTATTCGTCCAGGGATTTTACCAAACGATACGTACGTCCTTGTCGCTCGCACGTCAGACCCCATAACGCCGTCTCTCTCGCACTCACGGGGGGTATAGGAAAATCGAAAAACTTCAGGGTCTTCCCTTTTTCTTGATTGACAAATAACATTTCAATGCTGTCTCACGAGACTCGTCCAGCATCACGGTCCACAAATCTTGCATGCATAATTCTTGTCTCTTTATCGGCCTGTAGTCCAATTTCGTTCGATTAATTTATTATTCCATGTCGATTATATCGGGTAATTAAAACGGCCCTAATCATCCACACCTATCATTACTCTTTATACGTGTAACCTGCTACCCGTTCGGTCGACATTTTCTGGCTTTAATGTCAGCGGATTATCGGCCCTATTTAACGCTCCGTGTTATGCCTGACTAATTAGTTGCATTAATTGGGATAATTAAATCAGACGTCGGTGCAGCATCCTTAGGCGGAGATGAGTGGATCTTACGATGGGATGGGGAGAATTTTAACCTAAACTAACCTAACCTTACTCAAACTATGTCAATCCTGTATTTACTCAGCGTTATTTTCTTTTTTTATCACACGGAAACTATTAACATTAAATATCGTGTAGACTATATATATATATATATTTTAATGTACTCGATTTCATATGCACGTTGCACTCTATACTACATGCTTGCACTCTGTACTCCTGCCGCGCTATATTCACACTGTGGATAGTGCAGTATAGACTGTGTATGCTGATACGCGGCTTTGTTTGCTCGCTCGACAATATTCGACGCTTCAAACCAAACGCGTGTATCGACATTAATGAGAATATCGTAGCGGCACGTTCAAAGTGTCAATCAATGGATTGATACGATTTTGGCGGGATATTCGAATAATGGTTCGAGGAGACTGAACCCGAGATTATTAGAGAATGGGAAAATAGGGGTGAACGGAGGGAATAGTTTTTAAATTTAGTTCATTTGATTTATATTAATTTGCTTCCGTTTAAAAAGTCGCGCATTTGAAAATACGTATTACTTTTGGAGCTGGATGAATTTTATTTTATTTTATTTTTTTTTTTTTCACTTCGGCGGAAGTATCCTATCGGCTTTAGAGCTGTCGGGTACGTTTGGCGAAAATGTCTCTTTTTATCTTTCATCAAGTTCTTTGCTACTGGAGCTGGGAAATACGTGACGAAGGATACGGGGTTTTAACGCGATAGTCAATCCTGTCTGGGCGTTGCTTAACAAATCGTGATAAATCGGATTTTTACCCCGCTGGAAGCTCTCCTCGTTTTCTATACTCGGTTCGGATTATCTTATAGGGATGAAGTGGATAAGAGAGAGTTTGAGGATCATGAGGAAGGGAGCGAGATGTAAGGGAAGATGAAGAGAAAAAAAAAAGTTTTTCCTTGTGAATAATTCTGTGGAGCGTTAAACGGCTACGTATTTCGCGCGCTTGAGTCTTAACGTTTTTTTATTTAAAAAATTTTTTTTTTAACGAACTAAGTATATACCGAGTGAAGTATCGCTGGAATGTTGATTTATAAAATAAAAATTATACGAACCGGTGTGAACTGCGCATTACGTTTTCTATAAATTTAATAATTTCCTTTTTTTCTTACTATGGTAATATCGTTCGCGACTATTTTTTTTCCCCTCGTGGGAATGAAAACTCGCCCAACAGTTTGTATATTTCCGGAATAATCGTGCCGTCGTTAAACGCGCTTAACGTTCGTTGAAAGAAATACGAAGCGAAGTGGATCTGTTTTATCGACCGAGAGGGCTATGGAAGTTCCGTATAGTTCAGCGAGCATGATGACCGCGGAGGCGTTAATTATTAAGGCAATTAGTATCCAGGTACAAGACAGTACCGACCTGCGTTGTTACGAGTGGGTAAAATTAGGCGTCTTACGAAAAAAAGACAAGCCGTAAATTGATAATTACTTGAAGTTTCACGTCGATCGTTTTTGTCGTTTCGTCATTCGAAGTTAGGTTAAGTCGCGCGTGATATTCCTTTTACGAAGAAATTGGTTGCCTGTAAGTCAAGCCTGATAAACGGACTCTGGGATCGGAATGCCAAGGCGTCAGTATACTTAAGGTAAGAGTCGTATATTCGTTTCAGAGTCGAGAATTAACAATCTTCGGAAATTGCTGTCGACTTCAGACGCATCTCACTTCCCTTCGAGTATTAATGGCCGCAACTGGCTGGAACGTGGAGTACGGAATCGGCGCCAGAAATTTCTATAGTCATGGGCTTCGCCTTCTTTTCTTCACGTAGATTCTTCCTAACATCATATGGAGTGGTTCTTTTCCCGTAGGCAGTAAGACAGGCTAGACGTAACGTCCATCCCCTTTATTGACCTGGTTAATCCCGCCGCGATAATAATTTTCAAGGCGCGCGGAACCGCCCAACAAAGGAACACACGTAAACGAGGCTTTCGCTTCGATGGAAATTCCAATGTCTGTGGGTACCTGCTTTTTCTGAGGAACTGTGCAAATGGCATCTCTACGAACTTTAAAGGAGCTCTTGTTTCGTGTCTTTGAAGTCAGCGGCAGGATCCTAACCTATGTATAGAGGTATGTATCGGGCCCGGACACGTGACTACGGGAATCTCTATGTACTTAAAGAAAGTATCGGTGAGACGAGGTGGAATATCGAGAAAAGAAATTCGTTTAATGGGACGACAAAAGAAGTGAAGGGTAAATCGAACTGGGAGGGGTTAACAATGGATGAATGCTTGAAGGAGTGGATCTCTTATCGCTTCTTATCTTTCAAAATCCAGACAGTGATTATTACGCCGTGAGATGATCGATGCCACTCTCTTTTTCTTTCGATGAAATTATTTATAGGTGAATTTTTTTTTAAATTTCGCGCCACGTTATCCGGGACTTTTTTAAATTTTTGTATCGCTTTAATTCGACGTTCGTCGTTCATCGTTAACGAGGCTTGAGGATGTTGCTGGTGAAAATTGATAATTATTTTTTTTGTCGAGTCATCAATTCGGAGACGACGCAAGGGAGGAATAAAAAGACGCGATAAAGACCGAAAGAGAAAATGGGGGGTTTACGGTGGTAATGAAATAAAATGGCTGCCGGATAAGTAATTAGCCACCTGTAAAGGTTTCTTTGGCAGACTCACGAAATTCGCTTTTATTATTTGGTCGAGTCCACACGGACACTTTTCGATTCGGTGTAAAGTTTCGGGTAATTGTTCAGCTTATCGATCAACTCATCCGTACGTGTCTGCAGTCCTTTGATCGGACATGTACATAATATACTATATGGACGTATAGAACTTGTCGAGAGAATATCGATGGTTTTTGACTTTAGACTTTTTCTCACTTTTGGTGTCGTCTTGTTTTTGCCCGGTACGACAGATTAGCCAATTGCCACGTAAATTGGAAAGATATCGAGTTACCATATCCGATTGGATAATCGAATAATCGGTCCGATGCTGTTTATTTATTCTTTCTCTTTACTCTTTCCTCTTCGCATTCTCCAACTTTCGAAAAGTCTCTCAGCGAGCAATCAATTGTCAACGAGATCAATTTATTTGCAGGTTAAAAAAGAAACTCCGTACCCAGCCGAGCAAATACCACGAATTTGATAGGGTTCGTCAAATTTTTGGCTGCGTTCCTTAATCCAAACTCTTTCACGTGACCCGAGCTAACATCTGTTAAGCAAAAGAGATCAATCAATTCTTCCTGGATGATTCTTGAAATGTTTGGCATTTCTCTCTTCGACGTCTCCCTTATCCATTTTCAGACTCCGCGTCCCTTAAGCCGAGGGTCGCGATTAATTTATCAGTGGATCACGAAAGCTTTGTGGTAGATATTCCAAATTTAATGGCTATAGATATCCAACGTGTATCCTTGGGCTTCAGAGTGATTCCTGTTGGGTTATATTAGTTTGGTTCGGTAGTACCTAATCTTATCTACCAGAGGGAGACGGCGACGGCCATGTTTAATTTGACAAAGTTGATTATACTCTGTAAATAGCTTGGGCCTCCATTTTCTTTATATATTTTTTCATTTCCTTTTTACTTCCACTTTTCTCCATCGAGTCATCCTATCCGCTTAGGTTAATTCAAACTTTTCATACTTCGAATCACAGCCCGAAATTACGAGGCGGTGACTCAGTAATACCACTCGTGACGTCACGTTCCTCACGGTTTATATGAAATCGGCGCCAACAGTGGCGCGATTCAAATATTCCTTTCTCTTTATATTTACGTGTATGGTTCTTTCACTTTTATTTTCTTTCCTCTTTACGGCTTTTTTTATCTTCACGCAACACCGATACTCACCTTTTTACTTCGTTTTTATCTACTTTTATTTCTTTCCATATACTGTCGCTTTTATGGCATCCCTGGCTGATCTTTTCATGCGACAACCTTAGACGATCTCTTATTACGGAAACTTCCGATGCTTTTTCCATTCTTAATTAGCACTTCAAACCAAGCATTAATTACGCTCCTCCGCTTTGACATTCGTTCCTTCGACCTATACCGAGGTCGACGAAATTTCGTCTTTTTCCTCACTGTTTCCCATCTTCTGTAATTTCATCCACGGTCCTATCGTCTATCCCGTGTGTTGTCTTTGCTTTGAGATTTCACGACGACACTTGAGCCGTGATTGCGTCACGCGATTGAGTAGCGTATGACAATTGGACGGAGCTTAAGATTTTTTCGTTTTATTATAAACGCTAGACAATTAAAATTTTGACTTAGCTTTTTTAACATTTTTTTTTAGTCTTCCCTCGCAGGTTTTTTTTTTATGGAAATATATATATATATTTTTTTTAAATCTGTTATTGTCATTGTATATATGATTATTCGATACGTCGGATGCAATGTGCTTCCGACCCCATGAAATTTCTTCAAGATCCTTCTCATACTGTTATTCTTATTTTCTCCTCTTTTCTTTTCTTTTTTTTTTCTTCTTACGTCCAATTTTCGAGAAACGTACACCTAGGCGACTCGCGACTATGACACTCTGCAAGGCGGTAACTTCCACGAGTCGTTCGCACTCCTAGAGGACCTAGCTTACTGAAAGTACCATGAGATTATGGTACAAGAGATGTCTAGGGAATTTTCTAGGGTGAAAAAAAGTTCCAAAGACGTTTACACGATCATTAGTTCCTGTACTGTGTACGTAAAAATTGTGTGTGTGGATTTTTACGAATTTTGAACTTTGTCCCATAGAAATTGATCTTTGACCTTGCACGCTTTAGGGTGCTACTAAGAGTACTGTCAAAGTTCACAAAGGCCCCCGAGCTCACTAACATCCCTTATCCTATAAAATCATAACCCCCTTCGTCAAAGGGGGTTAAATTACGAAATTCACATTACACCTTACGCCCCTAGTAAAATCCACAATTTCCCTTAGTCCTGTTTAAACGAAATTTACCACACGCAAGTCAAAGCCAAGTTTGCTGCATAGGCAGCCCGAGGCGTATCGCCCGAGGCGTAAGAAAAACATTGAGGAAATGCTTTACGAGCGAGCAAGCAGGAGTCAGACACGAAGTTAGTTAAAAATGCCGAAGATCAAGAAAACCAGTGCCAAACTTCAGACCGATGCTAATATAGGAATGAAGAAATTGATTGAAAAAAAAGAAAAGAACGACCAAGCAAAATTCACCGGGAAGTCATCGTCGATCCTCGAGAGTGGTAAAAAAAAAACTGCGACCGGAAGTGCCCGGCAAAAATTCCCTAACAAACTCCCGGTGGACTCTTTCAAAGTCCTCTCAGTAGTCTACCACGAATAGGTAATTATCCATGTCGTCTGACCTGAGGAAGTCTCAATGATCAGTTCTTGGAGCTTCTACGACCTACCCTTAAGTTACAGGGTGACACAACCCCCTGGTCCTATTAATATCCGGTAATAATCATTAGACACATTTCCCCATAGATCATAATATATAATTCAAAGAAACGACATTATCCCTGCAACCGGATGCTGGTACGCGAATATAACGCATCACCGAGATGAATCTTGACTGGTCCAGGGTGTGTCTATATATAAAAAAAGAAAATCACCCTTTGCAACCCGCCATAATTTTTCAAGCCTTAGCCAATTGGCATTCTCTCTTACTACCTTGACCTATGACCCCATATCCTCTCCTCTGTTTTTCAATACAAATTTAACAAGGTCCGCCTTACGAGGTTACCGTTCCCGGGTCCAGCCACATCCGGCGGATCTCTTCCGTTCTCTCGGTTCGCGAGACGAGAGAGCACTGCGTACTTCACCGAAAGCAAGCCCCGATTCCGAAGCCCACCCCTAGATCTCCCCAGCATCAGCTCCCTACCCTTGGCACACCAGTAACACCCCACCCAGCCAACCCCCGGCGTGTTCCTCGCTTTTGCTACAGTCCCTCCCCTCTCTTCCCTGCCCCCGACCCACCCACAGCATCCGACTCCCCTACCGAACACACGAACACCAACGTCATTCTCGTACACTCGGTTTCGCCTAACTTTACTTTCCCAACTATCTCTCTCTCTTTTATTTCATCCATCCTCTCAACCCTTTCACACCCTTCATCTCCCTCATTCATATCTTTCCGGTATCTCCGATCCTGCTCTCTACCTGGTCTCTGATCCGCCTCAGGGCTTCGCCCGGTAGGCGAAACGACGATTTGGTCGCGGATCCAAAAGTCTTGGGTAGTGGGCCAAGGGAGGGAGATGATCGATCATATGGGATTGGCTGGTCCATTGGTCATCCCCTCTTGGGATATATATTATTACAGAGCCAATCGGTCAGTCCACCCTGGGCGCGGTTACTTTGACGTTAAGGGGTTAAATATCTTTGTACTTTGGTCTTAGATGAGGTTATCTGTTTGTTTTACCTTTTTTTTTTTTTTTATCTTTGTACGTTATCGGTCCATGAGCGGATGCTGCGGGAATTTAAACTCGGGATCGAGAGGGTTGTTCTTGGGTCAGACCGTGATATCCTTATCGAATGTATGTAATACAGGGATATCAACCTGTCAAAGGTCGAAGGTCACTCAGTACAGGATTTTATATACTACTGAGGTACGAGATAAAGTTGTCTGATAACGAAAATACTTTGTCTACGGGT